ACCTCTTCATGCTTTGGCATTGATTGAGAGTATGGTCGTTCCTGAGGCAATTGAGACATCTATGTTGTTCCAGTAAACGCGATTGACGTTTCTGCGGTGTATTCCATGTTGTACATTGACTTGGTAAGTGTTCGGACCCTGTACTGCATAGAGAACATCCTTTATCAATAGCCATGGATGGTGGTCGTGGAAGTCGTTCATAACGGTTGCTAGCTGGTTGGACCGCGATAAAAGAACGTGAAACTTGTGCTGGACGGTGTTGAGGTTGTCTGTCTTGAGGTTGACTTCGTTGGCGTTGGTCGTCTTCCCGAGGCCTTCGTTCAGGCACAGCCGGTCGCAAGGTCGTGATGGTTCTCTCCAAACGCTCTTTTCGTTGAACAATGCGTCCCAGTCCGGCGCGAAGGTGAGCCAAAGTCCATTCCTCATCGTCCTGCTCCCAACCAATCAAAATCTCCAAGGCTTCGCGTGGCAGCTTAGATCTGATTATTCCACACACGATTTCGTCCTGGGTTGCATTAGATCCCTCTGGTGATTCCAGCTGGAGACAAATTCTTTCCACATGTTCCCGGAGGTTACGCATTGAAAAAAGTGAGTTGTTAGCCACTTGGAGTTGTAAAAGCTCGGCAATCAGTCCTTCTCGCAAGGCTTTTCCATCGCCAAATTGACGCCGAAGTATGCTGACCACCATCGGGTAGTTCTCATCCGACGGCGGATAACCATCAATTGCACGTCGCGCAGCAGAACCAGGTACCAGACTTTGCAATAAACATAGGTGCTTCTCAAAAGGTGGAAGAGGTTGACTGTTGACAGCACGGTCGAATGCCAGCCAAAATGCAGTCCATTCCTTGGGATCGCCAGCAAACTTCATCGGTTCAAGACGAAAAGGCCTAAAGGTTGAGTAAATCGGTGCACCGTTGTACGTTCCCTGCTGTTGGTACGGTGAAAATCCGGCTTGACTTGCGGAGTTGGTGTGATGGGCACTCGTTCCATTACCAGTTGCTTGCTGTTCGTTAATCCGTGCTTGAGTTTGGCGTCGTAAAAATCCATCAGGGTGTTCAGGCGAGTAGTTTTGTTGACCATTATCTTGTGTGTGATGAGCCTGGCGACGTGCGTTATCATTTTGCTCTTTACCAACGGTGACGGACTTCTCAGTTCTTCGTGAGGAGACTGAACCACGATTGCCGACTCTGCGTTGCTGGAGGCAAACATTAACCAAGTCCACTAATTCATAGGAACGCTCAATCTGCGCCAACGCAGTAGGTTCATCATCCTCCCTGACTTCGCCTCTAGGCGGCGGAAAGGCTTGAAGGATGTCCATCTCGTCCTGTTGTTCCGTTGGCATGAGTCGCGCAATGAAGTCTGACCATTTGTCCACCAGTGCCTGTGCACGACCAGCAGCTTCTCTAAGTTGAACAGCATCTGCCTCCAAACGGTCATCTTCATCCACAGTGGTGTCAGTGGCATTCAACGCGGTTAACACGGCACGCCCTTTTACTTTGAGTGTTGATAAGACGGTTGCTAACTGGAGACGAATCACCGCTGACATGGTTAATTGGTGTAGCTCACTCAAAACAGGTAATTGTAGTCGTAGTTGTCCGACTTAACAAAAGGGGAACGGGTAGTTGATTGTTAAAGCCTATCGCACTAGCTGAAGGAGAGAAATAGCTATAACCCAGTTGCTTTACTGTTGTTGTGGTAGTTGGTGTTGTAGTTGACCACGACGGCGTCCCGGGTCGTGGCACCAGTTTGTCGGGAGACGGGCTTCCCGACAAATTGGATTTTTAGGATCGTGGCACCAGACTGTGTTGGTTGTGCCAACACAGTCAAATAACAGAAGGAGAACAGTAAGTGAACCTCGAGGCGGTTCACTTTTCCACTCAAACAAAATACAACGACAAGTCAACAATAAATTTACTTCTTCCACAAAAAATAATAGCCAAAAAAACAGAGCAGTAAAATAAATCGAGCACTAATTAAACAAAGGTAGAAGCCGCGGATCAGCCAACCAAAAGATGAGAGTTGAAATTGAAAACTGGAAGCGGTTGAAAGTAAAAACTGGAGGTGAATGGTAATTTTTGGGGGGCTGATCCTCGGCTTAAATAGAGATTAAAAGAGGGCGGGTCTTGGCAAAAAACTCAAAAAATGCGAACTTGAAAAATAATGCTTAATAGATTATAGAAAACCAAATGTGTAGAGAGAACGGGGCAGAGAAGACAATCGGAAAAAACAATAGGAAAAATTTAAGTTGTGACAGGCGCAAACTGTCACTAAAAAATAGAGAGAAAAAATTTTGGCGGGAAAAAGGTTTAAAAAGATTGAGTGGACAATGAAAAAAATAAAGGGTGAACGGCTAAAAAATTAACGAGGAGTGAACGGGGGACAATTTAAAAAAGAGACAATTCAATGAAAAGTCGCCAAAATTGGCGACATAAACGTTCAAACAAAGCGGCACAAGCACGAGAGGTTTGTCCAATTTGCGAATACACTTCAGCAAGTTGTGCTGCTTTACGTACGGACTCCCCCTTCTTTTTTGCTTTGGCTATTTTCTCTGCTTCGCGCTTTTGTACTTCCAAGATTTGATTTTTCACTTCGGGCTTCTTTTGAGAAAAATTTAGTAATCTTCTTAGAAAGACTATATTCACCTTTGGACACGTGACAGGAGTCTTTGAATGAACACGATTGGGAATCACTGCTTCTGCTCGTGTCGTTTGATGATCCTGCTATTGGAAGGATTAGATTTGACCAGATAGCAGTAGTAAGAAGTTCAGCCCTTTTTGTTCTCCCAGCGATTACAATTCGGGAGTTTACCTTTTTGTTATTGTTGTCGTTCCGGGAAGAGTATGGCCTTTTATGAGCAGCGATCGGCGGTGAACGTCTGGCACTTCCAATTCTTGGAGTAGAGGGTGAACGAGGCCTTCGGGGAGTTTGCTGTTCAGCCAAGGCTGGTTTTGTTTTCACAGCAGTGTCCGACGGTGGGTTAAACCTAATCCAATTACAAGGTACACAAAATTTATTAATGGGGCAAAGAGTTTTCTTTACAACAACAAACTTTTTGTTAGGTGGAGGCCAATCATCATCATCATCAGAAGTATCTGTTTCAGTTGATTTGATATCTTTACTTGGAACAGCAATTGGCTTCTGGTTATTGCCACGAGTTGGATTGGAAGAGCCAGCAGTAGAAGACGAGCTTGTATTAGTAGTTGTGGCGCGACCGGAAGATGTACAATTTAGTTTATTAATTGATCCAGAATTTGTAGTAGTTGCTTCAGGGGTAGAAACAAATTTTTTCACAACACAAATTAAGCAGTTGCAGTTAGTGTTGTCGGAATGCACGCCTTGAGCCGAGGCAAGGATTTGTTGAAGCACAGCAGGTTTAATGGATTCCGCCACTGAAATTTGAGTTATTAGTAAGGTTTAGTCGAGGTGCCTCTCCCGGAGCACCACTTTGTCAACTAAAGGCTTACTTTGACAAATAAATTTTTAGGGAAGCTAGGTCCCAAGAGTTATTGAATAAAGTGAATTTAAATAAAATATTTATCTTTAAAATTAAAAATACAATTAAATATTTTTGTAAAGAATTAATGGAAAATTGAAAACTGAAGATGATAGGGAAGATCTGCCTATTGTTTATATAGGGGATTTAATGGACAATAGGCAGAGATTTACACAATAATGAATAGAGAAGTGATATGAAAAATAGTATTAACGAGGGGTGAAAAGACAATAGTTTCCGGAAAAAAGAAGAGAGAATAAAGGGTCAAAGTGGCAGCTTATGGGAAAATAATTTATGACATTGTCTGTCGTGGACAGGTGGAATAAAGGGAAAATTAGAAAGAAATATTTAAATTTATTAATAATTATAATTTCGTGTTCCTTACACGACAAAGTTTCCGTTAAGTTTACAATTCTTCCAATAAAATTAATATTGAATAATTAAAACTTATATACAAAAGGCCACCCCAAAGATTGTATTATTTAAAATCTAATTTTTATTTTCTTTTAAGTTTAGTAGACAAATGCTTAGATTCAATAAAATCTTTTTTTTCTCAATTTATTTTTTCCATTAATTCATTACCCTTTCTCCATTTTTTTTCAAATTTTACAAAAGAATAAAGAGACAAGCTAACTACTTTCATCTCCCCCCCCCCCCATACATTATACACATCTGCTACAGATTCATTTTTTTTTATTGTGTTGATTTTCTCCTATACAAATTTAATGTACTGCCAACTTTGTCCCCCCAACTTTGTGTAAAAAGTGTGTAAAAAAATAAGGAGAATTTAATGAGCATGGCTCTTTTTTTTAATTTTTCCTGATCATGATCAGATAGCAATATTTTTAATTAAAAAATGTTGATTTTATTTTATTGTAAATTTGTATTAGCCAGTAGAGACATATGTTCATTATTCATTTTTGTAAAATATAAAAAAATTTATTGAAAATCCTCCAGCTTCATCACATTAAAATTGTAACCTGTTTTACAAACCTGATTTAATAATTACAAAAATACGCCCGCTTCAAGTTTTATGGGAGAAACTTAATAAGCTAATACATTTTGTAAAACATTTTTACAAATTGTAAAAACTTAAGTTGTAAGGAAAAAAAGTTTTTAAGATTGTAATAATTAAAAAACTTGAAAAAAAAAGTTTTAAGTTTGTAAGCTTGAATTTATTCAACAATGTAAAACTTGGTTTTTGCTATCAAGTTTTAATTCTAAGTTTTATTAAAAACTTTATTAAACATAAACTTCAACTTAGTTGTAAAACTTTACAAATTGTAAGTTAAAGTTGTAAACTTTAATTTACTTATTAATTGCATTATTAATTTTTATTTACTTTGTATTTGCTTTTTTTTATTTATTTTAACGTCGAATGATTAATCTATTATTACAATCAATCCAAACTGATTTTCCTTTTTAATATAAAAATAATTTTAATTTTCAAATAAAAAAATTTAATTTTTAATTATTTAATTAACAGTAATTTTTTTTTTAAATAAATAAAAATGAGAGAAGCATTTGGACAAATCCAAGCAATTGTGGCCAAACTTAAGCCAAGAAATGACGATGATTTTATTGATAGACTCCATTATATAATTACCCCTTCAATTCTTTTCACTTTTTCATTTATTGTTGGTGCCAAACAGTTTGTTGGGCAGCCTATTCAGTGTTGGGCACCGGCTGAGTTTAAAAGGCAATGGTCACGCTATGCTGAAGGTTTATGCTTTGTTGAGGTAATAGTAAAATAAAATTAAACAAAATTATTAGAAGAAATGTTTATAAAATTTTTTAAGTTAGTAATAAAATAATAAGCCAAAAAAAGTTTTTAAGATTGTAATAATTAATAAAACTTGAAAAAAAGTTTTAAGTTTGTAAACTTGAATTTATCCAGCAAAACATTTTAAACAAATGTTTCTAAAACTTGATGTATTCTATCAAGTTCTAATTCTACTTAAGTTTACAAATCCAAGTTTATTTAACAGAATACTTATTTTGTTGGAATGGATGAGCGTTTCCCGATGCGTCCAATCGAACGTGAGAGACGTGAAATCCACTATTATCAGTGGGTACCATTTATATTGGTTGGAGAAGCTTTGCTAATGATGTTGCCGAAGCTTTTGTGGAATGCTTTTAATTGGAAAAGCGGTTGGATTTTTTGGAAATTTTAAAGATATTCTCAATTCTTTCAACAGGTTTGGACATCCGGTCATTGGTTCAACGTGCTAAGAAACTTTCCGAATCGGGTGAATATGAAGGAAAGATTAAAGCAAGCCAGGACTTGGAAGAACGACTTGCCATTGGATTGAAACAAGCAAAATATAGGAATATGACTAAAACTGGACGAGGTTTAGTATAAACAAGCTTAATTTAAAAATTTACAATTACAAACAAGTTTAAAGTTTATTTTACAAGTTGTAAATATAACAAGTTTATTTTCAAGTTTATTTAATTAATCTTATTTTACAATTGTAATATTATTAATAAAAGGTTTCACAAAAAATAAACTTGTCACAGAAATAGGTTTACAAACTTAAGTTTATGAATTTTAATTTACTAATTACAAAATACAATTCCAGGCGGAATAATTCAAGAATGCCCAGAAACATTGAACGGGCCTTGGGCGTCTGCTACTTTTGTCACAGGCTGTTATCTTGCATTAAAGTTGCTTAATTTTGCCTCTATTCTTCTTCAACTTTATGTTTTGACTTTGTTTTTGGGAAATGCAAATGAATCTGGTAAAGAAAGTTTTTGGGGATTTGTGGTTGTTAATGATTTGTTGAATGGACGTGATTGGCATAAATCTGGAGCTTTTCCAAGGGTATATTATTTTAAAATTAAGAAAATGAAGATTGACTTTAAGATGGATTCAAAATCATCTACTTAATTTTATAGGTAACCTATTGCGACTTTGAAATTCGCCAAGCAGCGAGGGAAATGCGCCCAATGCAATTCTCCCTCCAATGTGTTTTAATGGTAATACTTTTTTATCTTCAATTGAAAAAATTTTTTAAAATTTAAAGATAAATATGATAAACGAGAAAATTTTTCTTTTTATTTGGTTCTGGCTTATAGCTCTAGCAGTTATAGGCACTTTCAATTTACTTTATTGGTTCTATCAAGCTTTTTGTGTAACCTCCGCTGATCGTTTTGTTCGTTCACAATTGGTGACTTTTATTTAAAAAATTTTCAAAAAAATTTTTTTATAAATTTTTAGCGCCTCTCTATAGCTAATATGCCAAGCAATAAAGAAATTAGAGAATTTGTTCGGGTAGGTCTCTCCTATGATGGAATAACTGTTTTGCGATTAATTGCCCTAAATTGTGACCCAACAATATGTTCCCTTCTTGTTCGCTATTTGTGGGAAAGATTCGAACAATGTGAGGAGAAAAAAACATTTTTTGATTAAAAAATTTTCTTAAAAATTTTAAGCATTTCTTTCTGGCCAAAGAAATGTTGGCGAACAAATAAACAATAATAATGGAAACGCAAACAATCAGAATTATTCTACATGTGAGAAGAAAAAGTTTTAAAAATACAAAAATTTAATAAACATGATTCGATAATTTAAATATAAACAGGGATTTATTAAAACTTTAAAGTTTACAATTATTATATATTTGTATTTATTAAAGTTTATTTTCAAGTTTATTTAAAGTTTATTTTTAAGTTTGTAAAATACTTAAGTTTATTAACTTAAGTTTGTTTAAAATAGGAATTAGTCCAACTTTGTTCTACTAGCTATTGTCAAGTTTATTTAATTAATACTTAAGTTTATTAACTTACATAAGTTAATAAACTTAAGTTTGTTTATTAAAACTTTATTTTCAACTTTGTTTAAAATAAGTTTTAGTCTTAAGTTTATTTAAAATCCAAGTTTTTAATAAATTTGTTTTACAATTATTAAAATATTTTTTTTACAATTAATTTTATTTTTATTAAAATTATAATTCAAGTTCATTTACTAAACTAGATTTTACAATAGTATAATGTTAATAGTACATTAATATCATCTAACAAAAATAAAAAATAAAAATGCGTCGTTGTTGTATGGTAAGATCTTTTATGGCTTTGAGGAGTTTTTTAGGAATACATAAATTATTCCGAATTAATTTGTGGTACTTCATCGAACCTTTCATTTGTTTTGTTGGCAAGTTTTTGTTTGAGGGAATGTGCTTGTTCGCCCAATTCTTCCAATTTGGTCATTTTAACTCCAAGTAAACGACGGTTTTCTTCTACTCCTCTTCTTTAAAATTAAATTATTTTTCTTTAAATTTTTATTTTTATTTACTAACTTTACATATTTATCTGAAAGGCGTTTGTATCTAAGAAAATTATTATTTTTTTTTTAATTTCAAAATTAAAATTCAATTACTCCATTGGGGCATTCTTTTTAGTAACTCCATTAAGTTCAATAAGTCTAAGACGAGCATTAGTCTCTCGAATTTCTTTTAAATCATTTTCATAACTAGATTCAATTGTTTTTACAAATTGTTTTTTGTCTGATTCGATTAGGGCTTCGATACTGTCATTAATCTAAAAATTATGGAGATTATGAGGGTTGGGGAGGGGGGGAGCATTATGAAAACTTTACGTCTTTAATTAATTTATGCCAAGAAAGTTTGTCAATATTATTATTTTTCTTTGGAACTGTCCCAAAAGCCATTGACAACCGCCTGGCAGATTGTGAAGTAAATTGGGGGAAGTTGGAAGGGAGAATGGGGAAACAACAATTTTTCTTTGCAAAAGTCTGGAAAAAAACTTTTTTTTATTTTCTAAAAATTTTTTTCTCTCTCTCCAACCTTCAACAATTTTTGTATTTTATGATTTAATTCATATTCCTCCATTGAAGGTAATTGTACTTCTAATTCTTCCAAACGCGATTTCCTTTGCTTATCAGCTATAAATTTTTAAGGGAATTTATTTAAATTAAATCTTTTAATTAAATAACAAGTATCTGAAGCTGTCGTCATTTTTCTCTCACTTGAAGTTTTAATATTATTTCTGATGCTTGAACCGCCTGCTGAGGTGCCAGATATTTCATCTAGAGAGACTGAAGAGGCGTGATACTTCAAAAGAAATTTTTTAAATCCCCATCCCCTCCAGAAAATTCACCTTTTCCTGCTCCCCTTTATGCCTTCTATGAAATCTTGGCAGTCTATGCCACCCACCCGTATTTTCTGAAGTTTTTCGTTTCTGAAAACGGCTCCCTCCTTTTTCTCTCTTTTTATTATTTTTGTAATTATTATTTCCATCAGAATCGTCCATACAACTTGCAGCAGCACTGTCTTCTGTTGCTGTTGTTTGAACTCCTTCAATTAATGTTTTTTGGTTTTGTTCTGACAAAGCAGATTTTCCATTGCCTTGGGGTGTTCCTGAGGCTGAAATAAATAATTATAATCTTTCCGGAAAATATGATAATAATTTGAAAATAATAATCCAGAAAAGTGAATATACTCGTTCCGGAAATAATTAATTATATTCTTTGAGGAAAGTAGTATATAATCCTTCCGGAAAGTTATATGAAATAAATGTTCCGGAAAATAATTCAGAAAATATAATTAATCTTACCAACAGCCATACTTTTACTATTTTCTTCTTCACCATCTGAGCCCATTTCTACACTTTCCAATGCTTCAAGCAACCTTTGATTTTGTTCCTCACGTGCTAATCTAACCTCGCGATCCTTTTCACTTACTTTAATTTTAATATTTTTGTTTAAACTTTTTTAATCAAACGGTTACATTGTTGTTGTTTTTGTGCGGCCTGTATAGGATTTTGGAGGGCGTCAACTAATTCCCTGTGGGCATCACTCACATAATCTTGTATTTCTATATGGACAAAAAGTGATGGTCCGAGAGGTTTGTTAAAACCATTCCTTAAATCTAAATGGCGATATCCAGGCTGCATTGCTTGAATAGGGATAACACGTTGACATAACATACGTGAAGTGCTGAAAGAATAAATTGTATTTTACTGGGAATAATTTTGTATTAAAATATATATTAATATATTCCGGAAGCAATGAACTTTACATATATTTCCGGAAAAGTATATTTAATATTATATCTATACTCCTTCCGGAAAATAATCCATGAGAATAAGTATATTTCCGGAAAATATATTTCAGTAAAAGTATATTAGTATTCCTTCCGGAAAATATTTATTATTTTTTCCGGAAAATAACTCTCCATCTAAAAAAGTATAACTCAACATTTTTATAAATTCTTTCCGGAAAATAAGTTTAGAAAATATTTTCCGGAAACTTTCCTGAGAATATATGTATATTTATTTACCCTTCTTCATATACTGAAAAGCGTAAGAATGCCATCGCGGGCAAAATAATCTTTTCCACGCGGAAAGAACTCCCACCATAGATATCCATAAAAATAGTGTTAAGTCCATCAGAAGTTACTGAAGGTGTTCGGAACATTCTAAAATTAATTTTTAATTTTCTTTTTTTTAATTTATTTTTACCTTTTTCTCGAATCCCCTGGAAGTCCAAACAAATCAATTTCAACATAAACTGCCATTTTTGGTTTATCACAAATTAGAGAAAGTAATTGGACGGAAATGACAGTTAAACAAAGTGAATAAGGAACCTTTTTAAATTTACAGAAAAATATTTTTTTCTTAAATTAATCAAAATACTCACAACATTTTCAATTCTATCCAACTCAAAAGGACTAAAACTAAGATTTGGTTCACTCATACAAGCAGGTTTAGCTATATAACCACATTTAGCATTCATTTCAAAAAGGGCAAAATTTATTTGATTGGGTAAATCGGGAGTTTGTAAATTAATGGCAGACATTTGACAACCGCTTGAATGAGAAGGAAATATTTTTACCGTATTATCTCTATTAGAATGCCCCTCTCCATTTGAATGCCCCCCTCTAATAGAATGCCCCTCTAGCGGAAGATCGAAAAATACAATGCCCCCCTCCATTTGAATGCCCCCCTCTAATAGAATGCCCCCCCTTTTTTTGCTGAAATTTTTCTGAATAAAAAAGATATTAAAATTTATATTTAAAACGTTTACTACATATTCACTTTTAATCGTAGTAGGAATTTTCCGAGTTCGAGTAATCCGAGTATTATTATCCCGAGTTCCGAGTCGAGTAATTACGCAAAAAAGCCGAGCGGTCGAGTCGAGTAACTCGAACTCGCTCGAACTCGACTTACTCTATTTTATATTATAGATAAAAATTTTTGATAAAAATTTTTTCAAACTTTAAAATTTAGTCATCGAAAAATACAATGCCCCCCCTCCATTTGAATGCCCCCCTCTAATAGAATGCCCCTTTGGAAGGTGATTGAAAAATAGAATGCCCGGGCATTCTAGTAGAGATAATACGGTAATTCAAAAAAAATTTTCTTTACCAATTCCAAAAGATTAAAGGCATATAATTGCTTGAATCAACACGGGATCTTTAATTATTTTTAATTAAAAAATTATTTAAATAATATGTATACCAACCCTTTGGGGTAAACACGTGTAATTTGTCGTATATTATGGTTACTAAATTCTTCTGGATACTGTAAATATTTAATAATTAATTTTATAATTAAAAATACAATTTTATTATATTTTAGGTAAAATTCAAAATTCGATCCGGAAAATAATTTAGGAAAATAAAAACTTTCCGGAACAGAATAAATTAAAATTATTTCCGGAAAACGTTTAGATAATTATAAACTTTCCGGAAAAAGAAAGAAAGTTAATTTGTTTCCGGAAAAGAAATAAAATTAAAAACATTTTCCGGAAAACTTTTCTTCCGGAAACAAAATTAAAACTTTTTTCCGGAATCAAGCTGTATTTTTCTAAAATACAAGTTGTATTTTCCAACCTGTTTAAGCAACTCAATAGCTTTTGTTTCATTTAATGAATAAAGCTCTGTGCTAATTTGACGCTCATTACAACGTTCAAAGCTTGTTATTTTTCCCATAGCGCGCATCTTTAAAAAATATTTTTAAATAAAAAAATATTTTTATAACCCACATAAGTAACTAATTCACTCAATTCTGTTACTGTTGAGGTTGTTGTTGCTTCAGTAATATTTGTATTTGTTGTTGTATTTGTTGAGGTAGAGGTTGTTGGTGTAATTGTTGATGATAAAACTTTGTTGTCGAAGCTTTCAACGCTTGTTGTCGTTTGTCTTGTTATGTTGCTCCCAGCAGGTTGATCATCATCACACGACCCCAACTCTCCGATGAAGACTTAAAAAAATTTTTTTTCTTTGAATTAATAATTCTGATTCTCGATTCTGATTTTTCTTTTTTGATTCTTCTTTTACAATTTTACAATTTTACAATTATTAAATAAAAACCTACTCCTTGTAACAGTCCTCTCCTCTTCCAATTCAGGCCTGTCAGTAACCGAATCCATTGATCCTATATTCTCTTTTAAATTAATATTTTTTAATTCTGATATTTTATCCATAGAATTAATAGTTGTTAAAGTATTCAATTGTTCCTTCTGTGGAGTATCAGAAACAGCCCCTCCTCCATTTCTTTTTTCTTCAATTTTATTTTTAATCAAAATTTTTCTTCGCAATAAATTTGGGCTAGGCAAACTAACGCCTGGTTTTCCAACTTGAAAATAAAATAATAAATTACAATTTGTAATTTTAATTTTACAATCTTAACACTAAAATAATTGTAAAATTATTGCAATAAGCTTTAATAAAATTATAATTCGATTTTACAATTTGTATTTTTCTTTTCAAGTTTATTTTTTGACGCTTGTTTTTCCAAGTTTAAAAGCTGGTAGGGTAAAATACAAATTGTAATTTTAGTTTTACAATTTGTATTTCTTAACGCCTAGGTTTCCAACTTGAAATTAAAAAGAAAAAATTACAATTTGTAATTTTTAAAACTTGGATTTGTAACTTGAAAAGCTGGAAGGCAAAATACAAATTGTAATTTTGGTTTTACAATTTGTGAATAATTTTCTTTATAAAACTTTACTAGGGTAATTTTCAATGCTTTCAGTCAATAACAAATCTCCAAGTATTTCCCTGCAATATTGGGCCATCACGACTTGTTGCTTTTGACTGCAGTGATTTTCAAATGATAGGATTACTGGGAGATCCGAAGTAACGAATGCTGTCTCGGCTATTGCTTTGATTACATCCTTAAATTTAATTAAATAATTTTGAAAAATTTTTGCCAAAATCTCTGGGGTAGACTTAATAATTTTTTATTATTCATTATATTCTAGAGTTTTACCAGAAGTTCCGGTTCCGGAAAGTTCCGGCGTTTTTTGTTCCGGTTCTGGGATCCGAAACTCAAATTGGATCCTGTTCCGGTTCCGGTCAAAATTCGGTTCCGTGAAACACCAGTATGTCAAAATCACCAGTATATTTATTAACAAATCATTCCCTCTTTTATACCTTAAAAAGTATTGTTGTACAAAAACAAATATGAGTAGGTCCATGTGTAATCATCGGATCCCCATTAGGTCCATCCCAACAATCAAGCTCCACCGAACGGCAACCCGACAGCAAAGCATATCTATATATAGAAACTGAAGAACGGGACTTCATTTGTCTTCCTTTTAGGTAAGTATTGTGTGAAGAGTGGATAAAATAATGACTAAAACAAATAAATAATTTAAATAATATTTTTAAAAATTATTTAGTTCTTATAGTATGGAAATGAGTAAATTAACGCTTAGTTTCCAGCTTGAAGAATGAAAAATAAATTTACAAATTGTAATTAAAGATTGCAAACTTTTGAAGGTTTTGTATTTTCCTTTTTTAATTTTTATTCTGGTTTTTTCAACTTATTTTTTTAATATTTTGATTTATGTACTATATTTTCTTGTGTATTTTCTTTTGTTCTCTCCTTGTTTTTAGTTAGAAATTTTGTTTAAATAATTAATTTTCTACACAAAATTGAAAAATTTTTATTTACCTCAAAGGTCTATTTAACGAATCATCATTTTTCTCATAATATTCCTTCATTATAGGTAAATTATATCCACTCAATAAAAACCTAATAAATCCACTCTCATTTAAACAACCACTACTACCAACATTTTCTTCTTCTTTCCCCTCCTCTCTATCTAAATCAGTTAATTGACATTCATTTACAATTTTTAAAGCAGAATCTGTAGACATTAAGGGATACAAAATTTCATTTAATCTTTTATCCCTCTGGTCTTCAATTAAAAATGTGTGGAATTGTGAAAGGTTAATAGAAGTAGAATTATTAAATTTTTGATTAAATATAGCTTCAATGTCGCTTCGATTAATACAAATTTGGTAAAGCTTTAATAAAAATGAATGGTCTAATAAAAGTTTGGAAGTTCGTTGGCGCTTGAAAAAATAATTTAAATTAAATTCTGATTTTTGTGTTTTTAAAAAATTTTATTCTGATTTTTGTGTTTTCTTTTCATAAACTTAAATTCTGATTTTTCTCTCAAGTTTTCTCTTAATTCTGATTTTTGTATTTTTTGTATTTTGTTTTATTCTGATTTATTTCTTACAATTTCCTTTATTTCTGATTTTTGTATTTTCTTTTTTAACCTGAATTCTGTTTTTTTCCAAGTTTATTTATAAATTCTGATTTTCTTTGTTTATTTATTTCATTACAAATTTATTTAAAAAATTTCTACTTGAAATTTTATTTATTACCTTATCCTTCAAAAAAGGCAATTTTCTAACCAAAATTTCCTCTTGTATTTTTCTTTCTTCTTTTTGTTTATCAGAAGGGAAAAGGATTTGTAAAAGTTGTTCAATACTAAAAGATTGTTCATCTGAGAGGGAGCAACGTAGAGGGGCGAAAAGCTTTCTCCAATAAAACCAATTATCATGAACAGAACGGTGGTGTTTTAAAGCATATTTACGTAATTCCTTTAAAAATATAAGCAATTAATTGTTTTATTTCTGATTTTTGTATTTTTTGAAGTTTACTTAAATTCTGATTTCTGTATTTTCCTTTTTCCTTTAATTCTGATTCTTGTATTTTCTCCTGTCAATTTACTAAATTCTGGTTTTGTATTTTACATATATTAATTCTGGCTAGATAATTCTGATGTTTAATTTTTTAAATTCTGATTTTTTCTTTTAAGTTTTTTCTTTAATTTCTGATTTTTATATCTTTGGGATTTACTTAATTCTGATTTCTCTCTTAAAATTTCTTTTAATTCTGGTTTTGTATCTCTCCAAACAATTTATTAAATTCTGGTTTTTGTATTTTTAAGATTTACTTAGATTCTGAATTTTGTATTTTCTCTAATATTAATTTATTAACCCCTTACCTGTACCCAAAGCCTCGCAGTTTCCGCAGACTTTGCAAGAAATACAAAAGATGAGGGACTAACAAATTTTCTCCCATGCATCACAGTTACCATTCCTTGACAAAAATCATTATTTGAAGTATTTGTAGCAAATCCAGTAGCCATTTGTTGTAAAGCTAAAGCCCCGTTTTCTGTTGTTATTTTGTTTTTGTCTGGGGATGTTTGGCCTAACAAAACATCCACAATTTCGTCTAAATAGACAAATTGTTCTAATGTTGTTTCTTTACGAATACAACTGCGGCACCATAAAATCTTTAAAACAAATTTTTTAATATTTTTAAAAAAATTTCAAAATTAAAAAATCCTTTTTTTGGAATTTTTTCAAATAAAAATTCTGTTTTCTGAATTTCCTTATTTATTCTGATTTATTCTTTTAAAGTTTATTTTTATTCTGATTTTTGTATTTTCCCTATTTTTTCTTATTAATTTTTATTCCCAGCTTTATTTACTAAAATTCTTGATAAAAATTTTAAATTCCAAAATTTTTAAGGAAATGATGTATTTATATTTTAATATTTTTAATTTATTTTTATCATTTTTATGACTTCATAATTTGTATTTATTTTAATAAACTATTTAACAAATTTAATTATTTTAATATATTTAAATTTTAATATGCGTCAGACAGACATTTAATTACTAATTTTTAAAAATAATTTTCTTCTGGAAGTATAAATTCTTCAAAAAAATAATAAAATAAGAAGAGATAAGAAAGAATAAAGATTATTATGTTAAAATATTTAATGGATTTTTAATTTTTAAAAATTGATTTTTGAAAAATAATGAAAAAATTTCAGCTTGACTAAATTTTTGATTTTATATTGATACTAGAATAATAATAATAATTTTATTAATTTATTAAATTACTACATAAATAGGAGTTGAGTAGTTAGTACATACAAAATTATGTACGTAAACTCAATTTAAAGCGAATTTTTCTAATTGGTTGATCACTGGGTAATGTGAGGGGAGGGCTGCCTTAAGCAATACAACCAAATCTAAGTATTATCATTTCATTTTTAATTTTTTCCAAAAAGCTGTAAACATAATTGAAGCCCAACTCTATTTAATTTCTAACTCTTGTACTTATTTATTTGTAATTTTTTCCCTCAAATCTCAAATTTAACTATTAATTCCTCACAGAAACTCCGTCTTTTTCAAAAAAATCCTCATTTACTTACCAATTCCTCTTCATCAATCCCGATATCCACAATTCTTCTTCCCCCGCCTCCATCTGCCGGGCCATCAAATTTAAATACTCTACAAGGGGGTGGGGCGACAGGTTCTAAATCTTGTTGTGATTCAACAATTACTAATAAACTTGAAGATACTTTTCTTGTCCTTAAAAATTAATTAATTAAAAAAATTACGTAAATTTAAAAACCGATTTTGGTTGTCATAATTATCATCAACTATTTGTTGGTGAACATTACTGGGATTAAGCCAATTATTTTCATTATTAATAATGTTTGTGGTTGCTGCTGTCATTTTTCGTTAAATAAACAAAAATACAACTTTTTTTACAAATTGTAATTCTTTTATAATTAATTTTACAATTTGTAGTTTTTATAATAAAGTTGGAATTTTATAGTTATTTTGCAACTTTTTTACAATTTGTACTTATGATGTACAATTTGTAATTATGTGGTAAAACCTGGAAATTGGTTTACAATTTGTACTTCTATTAATGTAGTTAGGTTGTAAAATTACAATTTTGTAATTCCTTTGTAAATTGTAATTGATTTTACAATTTCTTTTTTAAAGTTTTATTTCGTTAAGATAAAACTTTTATCTAAAGTTTTATCTTTAATTATTTATTATTTTTTTTGTTAATTTTAATTATTATTGTGATTTTTTCTAATTTAATAAGAAAATTAATTTTTAGCCAAAATTTTTTAATTATTTATTTTTCTTCTAAAAATATTTAATAGGTATTTATCAAAAAAAGGAACAAAAAATAAATTCTTTAAAAATAAACAAAAACCAATTATAAAAACACTGATTAAAATTAATTAAAAATTAAAATATTTTATTTTTTGATAAAATTTCAAAACAGGAAAGAACAAAAAAGTCGTGCTAGGATAATTAAATTGCGAAATTTTTTTTAAAAAATTATTTAATAAAAGATAAGAGGAAGTATGTAAATGTGTGTGTGGGTTGGTGGTAGGGGGTGAGGGGAATGCTTTTTTCGTGAAAAATTTTTTCTATAGAATGAGGAATTTATTTTTTTTTGATAAAAATGTGGAATAGAAGCAACTTTTTAAAACAACAAAGATCGGGAACATATTTTTGATTTTTTAAGGAATTTAAAGAAAATAATGGGGAGACTGGTTGCTTGTGAAGGTGGTCTTTAACTGTTCTAAAGGTTAAAACTTTTTTCTTAATCAAGATAATAATGAGATTTTTTGATTACTAAAAAGAGGAAATTCTAAGCTATAAAATAGGCGAAAAAAATTTTTTTTAGAAAAATTTTTTAAATATTTGAAAATTTTAAAGTAAACTAAAATCAAAAATGCTCCTCGAAAAAGGGTTTCTTGACAGGAAAATAATAAAATATAAAATTGATATAAAAACGTAAAAATAAATCCTTTTTTGAAATTTTTATGACCTCATCGGATCTTTATTTTTGTCATTTCAAAAAAGAAAGTAAAAAAATATAGGAGAGTATTTTTAAATGAAATTTGCATTGACCGTCAATTTAGGTAAATAAATTCTTTTTTTTGCTGACTTTTAAAATTGCAACGGAAATGCTAAAAAGAAGAGAAAAATGGGGATAAACATAAATAAATATTTAGGTAAATATCCTTTTAAAAATAAATTTATAAAGTTAGAAAAAAAATAGATGGGCGTTTTTAAGTCATTTTTTCAGGGTGTCATATATATGCGGAGATTTCAAGGTACTAGGAGTTACCCTAAAAATTTCAGGACCTACGGCTACTGGGTCTTGAATAGTACCTTAAAGGAGGCTTTTAAAACATTAATTTTGATATTTCAATCGTTTTTAATTTAGATAAAAAAATAAATAAAGAGCTTAAACATAAAGGGGTAAACATTTGACTAGACTTAAACAAACTTAATTAAATTGAACTTAAAAAATAAAATTATAAAAGAGCAAAATAAATTTGAATTATTTAAATTTGAAGGAAATAATTTTAAAAAATTTTAAAAAATAATTTAAAAATATTTTTAAAAATCAACGAAATAAAACAAGAAATTATCACTAATTAATTAATTATTTTCAAGCTTAATGTTTTTTAAAAGTAAATTAAAATATTTTTATTTAAATAACCAAAAACAAATAAAATAATTGGAGGGCATAAAAAATTTATATGTATGTATAAACAAAAAAATTATTTTTCAAAAATTATGCCGGTCACGAGAGAAGAAAGAAAAACACAAAAACAACAAGATTTGTAGGCTGTTTGGTAATAACGTCGAATAAAAATTGAATTTCCGTTGAGTGAAAAGATGATTTTGATGAAATACTTATTTAGAGAAAAAGAGTACGTTAAACAAAATAAATAAAAAATTTGTGAAAGAAATTGTTTGTAGCAAATAAGTTTTTAATTTAATAAGAAAAAGTTGCAACTTCAAGTTTTGAGAATAATTACAATTGTAAATTAAAAATCAGAATTTAAATGGGAAAAATCAGAATTTTAATTTATTAAATTAGATTCTGCTCTGATTTGTGTATTTTAAAAAATTCTGGTTTTTCTAAAATTCTGGTTTTTCTAAAATTCTGGTTTTTCTAAAATTCTGGTTTTTCTAAAATTCTGGTTTTTCTAAAATTCTGGTTTTTCTAAAATTCTGGTTTTTCTAAAATTCTGGTTTTTCTAAAATTCTGGTTTTTCTAAAATTCTGGTTTTTATAAAATTCTGGTTTTTCTAAAATTCTGGTTTTTCTAAAATTCTGGTTTTTATAAAATTCTGGTTTTTCTAAAATTCTGGTTTTTCTAAAATTCTGATTTCTCTAACTAAAATTCTTAGTACCTAACCTATTTAAATTCTGATTTAATAAATTAAAATTCTGATTTTTTAATTTACAATTGTAATTATTCTTTAGAATTGTAACTTTATATTCTCATTAATTAAAATTCTAAAAATTCTGATGTTTTATTTAAAATTCTGATTTTTAATTTTTGACATGTTTTATATCAATTATGCTTTTTTGCCAAGTTGGAAATATATGGGGGAATAATACAAAAAAATTTTTATATTAAATAAGGGGGGCTGTGTGACTGCGAATTGGCTGCGATTGTCAAATATGAAGAAGAAATAAATAAAATGAGGGGATGAATAATGAATAGGGGGAAGAAAAATATTTTATATTTTATTAAAGAATGGCGGAACGAAGGGGAAAAATAAATAAATAATAAAGGCAAAAAATTGGTTTTTTGCCTTTATTATTTTTGAAATTTATTTTAATGAATTTTAAATTAAAAAAAAATTTTTTATAAAAGATTATGGCTTGAAAATTCTAAGGAAGTTTTTCTTTGTTTATTAAAGATAGGATAATATAGAATTTTAAAAAATCAAAAACGGTCGAGATAGGATGAACTTCTGACTTAATTTCTACAATTTATATTTTATTGTACTCATAAGAGTTGTTCCTCGTCCCCAAAAGCAGGGAGAATCTGAGAGTTTTTTTTTAAATTCCTTGCCCCCCCCCTCGTCGGGGAACAACCCTAAATAGTACCTATCCTTAATCAAAAATTATCAGGTAAACGCTGGTTTTTACTCAAAAACTTTTTTTTGTTAATTAATCAAAAATTTTTGTTTAATATTAATTTTGTAGCTAATTCAATTTTCTATCTAAATAATGTCAAAAAAATTTTTTTAAGTTTTTAACTGACCCCAATCAAAGCGTTGTCTAAAATTTAATTTAATTATACTATTAAAATTTTAATAAAAAAGATGATTGATTAAAAATAAAAATAATTAATTTAGTCTAGATCAGTTTACCTATTATTTAATGGCTCACCTAATTTTATATTTGTTTTAAAGTTTAAATCATTTGATTAAAAAAATTTTTTTCATTTTTTAAATTAATTCTCGATTAAATAATGAAGAGGAGATTAAATTTTTTATTTATTTAAAACTGTTAATAAAAATAAAAAAAAGTTTAGACAGAAAGGTGTCAACAATTTGACGAAGAAAAGTAGAATAATATTAAGTAAATTAGTTTAAAATTAATTTGATTAAATAATTTAAAAATTTAAAATTATTTGTTTTTAGGTTGTGACGTCAGCATTGTTTTGATCTACTATATCTTTTTTTAAATATTTTTTAAACTAATTTTATATCATTCTAAAGCTCTTGACACTAAAAGTACTGAAAGATTTAAAATTTAATTTAAAATTTATAAATGAGTTGCTTCGCAAGTTGAATGCCCTACACTTAATAGTAATAACCCCAGGTTCTAATTAGAGGAAGCACATTATGTAGAAAAAATCACAATTTCCTCGTTTATTGGTCTATAACTTTTGTTTTAATGATCAATTTGATTCTGTTTAGAGAAATAATCAGTACATTTAGAGTTTTAAAATGATCTTAAACTTAATAGGGAATATTTAAAAATAAAAAAAATTAAGGGAGGAATACTTAGCCAAAGTGTAAAAAAGGAAACTCGCTTTAAATTCAACAAAAATATTTTTAAAATAAATTTAAAGTAATAAATCATTTTTAAAAGAAAATTAGGGTAAATAATTAATTTAAAAAGAAAATAAAAAGTACAAAAGTGCAAATAGAAAAGTGCAAAAATACTTGAATAAACTCTGTCCTCCGATCAATTTGAGCGCTGAGTGAAGAAATACACACATTTATATAAATAAATAAAAAACAACCACCTTTTGATTAATAGCAATTGAGTAAAACACAAATAGGTAATTGCGGTTTGGGTGCTTATTAAATAAATTTTGGAGAAAAAATAAAATTTTGTTTTGTAAAATAAGTTTATTTAAATATGAAGTAATATGTATTATTACTCTTTATTTTTATTCAACCTTTCCGATTATCTAAATAAGTTTTACAAATTTTATCCGGATTGTACTATAATTTCTATAGTCCACATGATAAAGTTTATTTAATAAAAGTTTTGATTAAAAACAAGTTTATTTAATGTGTTTTTCCGGTTTTATTCAAACATTTCCGGTTTGTATTTTTCTAGCTCGATAATTTATCAGAAAAGGTTTATTTTTTCTTTTAAAAAAGTCTTTTTTAAAAAAATATTTAATTAATCAACCGAAGCAGAATTCTATTAAAATTATTTTTAAATGCTTAAAATGCTTCATTTAATTTTTCAAGTTCTAAATTGTAAAAAGGTTAATATTTACATTAAAAAATTTTTTTGGATTTTTTAAAAAATTTTAAATTAAAAAAATATATATTTTTAAATTTATTTTAAAAAATTAATTTTGTCGAATTAAACAATTAAATAAGCGAAGTTCTATTCCCTAAAATTCTTGCATTCTGTGGTTGCTCATTACTTCCAAAATTTGATGAAAATGTTCGAGACGTTTTTCTAATTAAAGCCCGAATATAATCTTAAAAATTTAAATTTTTTAAATTTAATTTCCTCTCTAAAACCTCTCATTCTATTTGTAAAGGCTATAAACACAAAAGCATTTACGGAAGCAGAAAGTACATTCAAAACATTCCCAATATTTGAACGAATATAGTCTGTTTTGGTTGGACATTTATGTTTAATAATTAATTCCCATTTCCTTCCCAAATTGTAAAGGCTCATTGAATGAAGTAAAAGATATATAACTATCATTAGTACAATAGATATTGTAGCACGATATTCTTTAAATTTACAAATTGCAAAACCTTTCCGGAAATATTATTACAATTTGTAAAACTCCCTAAGTTATAACACTTACTGTTGTAACCTTTTCCGGAAACCAAAAAAAAATTTGAAATTATTTCCGGAAATTACTTTACTAATTTTAAAACTTTCCGGAATTATACTTTATTTTCCGGAAGCTATCAACTTTTCCGGAAATTATGTGCATAATTTTTACCTTGTTTCTGTCGCCCAGCAATGCAATTCCCCTCTATATTTTTAAAGCCTTGATTGCCGCAATTGTTTGCTTTTATTTTTTGGGACGATTCGGAAGATTGTCTTCGCAGTCTACACAATCCTACTTGTGAAGAAAGAGATAATCTTTGCCGTCGTTGACGCTTCATAATTTCAAAAAGTGTAAGAACAGAAAAGATAAACATTTGTCCAAAAGGGAGAAAATGTGATAAAATTGGATCGAGAATAGAATAGAAAACTATTCTGTATGGTGATAAAGTCTGTAAGTTTAATTTGAATTAATATTAGAAGGAATTAGAAGGAATTTTAAGTTTGCAATTTGTTAAGGATTTACTGAAGATATGTTGAGATACCTATTTAAATATTCCGAAATATTACAATTTGTAAACATTCCGGAAATAATTAAACTCTTAATATTCTAATACCTCAGTTTTTTCAGGCCTTTTTTGTATTTTTACAATAGGATTCCACTTCCATTGCAATTCAACTACAAATGATGGAATCCTGTAGGCAACAATTACCAAAAACAAAATCGCTAACAAGACTCTTGCTCTAAAAATTGTGTCGTTTGAACGAGCGGATACTGGGCGAGAAATCTAATAAAAAATTTAAATATTTTTTATTGAAATTTTTTTCTTCACACTTTCCAGTAACGGTGAGCTGACAACGCTGCAATTGTCCTAAATCCAAAAAATTATTTTTTTGGGCTTTATTATTTATTCGATACCAAATATGTAACATAACTACAGTTTGGTAAATTCTTGGAATAATATTACGCAGAAAGCGCCCCTCAAATAGACAAAAACTACAAATAGAGAGAAAAAGCAATATTAAATTTTAAATAAAATACCTGTAGAAAGTATTCTCAACAGAATGTTGTCCATCACAAAAATCAGGCAACATACTATTTGCCAAAGAAACAATAATGTAGACATGATCAAGAATAAGCAAAGCTTTAAGGTAAACAAGGACACCGGAAACAATTTTAGGGGGCGAACACAGGCAAAATAATGCTGAGCCGTTAGCAAAGAGGCCAACAAGTGAGAGAGGTAAAAGAAGGTAGATATTAATACTAGAAAAATAAGCCTTATAATATTCCGAAAGTTTAATTCCATTAAAAAATCCATTCCGGAAAAATTATACAAACTATTCCAGAGTTATATTCATTCCGGAAGGAATTAAATAAAAATATTTCTCCAACTTTCCGGAACGTTTTATTTCATTTAAATTTATTCCGGACAGTTCTAAATATTTCCGGAAAGTTTCCGAAATAATTTATATTTCCGGAATAATTAAATATAACTCTTGTTACATTCCGGAAAGTTTTATTACTATTATTTATTCCGGAAAAGAAATAATATTTAAACAAACCTAGTCAGTAGGTAATACAATTCATAATCATGAACTTTAGGCTCGTGATAATAACACGAATCATTCATAATTAATTTTAAAAAATAAAATAATTTTAAATAAAGATACTCAATTTTTGGTATTTTGTAAAAATAAATAAAGAAATATAGTAAATTCTTTTGGGCAATAAAAATATATAGGGAGCAGCTGTGGGAACATTTTCTCTCTAAATTGGCATAGCCAAAATCTGTGTTGAGAAATTTTTTGGCCAAATTTTCAACTCAAAATATATATATATATATATTACTGCTATATTAGTGAAGGAATGGCTACTAGCACTATTTTATTTACTTTTTGTAGTTAATTTTATTTTTTTGAGGATCGGTTTCTAAGGAGGGAAAAGGGAGGAGGATGCCCTTAATTTGCAAAGTATGTGCTGCAAACTTGTATATAAAATTTGTAAAATAAATTTATTAGAAAAGTAAAAAAAGGAAAATTTAAAAATTATGAAACAAGCCTTTAAAATTTTTTTTGTAAAATTTAAAGTTTAATAAAAGCTAGTATTATTTAACGTTTTCTTTTTCTTCACATATTTTCTCATTCTTTCCTTATTTGTTAGACGAATATTCTTTTTCTGATTTTTACCAATACTTGTATTATCATCAACTCTTATTCTGAATTTGGGTACTAAAAGAATAACAAATTTAAAAATACCTAAAGAAAACCCCTACCATCACCGTCATAACCTCCAGAATGGAGTGGTACCACTCTTTGCTTTTTACCAATCACTCGACGTATTGGGCTTGCTCTGGCACGTTTTTGTAGTGAAATTGAATTACTTTTCTTTAATTTTGGAATGTCATAGCCATCCTCAATTTCCTTTTCCTTTACTTGTTTTTTAATAATTATTTGTCGTCTTGAGGGTTTTGTTGACCTTGAATCCCTTCTTTTTATTTTTGCATTAGCTTTTGCTACTTCGTTAGCTGGGGGATTCATATAAGCATAGAGATATGGTTGACTAAATAAATAGTTTAAGTAATGGACTTTTTAGTTTAAAAATAAATGGCTTTCAAAATTTGAAGACTCCAATTCAACTTAGTTAAGTTAAAAGCTATATACCTTCTTGTTCTCAGATGTCGCATACGTGCTAGACGTTGTGCCTCTAATAATAGATGAATAAAGAAGATTTTATTATAATTTTGCTTCACCTTTAGATTTGAATATCTCTAGTTAAAGATTCGTTTTTTAAAGTTAACTGACTACAAGGTTGAGATAAAAAATACACTCATTAAGGTGCCTCTCATTATAAGACAAAGGTTCTCAGAGTTAACCTCTATGAACGAGGTTAGATCATAATTTTATATTTTAATATTAATTACCACTCGGTGGCAATTGTTCAGGGTTACATTTACGTCCACACTTCGCCGTACTCCTGTCTGGCAACCCACTTTTTTTATTCACAACAATAATGCTTTGTGCTGCTGCTACAGGGACTAATGAATGCCCAACATGGGGTAATGAATGAGGGAATGAATGTTTATGTTGATTATTTGGAAATTTATTTCTTAAAAGTGTTGGGTGTAATGGACGAGATAATTTGTTTGTTCCTTTAAAAAGAGGAGAAAAAATTGAAATAAAAAATATTTTATTTTAATTTTCAACCTCCTCCTTCTTCTCCTAACCGTTCAGATCCAAACTTTGTTTCTGCCAAGTCGGAAAAGAGGTTCATATGGGATGGTTTATTGCTGAGTGTTTGATGTTGTTTGAAATGTCCTTTAATTGCTGGAGGTATATCGTCGTGATGTTGAGGAATCTATTTTTAAAAATTTTTTTAAAAAATGCTTCTGAATTTTTAAAGAAAATTTGAGTTTTTAGCATTTAAGGATTGAATAAAAAAATTCCTTTTCATTACCACTTGATCTTTAAGCTTCGAAGAGCGAAACAAATTAGTCTCGTCATCATAAGGTCCCGCATTATTTTGTGCGTTGTGTGAAGTTGTTGCGATAAAATTGTTGTTACCAAGATTCGATGGGGAGTGAGGGTTGTATGAAGGTACTGATTTTAAAAATAAAATTTAAAATTAATAGAGTATTTTCTAACCATGAGACTCTCCACTTCCCATCCTTCCTCCAACTTCTCCTCCTCCTTCAGTTTTTTCCTCTTCACTCCCACCAAATAGACGATTTTTTTCTTGTAATGCTCCCAATCCTACTTTATTCCCACCTCCAAATTTACCCAGTCCAATTCCTCCAGTACTCCCGCCTTGGGGTTTTGCTGCAGTTCCAGAAGGAATGCTGAAACCAGCACCGCCTCCAACATATCGGACGTGGTTTAGTACTGTCTTTGGAGCATTTTTCATAAAAACACCTATCAAATAAGCTATATTTTTTAATTTTTCAAAATTTTTTTACCGTTCTCTGAGAGGAGTACACCTCCATCTCCAAAATATACTCCTTTATATGTTGCACATTCACTTGCTGATATACACGCTATTTTTTAATAATTTTAATTAAAAAGAATTTTATTTAAAAGTTTGCCTCCATCATGTGCCCGAACAAATCCTTTCTTTGTCTGACACTCACAACGTGCTGGTTTACATTCTTTACTGCATTTGAGCTTAAAAATTTAGAATGAAACATTTTCCGGAAAACATTTAAAAATTATTGTATTAGTAATTAATATAAAAGAAATACTTTATTTTAAATTTCCGGAATATAAGTTATATATTTCCGGAAATATTATAGTCATTATTTTTGTTTTTCCGGAAAGTTTTTAATATCAGATATGTTGCTCTTATTTTTGTAATATTCTATTTTCCGGAAAATATAATTTTAATTCTATTTTCCGTAATTGTATTTTCCGGAAAAATAAATTAGTTGAATATTATTCTCCGGAAACCTACCACTACAGGTTCTTTACACGTTCCCTCACACCCACCACATTCAATATATTGCTCATTTGCTTGACAATCTTTTAGAAAGTCTGATGAATAAATACATTTATTTGTTAATACAATGGCAAATAATAAAATATATTTTTTATTCATTTATTTACATTAAATATTAAATTTTAAATTAATTAATTGAGCGTGTTAAAAACAATTATGTGACGTCGAAAAATTTTTTCCTTCAATTTATTTTTTTTCTTTTAATTTAACAGAAAATAACAATTAAATTTAACAAGTAAACAACCCTTGTAATTTTATAAAATTAAAAAAATAAAATTATGAAAATAAAAAAAAAACAAAGTCATAATGCAATTTTAGAGCATGTTATAAAACGGGTTTTGGGAAGTAAATAGAACTAATAATAAAAAAGTTCATTCGAGTGAAAGCGCGCAGATTGACCGAAAATAAGCAAAAAATGTAAATTGAGGCAAATTTTTAAAAATAAATTTTTCTAAAAACATTGTTTCCCTTTTGAATGTTTTTAAATTTAAATTAACAACAATTACATACATGTTTGTAAATGTTTAAAAATAAAACAAGCACTTTTATTGTAATGTTGTTATTAACAAAAACAATGTTTTCCTAAGAACAATGTTTTTATAAAAACATTTCCGGAATGTTTGTAAAATGTTTTCCGGAATTTTGTTTTTATAGAACGATTGTTTGGATGAAGTGTTTTTCCGGAAAAGTTTATTTAAAACAATTTCCGGAAAACATTTTGTTTTTGTTGTTTTTGGAAATAACAAAAACAAAATGTTTTCCGGAAAATATTTTAAATAAAATAACCTTTTCCGGAAAAACATTTCCTCCAAACAATGTTTCTATAAATTATTTATTTATCGCGCAACACAACAAAATAATGAACACTTCCTCATAAATTAATTTAGAGTGTTAAATCATCCATACTATAAAATCTGCAATAAATTAGGTAAAAAGTTTGTAAAAAATTTTTATCGTGTCATCGGATCAATTTTTATTTATTTTTTGCTTATGTACTATAATCCTGTTTATAATTGGATTTAATTTTTTTTTATTTTTTCTTTTAAAGAATATTATTTATTTTTTAATGCCACACACACACTTGTTATTTAGTCCAAAAATTAAGGAAAAAAATAAATTTCAGAAAAATTTTATAAAAATTTCATTCAAAAAATTAATTTTTTTTCTTCTTATCAAACATCCCCTTCTTTTCTTTTCTTTAACTCAAATAATTATTATTTGTTTTCACTTTAGTTGTAGCCTTTTGTCTTAATCGTTGACGTTCGTCTGCATAAGCCTTCTGATACCACTTTGCTATCGGCGTCATTTCTTTTACTGGTCTAACCGGAGCCCTCATTTTTCCATTTCTCGAAGGTACTTTTGGCCAGCTTTAATTTAAAATAAATATTTTTTTGATTTTTTAATTTAAAAACCCCGAAGGAGGCGTCGTCTCGTTTTGCTCAAAACGTTGCTGTTTTTGCCGTTGTTTTTTATTTTCGGTAATTCTACTTTGTTTTTCACCCGAAGAATTATATAACGATAAAATAATTAATAAAACACAAAAAATTTTAATTAAATGGTCAGAAAACATTTTTTGTAAAATTTGTGGATATACATACACTATTTATTATAGGATAAATGATGGAAGAAAATCTGGTAGTAATATGTAAACTTGAGTAAAATAAAAGGAGAAAAACACAAATATAATATAAAAAGAAATACAAACAAAGAAACAAGTTTTATTTGTTTATTTCTAATATCTAGATTAAATAAATAAACTTTCCGGAATATATTGGGAGTATATTAATAATTATAGTAATAAAATATAAACTTTCCGGAATATTTATTTCTTTTCCGGAAATTTTATTAGAAACATCAGTAAAATAATAATAACAAACTTGAAGGAATATTTTGAAAACTTAAGTTTCTAAAAAAACAATTAAATTATTTATTGTTACAAAAATCACTTTGACTTAATAATTTGCAATAAGTTTATTAATAATTTGTTTGGAGATTCAAAATTGGCGATTAAATTATTTGGAGATTAAAATACAGATGAATGACCCCATTTAACACAATAGCTTTTTTAATTAAATATTTATCAAACAATCTATCATTGTAATTGTAAAATTTTTTATTTATTTATTGACAAATTCAATACAAAATAAATTAAAAGTAAATCAGAAAAAATTCCAAAAATTATATGTGAACAAAATATATACGTTAAATTTGTTAAATTACCATTCAAAACTCAATACACAGTTTCAATAATTCCTAAATTCCTTGGACTTATTAATTTTCATAGACTCTAAAGGGTGCTTTATGATTTCGGCAGAAGTGACGTAGGCAATGGTTAAATGGGTAGTGAGTGTTTAGGCAGTGAGGTGAATTGGGCTGTGAGTGATTTGGGCAGTAAACGTTTTTAAAGAAAATATTTTCCACATAAAAACAATTTGAGTATCATCGGATTATGAGTGATTTAGACAGTAAATTATTGTTTTTAAAAAACTATTAATGCTCACACATTTAAAAGTTTATATTAAAGTGTAAATGATCAGCACAAGCTTGGAGGCATAATATATTCAAGAAAAAATATATTTCAATACAAATCCGAGCCCTAGTCAAATCCGAGCTCTGAGGAATAAAATTTACTGCCCAAATCACGTATAATTATTTTTTCTTTGATACTCAAATTGTTTTTATGCGGAAAATATTTTTTAAAAAACGTTTACTGCCTTAATCACTCACTGCCCAGTTAACCACTGCCTACGTCACTTCTGCCGAAAGCACCAGACACGCTCTAAAGAGAGACAATTAGAATTGAGATAATTAATTTTTTCCATTTTTCTTTTTGTAACATAAATTAAATTATCGAACTAACTCAGAATTTTACAAATTAAATTATAAAAATTAAATAAATTAAACACAAATTAAATTCAAATATTCATTAAATTATGTACCTAATTTTAAATTTAATAATTTTTCTTTAAAAAATTTAAAATAAAATATCTTCACTTTTTATTCCCTTTTTCAATTAAAAAATACAAAAATTAAAATATTAGAAATGTTTAATTAAAATAAAGGCAAATTTATTACCTGGTTTCATATCGTGCGAAAAAAAATTTTTTAAACAAGCTTATTAGTCCACTACAAAAATTATTGTTTACTCAATTTTTAATAAAAGTATAAAAATATTTAAAAAAAAAATTCTTATTTCGTGTATATCAGTTGAAGTTTAATTCACATACACAAATTTGTCTAATTAAAATATTACGGTAAAATATTTGTAATTTTAATTAATAAAAGGTGTATATAAATACGAGAAATTATAAGCCTTTAATTATTTTAAAATTAAACGGAAACATTCCGGAAAATTTTTTAAAAATTATTTTAAAATATTACAGTGTGTAACAAAACTATAACCCCACCTAAAATTTTTTTATTTCTTAAGGTTCTAATAAACAGAATTTTTTAATTTTTATCCAATATTGAAAATGTAATTTCAAGCAAAAATTAAATAAATTTTTATTAAAAATTTTTACAAAAAAATTTTTTTTAACTTTTTATGAAATATAGGTGTAACATAACATCAAATACCGTATTTACTCTAATAATCCCCCATTCTTTATTAATTCCCCAGTCTCTATTAATTCCCCACCCTAGGGACGGGTTGAAACAATAATCCCCCAGCCTCTATTAATTCCCCAGTCTCTATTAATTCCCCACCCTAGCGATGGGTTGAAACAATAATCCCCCTGGGGGATTACTAGAGTAAATACGGTAAACCCACTTGGAAAAATTTTATTTTTCAATTAGAAATGCCCGAAAATAAATACGGTAAAACATGTTTTACAGAAAAGCATGTTTTAATTTTAGAAAAGTTTTTAAAAAATAATAAAATTTGTGTTTGTTTGCGTTTTAAAAATGTTTTTATTAAAAATGTTTGAAATTAATTTCGTTTTAAATAATTGTTACAAAACTTCCTTTTTATTTAAATATTAACAATTTAATTAATAGTAATTTTCAATGACAATCCAATTTTTTGTTTGGCTCTCTTCTTTAAGAATTCAATTTATTTATTTTGCAATTGTAATTAGTCTTCCTTCATTAATTCTTTATTTAATTGAAATAATTACAATTATTGGAAATAAAGAGTTTCACAATCCTTTTTACAAACTTTTTTTAATTCGTTCCGTTCCGGTAAGTTTATTTTACAATTACAAATTCTGGAAAATATTTCCGGAAAAACATCTTCAAAACATGTTTATTTTAAATTTCCGGAAAAACATGTTTGAAAATAAATACATAAATATATTTCCGGAAAACATGTTTGAGTAATATTACAAACCCTTTCCGGAAAAACATGTTTTAGATAATTTTCCGGAAAACAAGTTTTCAATTAATAATTTTAGAATATTCTCTACACACTCGACTCTTATTATTGTTATCGCCTAACAGTTCTTTTCGGTAATTGGCTATATCCTTTTTACGATTCATTGCCAAATTGGATGTTACGTCTTTCTTTCTTCCTTACATATTCTACAACTTTAGCTGATTTTTTGGCGACTTCTTTAATTCTTGTAAATCGTTGGACTGCAATTACTATGGCTATTAGTTATAAAAGGGTATTTAAATAGCCTGTTTTTTTTTAAATATATGTGCAAAAAATTCCGGAAACATTCCGGAAAACATTGTTTATTCAATCTTGTTTTGTTTCCTGACTCAATTCTGTTTTCGGAAAAATGTTCAAATCTAAACAAGTATTAAAAAAGCTCAAACATTTTTATTCCGGAAAATTAACACAACTTTTTTTACAAACAAAATTCTGAAACTTTACAATTCCCTTAAGGTTTGGAGTAAACTCATTTTACCTTCTGCATTGATAGTGTTTGGAATTCCAACTTTATTGTATATACCAATACTCACTGTAAATTGTTACCTTCAGAATGATACAAGTTCTGGAGGTTTTTACATAAATCAGGATAAAGTTGTCAGTTAACTTTTTAAATTTTAAATAAAATATTTAATAAAATTTTTAGACTTTTTATCAAGGATTTCCTTTAAACGTTTTTCTCTGTGTCAGCTTTTTGGTTGTTTGTATTCTTCTTAATATTGCAACTTTAATTTCTTATCGAAAACATTGCAAGAAGGATAAAAGAAATAAGAGTAATCAACAAATACATCATGAAAAGACTGAATATAAATTAATGGTTTATGCTATTGCTACTTTTGTTGGGCATTTAATAATTGTTTTAGAACAAGTAAATGCTTATATTTTGCCGGAAAAACATTGTATTATGTTTCCGGAAAATTTTAAATTAATTTAAGATTCCGGAAAAACGTTGTTTACTTTGTTTCCGGAATCATTGGAAAACATTGTTTTTATGTTTAATTTTTCCCGGAAAAACATTGTTTATTTAATTTAGTTATCAGAAAAACATTCTTTTAGATAAATTCATTGTAATATTTCTTCAAAAAACATTGTTTTATTGAATTTTGTTTTAGGAAAAATGTTTGAATTAGTTAAAGTTACGAAAAAAACATTGTTTATTTTTATTTGTTGGAAACCTTGTTTTGAAGTGTATTTTCTTTCCGGAAAACATTGTTTTATTAAGTTTTGTTTCAGGAAATGTTTGAAAAAACAATGCTTAGAAAACCTTGTTTTATTTTTAATTTTATTTTTTAAAAAACATTGTTTAAGTAAATTAATTTACGCAAAACGAGTTTTAACAATGTTTTTTAAATTATTTTTATTTTCCCAATTATTTAGCTATCAACAACAATATTTAAACAACCTGAATATGCTGCTGCTGTAATAACTCAATATCCTTGGACAATGGATTTTGGTTCTGTTGTTTTGCCTAGCTGGTTATTGTTTTGGGCTAGTGATAGTTTTAGAAAATTTATTTTTAAAAAATTTTGCCCAAAATTTTTACAAAATATTAGTATTACAATTAAATTTAACGCTGTGCAACAAGTAACAATGGTTAAACCTGTTAATAATGTGCATAATACAAAAACTTAGAAATAAATTTACAATTCATTTTGTAATTTACAATTATCCATTTGTAAAATACTTTGCTTTACCACAAATTGTACTTTTATCAGAAATTGTAATTTCCAGAATAACTCATTTATATTGTACTCATATTTACAATTGTAAAAATTGAAAAACTTTTTACAGAATTTGTAAAATTGTAATTTCAAATAATTGTGAATTTACAAATTCTGATTATTTCAAAACAAAATTGTAATTTTCAGAAAATAAACTTTTCCCTCCTAACAAAAACTAGAATAAATATCAGAATTTGTAATATACATATAATATTTTTATACAATTAACTGGCAAGTTTAAAAATAAAAAATATCATTAATTGAGGAGTAAATATTTTAAATTAATTTTTTAAAACAATGAAAGGCAGTGTTTAAGCATAAAAATTAAATAAAATTATGATAGGGTAATATTTTTTAAATTTTAATCATCATCAAAATCATCATTCCATTTATTTTCATCATAAATGTCTTCATACTCCTTAGAAAATTCAATAAATCTTTTTGTTTCATTATTATTAATTTCAATTTGATTTTCTAAAGATGGCGGGGAAGGTGGAAGTACTTTTGGACGAATAAAAGAATTAGAAAGTCCAGAAGACGTAGGTAGAGGTGGAAGAGGTGGAGGTGATCTTTTTGGTCTGTTGAGGGTGTTGGAAGAATAACTAAAGAAAAATCAGAATTTTGAAAAACAAGAATTTTGGAAATCAGAATTTTGGAAATCAGAATTTTAAAAAATCATAATTTAAAAAAATCAGAATTTTGTAAATCAGAATTTTAAAAATCAGAATTTTGTAAATCAGAATTAAAAAAAATCAGAATTTTAAAAATCAGAATTTCGAAAAATCAGAATTTAAAAAAATCAGAATTTTGGAAATCAGAAAAAAAATCAGGATTTTATTAATCTTTATATTCCCTCAGATAAAATTCAGAATTTCTAAAATTGAAATTCAGATAATAATTGTTAGTTTATTACAAATTCTGATTTTATAAAACGAAAATTACAATTCAGAAAATAAACTTTAATTGCAATTACAAATTCAGATTTTCTAATATTGCAATAAGTTTTAAAACAAATTTCTGATTTTATTATTATCAGTATTTATTTACTTACCAAAGATTATTTTTCAACGGTGGTGGGGGAGGTGGTCTAACGGGTCTTCTAACAATATCGCAACTTCGACTGCCTGCATTTAATTGACTCTAAAATTTAATTTAAAAAAATACTTTTTTATTAATTCATTTATTTACATTTAATTGTTTCCTTCGTCTTCTTACAATTATTCCACTGCATATTGACCATTTTATACGTTCCCAAAGGGCTCGAAGCCGACTAGTTAGCAACCATTCAATAAACGGCAGTCTAATTGTTTTTATCGTTGTTTGTTCGGCTGGTAATTCGACAGAGACTTGTTTCGTAAAAAGTGGGGTTGTTGAAGGCTTTTGTTGGAGAGTTTTGACAGCTATCTTATTGTTATTTTCCTCTCCCCCAACAAAGGGCGGTATAGGCACAAAGAAATGATAATAACGTCTACGGCATTTTGGAGAATTGACAGATGTTTGGGGTAGACGAGCAACTGCACAGGGAAAGAGAAGCCATAAAAGAAATGGACCTGATGCTATAAGTCCAAATAAAATGCCTAGTAGCCACTGAAATGAAGAAAATTCAGAATTTTATATTAAATCAGAAGTATATTCTTTTCCGGAAATAAAATCTAACCTTCCCGGAAAGTTTATTTTAAAAACATTTGTATTTTCCGGAGATTGTAAAAGTGTATAAACCTCAAGTTTGTAATATATTTAAACTTACAACAGCCCATACCGGCCATCTCCTAATACATTTTTCCGGTACACAATTCCACTCATTACATTTATCAGCAAGCCCACAATCGCATTGCTCTCCCTCTTCATAAACTCCATTACCACATATTGGAAGTGAGGAGGTGTGAGCCTCTGCTTTAGGTTCGCGCAGCAGACAACGTGTGCGCAAAGCCATATTTACCATTAATTGTAATGTACAGTCTTGGTCAAAACCACTTGAATAAAATATTTTATTCAGAATTTTTTAAATTTTATTTACGGAATTTTCAAACATCCAGCTCCAGATGGTATCACGACTTTTGCGCCGAGAACATTTGCGCCGCGACTTATGCGCCGCGACTTTTGCGCCGGGCGACTTATGCGCCGCGACTCTTGCGCCGCGACTTTTGCGCCGGGCGACTTATGCGCCGCGACATTTGCGCCGCCATTGTTTAGAAAATCCGGATCTGAAAAATGCCGGATATCCGATATTTTCAGTTCGGATATCAGATCTGAAGATTTCCAACTATTCGACAACCCTACTAAAGTGAGGTCCGGCTGTAGTTATTGATATATTTTTAATGATAGTGGCGGCGCAAAAGTCGCCCGGCGCAAAAGTCGCGGCGCAAAAGTCCCCCGGCGCAAAAGTCGCTCGGCGCATAAGTCGCGGCGCAAAAGTCGCGGCGCATAAGTCGCGGCGCAAATGTTCTCGGCGCAAAAGTCACTGAACCCTCCAGATATACGCCTATCAAGCATAGCATTGCTTTCCAATTTTTTCTCTCCTTCCTTATTTTCTCTTTTATTTTGAAGCCGCAGTTTTTCTGGATTATTTAAATTATTACAAGCACAATTTGGAACATTCAAAGTTTCGTTTTCTGGACGGTGTGGGACTCCAATAAGATGAGCTACTTCATGAAAGAATATAGAAGCCATTGCTTCTGGGTTGTGAGGATAAAACTTTAAAAAATAATTTATTAAGATTAAATAATTCTCCTAACCCCAGCAAGCATTACACTCTTAGAATTACACATTCCCCCAACAAAAGCAAGTCCTCCCGCATAACGATAACTAATTAAAACAGCAAAATCATGAAAAGGAAGTTGTGCCATTCTTGAATTACGGTAAAGCTCGAAAGTGTAAAGTGACAAGTCATCCCGGAATGTCTCCAAAACATCGACAACAATTAAACGGAGATTTATTTGATAAAAATACTGAATAATTTTTTAGATATTTTTTAAAAAGTTAAAGGAAAAACTTGCATTATTTGCTTCTTTGGCCAGACGCATTACCTCGCGTTTAACGATTACATGCTCGCGTCTGTAGTGATCAGACTTGAAAAAATATAAATAAAAATAATTATTTCTTAATTCCAACCGTTTTTAAATCAACAAAAATAAGAGCATACAAATAAATATTTATGTGAGGATCTAATGCTGCTAAAGAATAATCTGGAGCTGGATCGCCCCAAACCGCTGGAGCCCTTTTCCAACGATGGTGGCGACGGAGTTGATGGTTAGTTGGGGAAATGTTGGAAGTGAGTGGTGAAATAAAACATTTTTGAGCTTCATCATTATTTGCCTTTTATGAAAAGAGAAATTTAGAAAATTTTATTAAAAATTTCTTTTACAGCTCTTTAAACAAACGATGAAACCGAGCGTTTAAAAAGCTGCTAGAGGAAAGTTAATTATTAAATTAATTTTTGGGTTACAATTGAGGTTAACTAGTTTAAAAAACATTTTTTAAATATAATTTAACTCTTACAAAAATTTAAAATAAATCTGACCTGATTTCTAATAAAAGACCCGTTAAATCTGTCTTTGTCTTTAATGTAGTTTTGTTCCAGTTTTTCTCCGAAATTATTTTTTAAGCAATAAATAGGTAATAAAATTACAAATGTCCAAAATATAAAATATATTAATGTGGATTGGAGTAGCCATTGTGAAAATAACATTCGTGTCCGTATATACGGCTCTCATTACATTATAGGCCGCTCCACTTAAATTTTGATAAAAAGTTTTATAAGAATTTTTTTAATTTTTTAGAAATAAACTTGGAAATTACAAATTGCGAATATAAAAATGAAAGGATTGTAATAAATTGTAAAATATACAAATTTTATAAAATATTTAAATATGTAAATTAATTAATGTTTTAAACATCAATAAAAAACATCTTTATTTTAGTTTAAAATTTTTTTCTTTTTTTCTTATCTAAATATTTTTAATAAATAAATTCCCGCAAGTAAATCATAAGATTTTAATATTTTGACTCCTTTATTTTATAAATTAATTTTTTAAAAATCTACTAAAATGTTCGGCAAAAGGTCTCTGATAAAATTAAAAATAATTGGGTTAATTTTACTGATAAGAGAATTTTTCTTTGTTTGCTTTTTGGATTTGTAAACCTTAAAAACATACAAATAAAATATATTTAAAAAATAAATAAAAATAAATTTCCTGGGAAAACCCAAGGAAAACCCTAAAGTGAGAAACATATCGCTGACCACTAGTCACTAAGTAACTAAGTAAAAGGAGAATCAATGCTAGCTGTGGGAGGAGGAAAATGGACAAAACACGGATATGGCCACAGCTCTGGCGGCCACTTAGAAAAACTTAGTAGAGGTGCTGGGCAAATAATGGTCAAATAATACATTACAAGTACAAACTTAAAAATAAAAACTTAAAAATAAAATAATTTTAAAAAATAAACTTGGAAAAACACAAATTGTAAAAATTATAATTTTAAAAAATTACAATTTACAAAAATAAACTTGAAATAAACTTGGAAAAACACAAATTGTAAAAATAAATTTTTAAAAATTACAATTTACAAAAATAAACTTGAAATAAACTTGGAAAACACAAATTGTAAAATTAAATTTTAAAAAATTACAATTTGCGAAAATAAACTTGAAATAAACTTAGAAAAACACAAATTGTAAAAATAAACTTTAAAGAATTACAATTTGTAAAAATAAACCTAAAATAAACTTGGATAAATACAAATTGTAAAAATTACAATTTTAAACTTAAAATAAAAAATAAAGTTGGACAATACAAATCAGACAATAAAATTGTAAATTCCCAAGAGTTTTGTAAATATTTTAAAAGTTTTATATTTTTGGGTTATTTATTTATAATGTCCATTTACACTTACAAATCTCTCCCTCTTTTCTCTCTCTCTGTGGAATTGCCAAAAATTTCTAAAAAAGCGCCGCAATGGACAAATAGCCATTGGCCTAGCCCTTACTGCACCCCTCCACCCCTGCACCCCCTCCCATCCAACACAACTCTATGTTCTTCTCGGATTTCTTTTTTGAAAAAAAACTAGGCTAAGAAGCAAAAAATAAATAGAGGGTAGAAGGAATAAATAAATAAATATTTTTTAACAGTTTATTTTTTGGATGTATGACACAAACATTTTTATTTGATAAATGACCTGTTCTCCTAAAAAATATTTATTTGTTGAGGGGAAGATTTATTTATTAAAGTAATGAATAAAAAATTAAAATGAATTTTTTAGTTTAATTTTGCCAGAAAATTTTTTCTTTAAATTTTCTTTTAAAAAATTTTTTGATAAAATTGTAAAATAACTTTAAAAATATTTGCCTTTTAAATATGAGAGATAAACAAAAACAGCTGGACGTTACTCTAAATATCTCTTCAAAAATAATAATAAAAAAGCGTCTGTTGACCAAAATAAATTTTTTGGAAACGATTTTTGATGATCCAATAAAAAAAGCAAAAATTCTTCTCAAAAAAGCCAGTTCATCCACCAGACATTTTTATATTTTTTAGGATGAAAGATATAAGCGATCCTTCCCGTGCCATCTTTTTTACCATAAAAGAAAGAAAGAATAACATTATTTTAGGGTTTTAATGTGAAGAAAAACTGGCGAACATCTGTATAAGTTAATAAGCTTAAGATTTGTCTGACATGTGTAAAAAATATTTTTTTTATTAATAGGTTGTGTAAAATAAACACAAATTTAATAATAAATACAAACTTCAAAATTACAATTTGTAAAACTTATGTAAAACAAGTAAACTTTAAAATACAATTTGTAAATAATAGAAACTTGGAAATCGCAAATTGTAAATAATTAAACTTGGAAGTTACAAATTGTGAAAAAATTAAAAATTATACCTTGTAAAAATCAAAACTTGAAAATAACAAAATGTAAAACAATTAATCCTTAAAATACAATTTGTAAAAAATCAAAACTTAGAAATTACAAATTGTAAAGAAAAACAAAATAAGTACACTTAAGAAAAATAAACTTAGAATATAAATAATAAATATATTCACAATTAGTGAAAAAAGTTAAAGACAACAATTAAATTGTGAAAATTGCTTGTAAAAGTTACAAATATAGAAATAAAATACCTATAAATAAATTCTAAATATACATAGTTTTCCAAATTTTTTTTATTTTTTCCCTGATATTTATTTTGGCTTTCAATTTTACTTTTTTTATAAATTTATTACCCTTTTTATTATCATTTTTAGTCGCGACATGTTTTATATATTATTGCCAATTTTTTTTCTGATAATAAAATAGACAATGAAAAAATATTTGGAGAATAATCAGAACAATATTTTTATTTGATATTTAAAAAAATAATTTTTGGTGTATAATTTAAATAATTTATAGTTATTTTTCCTGTGTTTTAATGTTCACGAGACTATTTTTGGTGTTTTCTATTTTTGGTAGGCCATAATGACAAGTCAGTTGTTAACGGCATTAACTCAATCATTGCCAGGTGATTTTTGCTTACTTAAAGCTAAAAATAAATAAGAGGGAATGACCTGGTTTTAGCCAGCTAATGTGACAAACTTTCTCTTTTCAATTATTACACAAACTTAAATAAACTTGAAAAAATTATTGCAAGTTTGTTCATTAAATAGAAGATAGGCTAAAAATACAAACTTAAATAGAAAATGTACAAACTTGAAAGGATAAATATTGAGGAATAAACTTGAAAAAACACAAATTGTAAAACTTGAGAAGAAAATACAAACTTGAATAGAGAAATAGCATTGAGGAAAAAATAAACTTGAAAAAATACAAATTGTAAAATACAAAAATAAAAAATACAAACTTGAAATAAATAAACTTGAAAAACACATATATTTTAAGTTGGGAGATATTCAAGTTTTAATAAAACTTGAATAAAAATACAAACTTGAATAGAAAAAAAATAAACTTGGAAACACAAATTGTAAAAATAAATTTACAAATTGTAAAATTAAACTAAGTTGAATATCACAAAACTTTAAAATTATGTAAATTTTAATAAAACATTTATTTTACTCTAAAACTAAAAAAGGAAGTGTGCATAAAAATATGTATGTCTACATTAAATTCAGTTGCGTGCAGTATAATGAAGTAAAATGAATAATCCGCCTCCTGTCGGCCAATAATTCGGACATTTTTTCTTCTTTATTCTCCAGCCTAATTCTTTTAAAAAAGAGGCATTAATCCGTCGTTTCCGCTCTTGTCCCATAAATATATTTATTTAATTTTAGTTTAATTTGGGGGGAATTTGCTGGGGGAATTAGAGTCTGTAGGAATTGAAGTCTCCCCTCTATTAATGCTATAGAAGTGAGATAAAATTTATAAATTAGAAGAATTTGTACTAAGATTTATTAGATTTTCTTCTTTCTCCTTAATGTCTAGCTGTGAAATAAACAAAGAAAATTCTGCCAAAATTACTCAGAAAATGCGCGAATAAAAAATATAATTTATTTTTTGGAAATTAATTAGAAAATTTAAAAAAAAATTAAAAACTAAAAAAATATATTTAAAATGTATATCTGTCAAAATTGAGATTATTTTTTAAAAACTTCTTTATATATTTATTTAATCATCAACAGAACACAAAGCTTCCTTTAACAGGGAAGAAGCGTTATCCTCATCAATAGCTACAAAACGTTCTTGACGCTTTGAGAAAAAATAACTTTAAAAAAATTATTTAGAAAACAAAAATAAATTTATTTAAATTTACAGTTCTCCAGTAAATATATCTAGCCAAAATGCTTGTAGACCAACAAGCCTCTTCTCTATATGTTCTCGTAAAAATTCGTGTGAAGCTATATTTGTTAGTTGTTGTAAAGTGTTTATTTGTGATAATTTGTCTTCAACGCCATAATTATTTTCTGGATCGATTTGGGCAGTAAATCTTTTAAAATTTCGAAAATTTCGTTTTGAAGTCGAAATTTCGTTTAAAAGTCGAAATTTCGTTTTGAAGTCGAAATTTCGTTTAAAAGTCGAAATTTCGTTTAAAAGTCGAAATTTCGTAAATTTTCGAAATTTCGTAAAAAACTTTTTATTCACCTCATCAACCCATTTTCGGAAGCAAATTCCAATTTTTTACAACTCTCTCCACTTTTAACAAGTTTATCAAGCTTTTGGATGCTCAAATGGCCATTATGCCTTAACCAATGGTCCATAGGAGATTCGGGGTCAAAAGCCCTTCCATTATAGAGTTGATAAAGGGTATTTATTGCCTTACAGTCTGAATGGCCACAAACAAGTACTTGACAGACATTTCCACGCCTGAAAAGGAAAACCGACAAAATGAATTTTGGGCATTTTGAAATTGGACGCTTTGAAAATTTAAACCCAACTTTATTGCCAATTCAAGAGCAGCTGGTTCTGTTGTAACTGAGACCTCTGATGCAGTTCCTCCTATTTTTATAAGAAATTTTGTTCGAAGCAATTTCTCGGAAATTACCAAAGTTCCGTGCAAGGGGCACCATATTCGCTGAATTTCTGACAACAAAAAGGTCCCCTATACGGGCCTGCATAAACTTGGATGGCTGCAATCTGTCAGAAAAATGGAGATTTTTAACTTTGATTTGGGCATTTTTTAATTTTTTCACCTCGAGTCCATACACGTAAACAAAACTGCTCGGGGGTCGGGATGGTCACGAACTCGTTCAAATTCTTTAATCATTGCTGGACGTTTAAATTTCCTGAAGAGTAGAATTCCATCAAATATTCGTTTTATACTTTCGTGCATTAAAAACAACTTTAAAGAAAAATAAAATTTTTATCTCCAACCCAATTATGGCAAACTTAAAAATTAATAAAAGACAAAAAATTTAAAAATTCAATATTTATTTAACCACAACAATTCTCTCTCCACTTTTATTCCGCACTATTTTATCATATGCAGTATACCCATAAAATGGTCTCATCGTCAATCGATGAGCAAAAAATAAATGTGGTTTTGGCTGGGTAAGTTAAAAAAAGGTTTTTTAAAGGGCATTTAATGAATGAATTTTTTAAAAAGGAGGATAAAATAAATTTTGAGAGTATTTTGTAACTCTCGATCTTCTCTTTATTTTAAGATGAAAATTAAATTTAAAGCTTAACCCGTTCAAAAGTTATAGGACATCAAAGAATGACGACTACAATTAAAGTTGCCTTGCTTAAAAAGAATGTCGAAAAAAGGTTTTAAAAATTAAAAAATAAATTTAAAAAACAAAAATTTATTAAAAACAAATTTTAAAAATATATAATTTTATCATTTAATTAAAATTCCAACGAACGGATTCGAACCCGTGACCTATTCCAAAAATTATCCCACTTAACCACAAATAACAAAATCTAAAAACTAATCAGGATAAGGAGAACCATGCAATGGCGAAACTTTTTCTTTATCACTAAGCCTTTTATCTTCTTTTTTGGCACCAGGAATGTGTTCAAAATCTTTTTCTTTGTACTCAGGAAAGCCTTTGTCTTTTTCTACAGCCCCTCCTTTTGTAGCAACTGTTGGTGCTCTTTTTTCTGTTTCTGCATCGGCTTCTAATTGTTGCTGAAAATATTTGTTTGGAAAAATATTTGAGAACCACAACGATTTTTTAATTTTCAAAAAAATTTTTTTTACAAATCGCCCACCAACAAAAAAATTTAAAATAGCAAACGGATTCGAACTCAAGACCTATTCCAAAAATTAACCCACTTAGCCACAAAACTTTAAAGAAAAATCCCTTAAGAAATTACTTGTTGTCTAGCTCTATTAAGCCTAATCTCCTCTTCCGAAGGCGGAAATCGACGAGTCATTTTTGTCCAAGAAAGCCACTCAACTGGCGGGTCTGGAGCGCCAGGCGCTGGATCATAACCTCTAAAATAAATTTAAAATTAATTTTAAAACCCCACAAAAAAACCTCGAAACATTTCCCGAACTTCTCGGCTTAGACAATTCGTAGTACCTATTTCCATATTGATCTTCTCCGATATAGTGTTTCGGAAGTTTTGTATCTGCCCAAAGTAATTTCCAAATTGTTAACCAAGGGCCTGGACGTGTAGGTTTGTTGCTCATTTTTTAAGAAAACTAAAATTTAAAAAGAAGTAAAATATTAAAACATACACTATTTCGCAATAATGAGAAAAAAAGAAAAACAACACAACGCCAAAAAATAAGTTCAACTTTAAATGGACGGTTCATTGCTGAAAAAAGACGACGAGACGTTTCTAAGCAGTTGACCACTGGTCAGTTTTTAGCGTCTTTTAAACAATTTATTCGCATCTAACAATAAATATTACCGCGTACTAGACAAAGCAACCATTGACTTTTGCGAGACGCGTCCCACATAATCCCGCGCTATGCGCAGAATATCCCACAAGCGTTTTGCCAATCTCTATAGGGTTACTTTAACCATTTTGAGCTTGCGAATAAATGGTCTTTGTACCCAAACTGCATAAGTTCCGGTTGGTCAACAGCACAGGCGCCCTGAATCACATTAAACGTTAATCTGTAGCTTTTGAATTTACATTATTCTTTAGACGAGAAAAATTTCCGACCTCTTAGAAGAACAATTTTGCTTAGTTTAAATAAAAGTTTTGTTTCTCAATTTTAGCTATTTGATTACTTTAAAATTAAAATGCAATCTCTACCACACGAAGTTCAACTTGATGTATTAAAATGTTTTAATTTTAATCAATTAACTTCTTTCAAATTAACAAATGTTTACTTTTGCAATTTAATTAAAAAATATGAGGGAAAATTGGCACGAATGAAATTCAAAGAACTTTGGATAGTAAATATTTATTAAATAAACATTTTTTTATTTAAATTAATTTTGGAATGAAACTACCAATTTTCGAAGATTTAGACAAATTAACCGTCAATCTGGAGCTTTCGAATTTACTTTAAATGATCAACTTTTGAAGAAGGTTAAATTAATTTTTAATTAATTTTAAATTTATTTTTTTTTCAGTGGCAAGCAACGATATCTAAATCAATTCCGTTGTTTTCACATGAATTTGGCAGAAAATTATTCTATATAAAAATGAAAGGTTTAAAACAATTATATGTTAATTTCAGTCAATTTATGAGTGGGGCGTGGAAAAATTTGCACGGAAAATCCCAAAATATGCGCATACATATGTGCCGAAAAAGCCCAAAATATGCATCCCTAATGTTCATACCGAAGTAAAAAGCGTTTCAGCTCATGGCATATCCGCATGCAATATATGCATTTGCATGTTTTGACACGCCCTATATATGAGTAAATTGGCATTAATTTTGATAACCACAAATTTCTATCTCAAAATAATTTAATTATCAATTTAGTAGACGAAGGTTATATTCTAAAATTGCAAAATTTTCAAAAAAAAATTGAAGAAATGATTTTTGTTCGTTGCTGGTTGGAAAAACTATTTAAATGTGGTTTTGAATATATCAGTTTTCCCAAGTGTGTATTTAATCCAGAAATGATCAATATTTTATTCGATAACGACAAAACAATTCCTCTTAAATTTCACACAAAAAGAGCATGTTTATGGACTACCGACAACACAATTGAAAATGTTTTGAAATTTTCTTCAAATCATTTATCAATTTCTGAATTACTTGGTATTGATTTTGGAGATACTGACATTACAGAATACACAAATATTTTATTCAATATTTTAATAAAGGAAGGCAATAAATTTCCAAAAATACATTTTAGAAGCTCCAAATTAATGAAACTTTGTGATCTTATTATAGAAGTTATCTTTTATATGTTAAAAAATAAATTTTAATTTTAGTATATAGCAACATCGAAGGACTGTTCAATGATTGTACCTGCTATTACTTTTAATTTTCCTACTGCCCAGAATTTTAAATTAAGTGAAAGGGCAGAAAAAGTTGTAAAAAAGCAATCAACTAATGAAAAATCTACAAAATATCAAATTGGCAATATTCACAATCCAGATATCAATTTTCATTTGACAATAGAGAAATGTATGGTGGATCGTTTGCTTACGTTAATATCGAAAAAATGAAAGAGTAGAATCTGGGAAGAAAATTTAATTTATTGGACAACAAAATATTTTTTAATTATTGGTTTCATCGATTCTCGATTTGCTTAAAAATTGTGTGCTATTATATTTATAAATTTTAAATTAAGTGAATTTATTCATGAACTTTGAAAAGATTTATAGTGGTTTTTGTGGGACTTTTATTAAATGACAATGTTACATCTTTTTTAATATTTTCCAAAGGACTTTAGTTCAAAATGAAATTAAACCCTCCCATTTTTAATTTATATTGAGATAAATTATCTCTCTCTAGAGATTATCTTTCTCTTTCAATTTTATCATAAAACTATCGAAAATCCTTTTATTATTAGATCAATTTTGGATTACTAATTACTCATTTATTTTTTTATTCAAAAAATAAAATGTCATTTCTTTTATTTTTCCGTTTAACCCGATTTTTATTTTTAAGAATTTTCTATTTAATAAAAATCTATATTTATTTTTTTAAAACCAAAAATCCCTTTTTAAATTTAATTTATTTAATTTTATTTATTTTAATTTTATTTTCAATTAATTTTTTGTCTTATTTTCAACAAAAACAACAATTCCCTCTTCTCCCATTTTGTGAAAAAAATTCTTTAAATTATTTTTATAAGGTTTGGAAAAATATTTTTCTATAAATTCTTAAAATTCAAGATATATTCTCTATCAGAATATCCTCAACCAGACCCAACTCCTTTAAATTGGATAAATATTAAATTTAAATTAGAGCCTTCAATAAATTCGCTATCATTAAATTTGTGTAGAATAAACAAATTTAATTATCTGTCAAGTTTATTTATTGTTGTAATTTCGAAACTTGAGCATTTTAAACGAAGAAGTTTGTTGAGAAAACAATTTAGAGAAAATGGTAATGTTTTTGTTAGTTTGTAAAACTTGGTTATTAAAACTTGGAATTTGTAAACTTATAAAACTTAAAAACACTGGATTGTAAAATTGTAAAACATTCTAAAACTTGAATTTACAAATTGTTGAATTGTAAAACTTGAATTTACAAATTGTAAAATCTTAAAACTTGAATTTACAAATTGTTGAATTGTAAAACTTGAATTTACAAATTGTAAAATCTTAAAACTTGAATTTACAAATTGTTGAATTGTAAAATTTGAATTTACAAATTGTAAAATCTTAAAACTTGAATTTACAAATTGTTGAATTGTAAAACTTGAATTTACAAATTGTAAAATCTTAAAACTTGAATTTACAAATTGTAAAATTGTGAATAAAATAAAAAAATAAAACCTGGAATTGTAAACTTTTAAAACTAACTAAAACACAAGTTTGAAAGTTGGATTGTAAAACCTAAAAACTCGGGATTGTAAATTTTAAAACCGAATTTGTAATTTTAAAAACATTAATATTTATATTCTTTCCCTCTCAAGGTATAATTTCTTTTATTTTTGTACTTGCTGCTGCTAATGCTAGCACAAATATTATAGAAGCCATTCAAACAGAAGCAAATAAAGAACAAGATTTACTAGTTTTGGCTAATTTGGAAGAGAATTATCGTCTTTTAACTTATAAAACACGTGCGTGGTTACAATGGTTGGTGGGTAAATTTGATGAAATTTGTGGACCTCCTCGTTTTCTTCTTAAAATAGACGATGATGTGATGGTACTTGGAGACCAAAAATTAAATTTAAAAAATATTTTGAATTAGGTCAATTGGAATGCTTTATCACGTCTTTTACAAAGAGCAGGCCCAAACCCCAAAAAATTACTTTTTTGCCGTGCAATTCCTAATGGGCAGATTTCACGGAATCCGGCTTCTAAATGGTTTTTATCAAGTAGAGAATATAAAAGAAACAAGCCTAGAGGGCTTGGATTATATTGTCAGGGTATGGCAATTTTACTGAGTGGAGATCTACTACGTCCAGCTTTCTCAAATATAAAGCTTGTACAATTTCTTTGGGTAAAAGATTAATTTTTAGAGAATTGCCTAGATTTAATTAGATGGATGATTGGTATTTAACACATGCATTATTATTTAATACAAACGTTACTTTTGTTGATATTGCCCCACAAGTACAAAGTATAGATGAGGAAACAAAGTTTAATATAAAAGATGTTGGCCTCTCATTAAATGTTTATTATACCCCTATATTTGCACATTTTAGGTAAACATAGAGAAAAAAAAAACATTTAAAAACATTTTGTTTATAGACCAGCCGAACATTTCCCACAAACGAGAAAGTTGAGAGAGTGGAAGAGAATGTTGGACATTAAACCTAAGTCAACAAAAACATGCATACTTTAATGTTTTAATGAATTAAAAACAATGTTTTTGTTTGTTTTAATTTAAATTATTGTTCGATAAAAACAAGTTTATTTGTTTGTAAAACAAGTTTTATTAAAACAAAATTTAATAAAAACACGCTCTAATTATAAACTTACAAAAACAAAGGTACTGTCGGATTGGGTGCACCCCCAAGATACCGCAAGCCCAAGGTACCGCAGAGCTATAACTTTGTTCGAAATTGGCGACTATAATCTTTATATGCTTGATCCAATCCTAATTATATCATTCGAAAACTCTCTATCCTTCATCCAACTGGATGGATCAAATCTGATCGCCCCTTAATCCCTCATACTCCCCACAAATCCTATAAAAACTATAAAAGCCTCTTAAATCCTCCTCCAAATTTATCTCTCCAAACATCAAAAACTTCAACAAAACACCAAAAACAACAACAAAAATGAGTGCTCCACCGCCACCCGAGCCGCCAAAGAAGGACGACGCGCCGCCGCCACCAGCTGCTCCTCCTGCTCCACCGCCAGCGACAGCAAAAGCACCGAGTGAGGCATCTACCAAGAAGAAGGGAAAATCTGCTGGATCTCTGCCACCGCCGTCAGCCAGTCCAAGTGGTGCTGCTATTGGTCTTCGGCAAGTTGAGGTTCAAAGTTTCAGCGATATTCGTCCTGCGTTGCAGAAATGGCTCGATGGTCAGGATAAGCTGTTCGGAGCGGCTGAGAAGAATACCGGTCTTGAACGTGAAAAGGTGAGAAGGAAAATTTTTTTAAGTTTTTCTCATCCATTTTTCTTTTTTGCTAGATTTTCTATGCCATCTGCGGTTTTCTTTTCCTCTGGTTGCTTGCCGCTCCGGGTGCTGGTCTCATCTGTAACTTGATTGGTGTTGTCTACCCTGCCTATGCTTCAGTTGTTGCTTTGCGTTCGGCTGGGAAAGGTCCTTAAAAAACTTCCTTTCTTTTCAAACTCGAACTATATACCCATTAAAATTTCAGAGGACGACACGCAGTGGCTCGTGTATTGGACTACCTATGGAACCTTCTCTCTTGTGGATCAATTCGCCGACCGCATCACTCCCTACTTTCCGCTGTATTGGCCGCTCAAAGCGCTCTTCCTTCTCTACCTGTATTTGCCTCAAACTTATGGAGCGCAGAATATGTACGTCAAGTACCTCGACCCGGCGTTCGATAAGTTGGCGAAGTGAGTCTTTTTTGAAGGAAGTTTTTTGTAAACTTTAAAATTTCATTAATTTTTAGACGAGTGGCGGGAATGTAGAAGTTTGTTCGATGCGCTTGGATGTTGATGGTGGATGCAAAAAATGAGAAAGGAGGGGGGAATAAAAATGAATAAAATAGAAAAATGTATTGATAAATAATTATTCCCTTATATAAATAAATATATTTTCCTTCTGCCTATTGTATGTATTGATATTATTGAAAGTATAATTGTATATTATTGTATTTTGTTGTATAAAAATTTCTTGAAAATTTATTAAAAGGTGGGAAATCGGTGGATTTGGATGGAAACGGGATTTGTTGGTTAAAGAGGACTTGGGGAGACTTGGGAACCCACCGTCCCCGTAAGTATTAAACGGGAACGGTTTAAAGTGATTTGTATTAAATTCACTATTTGATGGAAAATTGACGAAAATAGTCAAATCTTAAGAAAAATCTTCAAAAATCTAAAATAGGCCCAAAAAAGTCTAGGCTTTAAATCAAAAATTAGGTTACACTATGGGTCTACCTTGTTTTTACGACTTATTTCATCAGCATTGATCATAAAAAAATATAGGTAAAAGTCCCAAAAAACACCCTCTAATTATAAACTTACAAAAACAATCAAATAAACTTTTTAGTAAACAAACTTGTTTGTCTGTACATATTAAAGTTTTTGTTTAAATATTTTATAAATAAATTATTAAAATGGAACTTAAATAATAATTGTTTTATTAACAAACAAACTTGCTTATTTACAATGTTCATTCCGTTTCCCTTGGAAACGGAATGAACTTGAAATGAGGGGAATTGTTAAATTGGGGGGTTGGACACAAGTCTTTGCAACACGGGCCAAGGACAATTACGATTTTTTATGGGGCGAGGGGGTTAGCTATTATTATTTTGTGGCGGCTGGCACTAGCCATGCTTTTTTTTATTTTTATAAATAATAAAAATATAAAAATGTTTCTAAAAATATTTTTATTTATTTTTGTTGTTAGAATGGATGGATATTTTTAATTTAAAATTCAATTTTTAAGAAATTTTTTTTTATTAGCCCGAAAATAATTTTAATATTTTTCTATTTTAGTCCTTTCTATATTTGTATTAATTAATCCTACAGCTTTTTCTTAGTTTTCTTTTTATTTTATTCGATTTTTTGCATATTGCTATTCTAATTATATTTGCTATTTATTAACTTTTAATCTTCTAAATATTTAGAGAGTTTTAGAGAAAAATATAATCTTTTAATTTTAAAATAATTTTCATTATCTTTATAATATTTTAAATTTATTTCCATAATTTCCCAATTATTGTCTATATGTAAAAATGAAATCTGAAAGTGAAACATCATTAGATAATGAAGCAAGACCAACAAAAGCAGAATTAGTCCAACTTGTTAATCAGGTTGGTACCGGAAAGTCTATACAGTATTTAAAAAATAATGAAGCATTTTTCCGGAAAGTGTTCAAGTCTATTTAGTTTTAAGTTTATTTCCGGAAAATACATGTATTTTAAATTGTTCATTTATTTTTTTTCCGGAAAACACAAATTATTTCTGATGAACAAATTTATTTATTTTAACAACAAATACATTTATTTTAAAAGGCTTATCTATTCTGTTTCCGGAAAATACAAATAAAATATCTTCCGGAAAATGGGTAGAGTATATTTTTGTTAATTGTTTTCAAATAATTTCCGGAAAACACAAGTCTTATATTTAATTTTAATAATTTAAACAGTTTCTCATTCAAAACGATTTGCCAGTAACAGCTGCCGCTTTACAAAAAGAATGTGAAAAGTTGCTTGGAGGCAGGTGGAGTGGGCATAATTTGAATGTCACTCGTAGCGGTCGCTTTCGTAGGCATACGACGGTAATACCTAATTTGGATGGCGACGCGTGTTTGGCAGAATGGTTGAGTGATAGTGGGGCTGTTGGGGTTGGTGTTTTAGTTGAAATAATTAAAAAATTTCTGAAGAAATATTTTGAATTATTCTAGACCCCTTCAGCATCCTCTCCAAACGAAATGACCAATTCCTCCTCAAAATCCCCACCCTCTCGTTTACGTAAACCACCTAAAACAACATTAAAAAAGGGGCAATCTCAAAATAGTGAAAATAAAAATGAAAGGAGCCAGCAAAAGCAATGTACCAGTAGCCGTTCTAGTCAAATTTCTCCAGCTCCTTCCCAAAAAAGAGCAAATTCTCGTAATAAATCGAAAAATTTAAATGAAGATTTAAATATTTCTTCAACAAAAATTGAACAAAAACAGGGAGGAAAAAATAAAAATATTTTGAGGAAGGCAGATTCTGTTGGAAATATTTCTGTAAACGAAGCTTCCCCAAAACAACAACAAACTTCTTCCCCTCCTCCTGATCCAATACATTCTTCAAATGTTTTTTAATGTTTTATTTTAAAAATAAAAAGTAAATTTGTAGCAAACAACAATTACGGAAGATGTTGTAGAAAATAAAAATTGGCTTTGTGCTAATTTAGATTTAACACTTATTAATCAAGCATTGTTAAAACCAAGTGTTTCTGGGGGGAGAGCAAGTGCTTTGTTGTTACAGGCTCTAAGACAAGTTTGTCTATGTTTTAGAACTTGTTTGATGTTTGTTTACATGTTTTGTTTTTCTTATGTTTGTTTGTTTTCAAGTTTTGTTCGATGTTTATATTCAAGTTTTAGAATGTTTGTTGTTTTCTTGTTTTGTTGTTTCTTTGTTGTTTTTGTTGTTTTTCTTATGTTTTAAACATTCCAAGTTTATTTTTCTGTATTTGTTTATTTCTTTGTTTGGGTTTTCTTTTCAAGTTTGTTTTCTTTGTTTCTAACTTTGTTGTCTGCGTTATTGTCTTTTTTTCAATTGTTTACTGTTTTCATGTTTTGCTTAGTGTGTTTGTTTATTAAGTTTGTCTAATGGTTTCCAAGGTATTTGATGTTTTTATCTATGTTTATGTCTTGTGTTCGTTTTCAATGTTTTATTTAATTGTTTATTACCTCCATTTAAACTCCAACCTTAGATGATCACCAAAAATACAATTACCGACGGTGATGCCAATCTATCAGCATTAATAGCAAAAGATTTGCTTCAATTACGTTCTCGTAAACAGGTGTATAATTAAATAAAAATATTAATTTTTATTTAATTTCCATTAAAGTCAATAGCATCCGCTCTCTTTCATGACGATACTACTTTAGCAGCAGATTATGTTAGAGAACAGTTAGCAAGACTTTTAAATGTTTTTGCTTCATTTAGAAAGGGAAGGGACTATTTATTGTGTTCTACTAATTTAAATAATAATTCAAATTCTAATTATGGACAAGGGCGACAGCAACTTATTTATGAATGTAGTCAAACATTGAAGGTAAACTTGAAATTAAAACTTAAAACATTTCATAAACTTGAAACATTTCACAAACTTGAAACATTTCATAAACTTGAAACATTTCATAAACTTGAAACATTTCATAAACTTGAAACATTTCATAAACTTAAAACATTTCACAAACTTGAAACATTTCATAAACTTGAAACATTTAATAAACCCAACAAACTTTATTTAAAATTAAATCAAAAACTAAAAACTTTTTTTCCCAGGGAAACAGGCGTCCTTTACTTAGCCCTAACGCTTCAGAACAATTATTAGCAGCCTTACAAAAATTAAGTATTCGACCTGCTGCACAACGAGAATTGTTAATTAATGGGATTTTTGAATGGTTATGTACACAATTGGGACAACAAAAATTTGGACAGGCTGGTTTGGAATTTGGGGTTGCTTTGCTACACAATCTTGTTGTAAACCCAATTTCGCATTCAATTGCTGTTAGGCATAAAAAGAGACTTTTGGAGACTTTAAGAATTTTGTTAACATCTGCTAGAGGTGGACAGGTTGAAGGAAAAAAAATAAAATCTCTTTAAAAATACCCACAATTTACAGGCATTACAGTACACTTGTTCAACTCTTTATATTCTCCTTTGCCTTCCACAAGTGAGAAAAACTGCTAGAGATTCTACTGATCTTGAAAAGATTTTAATTGAACGAGCTCAAAAGGAAAAGAATTTGGAACAAATTCGACAACTGATTGTTGTATACTTGTTGCTACGAGGAGGTAGATTTGAATATTAGAGGCTCGGGGATATTAAGGGACTCGAATGTCTAGCAAAAAAATAAACTAGACTCAAATAGTCCTTAATAGATTCTAGAATTCTTGGTACCTAAATATAAAAGGTGGGTCGGAACAGCCAGAGGTGTCGGAAATCGGAAGAGCTGGAAATCGGAACTGGCTCAAAAGTCGGAAATCGGAAATAAAATTTTTTTCGGAAATCGGAAGGAAAAAACGTCGGAAATCGGAATTCCGACCTAACTCGGGTACCTATCTCGATCGGTTTGATCGAGATTTTGTCTCAATCCTACCTCTAATAATCCATAAACAACCCCAAAAGTAATTGTTTAGACCCTAATGTCTAATCAAAAATTACTTTAAAAAACCACCCCCTATATACTCTAAATTGCTTTTATATTCTCTTAACCTACATATATAAAATACAAATTATTATTTCTTCTCTCTTATTTTCTCCTTTCAATCTCCTCAACAATTTTGCTGTTTTTTATTCTTCTCCTTTTTTCTCCTTGTTGTCAGCCGCCGTCACTCGTGCCAGCCTCTCCCAACACCAACGCGCGCGTCTGTTTTTGTTGTGTCCTCTTTTTCGCAGTGCATTCCCGCCTTTGAATCCCGGCTCTTTTTTGAAGAGAAAAAGAGGGCTAGCTAGCTGTCTTTTACTACTTTTCTTTAAATTTCTTTTACCTTTTTTTATTGTTGCTGGTAGTATTTGTATTTAGTTATCGGTCATGGTCAATTTCTTTAATTTCAATATAAATATTCACAAAAATGACCAAAAATGTTTTGTCTGATTTTTTAAATTAAATCTTTCAAAATTTGAAAAAAAAATATTTTTTACATATTTAAAAAGACTCTAATAACTCAAAATTTAAATTATAAATCTCTCCCTAATTTTCTAACATTACTTCCATCCTCCTTTCTCCTTAATTTTAATTTTAAATTTCGAATTTTTTCAGTCATACTAGGCTACTTTAAACATCTCCCATTTCCTTCTCTTCAACCAAAATCCAACCTCTAATAACCAAACTTTTTTGACTCAAATACTCCCAATTTTCAAGCCTTCCTCAAATTTCAGACTCAAATGTCCAAAATTCCTTTACTCCCCTTTCCCTTCTAATTCTCTAACCCGCGATAATCTTCTTCATCTTCCCATCATTTTCCTCCCCAATTTTACACAAATATTTTTCCTCATGATATTTTTTCTCTCCGTTACTCCCGTCACCACCACCGCAAAGAAGAAAAAAAAAACAAGTGAAGGTCCTGCTCCTTTCTTCTCTTTTACTTTCCCCTTTTTCTCTACTTTTAATGTCTAACTCTTATTGCCAGCCGGCAGTTTCTCCTTTTAGTACTTTTTTTGGAGGACCACGCGTCCAAGAAAAAATGGTCACGGAGAAAAACTCTAAAAAATATTGAAAAGTCCCCCCAAAAAAATACAAAATCCAAAAGATCACCTTTCTAGTAAAGTGGTGATCTTTTGGGTTATGTTAAAATTAATGCAATTTTCTGCACTATTTTCTCTTTCTCTGCCTTTAGTGTTGAAAACTAACTTTTTGCTCTATTAAAAAAAATACCGCTCCTCTCGTATTTTTCTTTCTTATTATTTGTATTAGTTATCAACAAGTAAATAAATAAAAAATATTAAATCTGTTGCATAAATTCCCCTCCCCCCTTACTCTCCAGAAAATTTTAGAGGGGAGGATTTAATGTAAAAATGAGCTGTCCATGACCTGGATATTTTTAAAAAATAAAAATTAGGTGAAGGGCGTTTTTTCGGTTTTTTCATTTTTTGAAAAATTAGAGAAGAAGAGATTTTTGGATGGTCCACCTTCTCTTTTTTTGTCCACCCCTCCCCTCCACACATTTCCTCCTACATTTCCTTCTTGCGCTGCTTTTGCCCTCTTTTTTAGAGAGAAACAAATAGCCGATGGTTTTGTTACTAAAATAGGTGTTTTCCTCATTTCTTTGTTACTAAATCTCTCAAATCTTTGAATTATTCTTTCTATTTTAAAGAAATTTTAAAATTATTTTTTAAATTAAAAATTGTGGCTTTATTTTCCTTTGTTTTTTGTCTTCCCTGAGACTATAACTGTGATGAAATATTTTCACACCTTTATTTTCTTCTAGGTGCTCACAGTTGTATTCTTTGGGCGCACAATTACTTGGGAATGCCTTTAACTTTTAAGTAAATTCCGGAAACATTTTATTTTTTCCGGAAAGTTTATTATATTTTTCTTCCGAAATTTTTATATTTATATTTGTCATCCGGAAAGTTGGTAATATAAAAGTAATAGAGAGAGTAAGGTATATATATATTTCCGGAAATTTATATTCCCCTTCCGGAAAGTTAGAGAGGATTGTTTTGTTTCCGGAAACTTTTAATATTCCCTAACATATTATTTCTATTATTATTTTTAAAACTAAGAACTTGACGTACCGGAAAAACGGAAACAATTAACGACAACAGTAACTGATTTGGAAGATGCGGTACTGATATTCTTTTATTTTAAAACTCATTGTTTTTATAAAGTTCCCCGATTATCTCGAAGCAGAAATTGATTCAACCGACCCGTTAGTGCCTGGACACAGCGAATTATTTGGAAAAAGATTGCTTATAAAAAATTTTTTGTCCAAACCACTTCCACCCTCCCTAGCAAAATATTACCTTCCTTTGTCTCAATTTACTATTGAAGAGGAAGGGCAACGAGAAAATGTTTGGATTTATTTTTAGATTAAATTAAGTAAATTAATCAGGTTCCCGGTGTTGTGCCAGTTAGACGGCAACAACCACCAGTTCAAACAACAAATCTGTCAGGCTCTTCTCCTCGAAAAAAGTCACAACAGAAGCGGGTTTCCAACAACAAAGAAGCTTCCTCCTTCTTGTTGAAGCCTGAAAGGGAAGGTGGCGGCTATGTTTCGGGGGTATTGCCTCTAATACGTCAAGTACATTTTGAACGGACAAACACTGTTTGGAATATTGGGGAAATTAAAAAAAAATAAATTTAGATGAGTTCTCACGCAACATTTGTAGTGGAAAATAACAGCCGTCGACCACTAATAGCTAATGATGGATTTGAAAACGGTCTGGAAATAATTTTAGACAAATTGTAAAAAATGAATTCTGTTCCAGAAAAATAAATTAAAATTACCAAAAATAGGAATGACTTAAAAACTGGAGAACGGCACGGGTGGGAACCTACACGGGATTTTGCGGGACCCCGTCCCTTAATCTTGTGTTCAAGCCCACAAACAGGTTTACCGGGATTAATCCCATAGAAACCCTTCCCGTCGACTTTTCAAAACAATTCCATTATGGAGACGAGGGAATGCAATCGGGCAGATTGTAAAAGAAAAAAAGCTTAAATCTAAATTAATTTTTTCTTCCAGTAATTGCTTCCCTCAAAGGAAATGCTTTAATAGAAGAGCATTGCCAAAGAATTGTTCAACAAAATTTTCAACAACTTAAAATAGCTAATGGAAATGAGGATATTGAAATTCTTCAAAATTCTTGTGAAATGTTAATTATTGAAGAAATCCCCAGTAATTTTGAAGAAGAAATTAATTTCCAGTCAACCTCTGCCGAAATTAATTTTTTGGACAAACAAATTCAACAACAAAATCGTCCCAACACAACAACAATAAAAAAGGAAATAACAAAAATGTTTAGCAGTAAATTGGGGGGAAGAACACAAAATAATCGAAAACAAGATAAAAGACTTCAAAAAGAAGTTTTGGCTGAAAGAATGGAAGAAAGTATTGGAGGGATTGGAGGGGTTGTCGATGAAGTTAAAAGTGAAGAATTGTAAATAAAATATTCAATTGGAGTAATAATTTTGATAAATTTTAGAGATTATTATGAGGAAAAAGAATATACGGCTGCATTTGCGGCTCGACCCAAAATTAGAAGAACACCTCCAAAATTGCCAGATGATGAGGGGTTATTGGATGAAGAATAAAAAAAATTTTTTGTAATTGGCTTTATATTAATGAAAATATAATTAAATTGTATTTAAATTAACAGGCTTTAACCTGTTAATCCTCTAAAATTCTATTCTTTCATTTTTTGATAAGAATACAAAAAATCGTTCCATTACTCAATTCTTTAATGCAAAATTCAAATCTCACTTTTAGACTGAAAATATTTATTAGCAATTTGTAATTTGTATATTTTACATTATTTACTTGCTTAATTTTAAATTTTTTTGTTTCTCGTTTAATTTAAAATTTGGTAATGGAATAAAATTTAAAATAATGAAAGGCCCCATTTTTCCTCAAATTTTGTTTTATGCTAAAATTTGAATTTATTTTTAATTATTTTTTTTCACTATTTCAAATTTTGTTTCAGATTTTTTTAAATAAATAATGACTTCATTAGCTTCTCTAAAATCTGTCAACATTTTTATTACTGGGGCAAACAGAGGGATTGGTATTGGATTGGTAAAGGAAATCTTAAAACAAGTCAAAGGTGTAAATAATTTATTTGCGGGTTGTCGAAATCCGGATGAAGCTAAAGTTTTTTTTTAAATTAATTTTGGAAAAAAAAATTATAAAATAAAGGAACTTCAAACTTTATCCAGTCAAAACCCTTCTGTTAAAATTGTGAAAATTGATGTTTCTTCAGATGAAAGTATTCGAGTTGCGGCAGGTTAAAAAAATATTTTTTAAGAAATTTGGGTAATTTTGATTGCCTATTTTGCTCTCTAATTCTCCACTTTTTTTGTCAAATCAATCAAAAAAGATTAAAAGGGATGGAAATTATTGAGTAAATTTGATTAGAATATTCACATTTTCAATTTTTCGAAGCCCTCACCTTTTATCATAAATGTTTTAGTAAAATTCCGTCATATGTCCCAGAGAACCTGTTCGGACAAACAATATGTCATTCGAAAAAACTCGTTGATTGTGAGCTTATCATATCGTTTTTGTCCGAATTGATTTCTGAGACACATGACTAAATTATTGGGTTTCTGAGACTAAATTACCAATAAACCTTTTTTGATTGATTTAATGAAAAACGTATAAGGGAAAAATTGAAAAATGAGGAGGAAAGTCGTTCACCTATAAAAAATTTTGATAAAATTGTCTTTTCAGAAAAAATAGCAAACCAAGTTAAAGACATTCATTTGTTAATAAACAATGCTGGGATTTTTGAAAAAGAGGTTTTTGAATTCAAGATTTGTGAATAATTAGAAATATTTTTTAAAGAAAGGTTATTCTATACACCAACCAAATCGAGATATTTTCCAAAAACATTTTGATATTAATTCAACTGGGGCAGCTATAGTTACTTCGGTTATTTATTTAATTTTATAAAAAATTCAAATAAAATTTCAGAATTTTTTGCCTCTCCTTTTGACTGCCGCCTCTTCTGGATTTTCCCCTTTAGTTGTTAATATAAGCTCTATTTTGGGGTGTATTTCTCGTATAGTTCCAATTTCTTCATTAGAGAACAAATCTGTTATTTACGGAATGAGCAAGGTTGTTTTTTGTTAAATATTTGGGAATTTGAAAGTAAACTCCACCAAAGTCTGTTCCAAGAAATCTAGACACCCCAAATTTTCTGATAAGTCGATTATTCGGGATGGACTTTACATTAACCCAAAAATACATGGAGTGTGTTAAGGTTAGAAGTTTGGTCGGGCATTATTCCCTAATTCTTTTGAGTGGCTAGTAGATGGGTTTTTCAAAATTCTCAAAATTTTCGTTTTCGATGGGGCAGCAATCAATAAAACGTTTACTTGACTGATTTTCTAGATTGGCTTTTCGCCAAATCCTGGGATAAGGCCCATAACCAGGTTTTTGGGGTAGGGGGGTATCATTTGGCGCCGAGGGCGCGGAAACTATGGAAATCCGTTGGAAAGTTTTATTTTCTGAAGAAAAAAATTTCCTTAAGAGTTTAACAGGGAAAATTTCTGCAATATTTTCTTAAAATTCTTGTTATAAAAATACTTTTAGGCAGCCCTTAATTACTACACAAAAGCACTTTCTTTGGAAGAACCCAAACTAATAACGGTAGCTTTACATCCTGGCTGGGTTAAAACAGAAATGGGGGGAGATAATGCTCTTTTGTCTATTGAAGAAGCCTCTTCTGATATTGTTAAACGAGTATGTCTATTAAAGAAGGAAGATTCGGGAAAATTTATGGATTCAAAAATGGAATTGACGCCTTGAATTTTTAGATTAGAGAAACTTTAGAGAAAAAAATTAAAAAAAAATTAATTCACTTAATTAATTTAGAAATACCAAAGATTTTGAGAATTTTAAGTTTCATCTAACGTTTCGTGTTAATATTTATTAAACCAAATGATTAAAAATATAAGTAAATCACGAGCCGAAAGCGAAAATTTTGAGAATTTTCAGAAGACCAAGAAGCCAGATTTCTTGAAGAGGCCAGCTGTGGGGTTGCGGGAGCAAAACCCTGCGCGAGATCCCTCCCGCATGGACCTCTAAAAGGAACAAAAAAATTTGATATTTGAGAAAAAAAGTGGGGGAAACGAAATTCAAAATTACCTCATTTCTTTAAAATTGTTTAAAAATAATTAAAAATAAATGGGGTTTAACCAGATTGAAACGTAAATCAAACAAAATTTAAAAACAAAAAAATAATTTATAATCAAAAGAGCACATTAACAACAAAAGATATTCTAAAATAATTATATTTGTCCAATAAATCAAAAATAATTTTATTTTCCTCATCTCAACTTCTACTCTTTCATTTTTCCGATTAGAACATTTGCCACTCCAACTCCTCTAATTCTTGGTTTTTCTCTAGTTGAAAATGAGAATTTCAGTTTTGGATAATAAATATTGGCAAGTTGGTAACGGGTACATTCACCTCCTCCATCCAATTGTTTAATTTCGACCTTCTCTGCTCCCTCACTTAATTTAAGATTTGTGGAACTACGAAAGGCTAATTCAATAAAAGACACTATTTTTGAACAGTCCTTGGATGTTGCTATATACTAAAAAATTTTGAATTTATTTTAGACTTTTCCCGATAATAACTTACTTCAACAATATTTTCATAAAGAAGTACTACGTTTATAGAATCCACCACATTTACAGAACAATTGAAAAATTCAAAACTAATTTCTTTAAAATTGTCTCCTCCATTCGTTAAAATTTCAAACAAAATATCCTTATATTTTTCTATAATGTCCTGATATAGACGAAGAGAAGTATGAAGATTTCCACTTGACAAATTATTTAAGATAAATTGAAGTGAATTTTGCATAGTGTGCTCCATAATTTTTATTTGACAGCAGTGAATATAAACACGTTTAGGAGTCTTTGCATTTCCAAATAATAATTGAAGCAGTTCTTGATTAAATACAAATTCGTTAATCTCCCCATAATCAAAAGAACAATCAAATACTAATTTATTCAGATAATAATAAACAATTTTTAAATCCTCTTTACTTTTGATAATTGTTGGCAGTTGTAGTAGAATATGGTGTGCATTTCGGAAAACTAAAAAAAATTTAAAGGAAAAGAAAATTAAATAAAGGAAGTTTGTATCCCTTTTGTATTATCGCTTAGTACTTTCCACGGTACCGCAAGCCCAAATGTACCGCAAAGCTATAACTTTGTTAAAAATTGTCAAATCCGGGACGCTCTGTTAAGTTCTCGAAACAGCTCTACAAGCCATACCAAGACGCCCCGAATTCTACAATTCTGAACAAAATTATAGCTCTCCAATACCTTGGCCTCCTCTCATTATTCTCTACTGCAGACTAAAGCGAACTCGATAAAATTTTATTAAGCAAGATCTGACCTTTAGTTACGCAAACAACAAGAGTTTTGCTTGGATCTTGCTTAGGTAGATACACAGAAATTGGTTTTTCAAGTCCATTTTTGAACTAAAAATGAAAGAAATTTTAAGAGGTATTTCAAATTACCTTCTCTTCAAGTTGCTCATTCAAAGTAAAGTCAAGAGGTCTGCCTTCCAATTTAATTAATTTATGAGGATGCTTGTATTGCTCGAGATATTGCTTAAAAATATTTAAAAATTAAATTAATTATGTAAAGCATGTAGCGCTATTTAATTCCTAAAGTTGAGCTTTAGGCGTGGTGTAATAGCTAACACATCAGTCCGGTCTAATGAAGTTGCTAGTCTACATCCAGACCAGGGCTGGGCTTATTTCGTACTTTCGCGTTTCGCATTCTCGCATTTTTTGGCGCGAAAAGTTTCGCATTTCGCTTTTTATTTTTTCATTACGCCCAGCCCTGATCCAGACGCCGAATAACCTTTAGCACTAGCTAAAGGAGAGAAATAGCTATAGCCCCCTAGCTTCTTTACTATCAAAAAATATTACAATATAAATTTGACATAATTTCTCCTTAGCAAGTTCTTCTTGAAAATAATTAATGAAATCGTGAAGACAAAAATTCGTCTGTTTGACTGAGCATAATTGTTCATAGTTGAGGAATTTAAAAACATCAAGTATTGCCTCTGCTGGTAAACAAAGCATTTTTTAGACGATAAAGCACTAAAAAAATAAGTTTAAAAATTATTTAAAAATCTGTACAGTTTGTTAGGTACTAAACTCCAAAGTCTTCATAATAACAAAAGAATTAACGAAATAAGAAGGTAACTAACAAACTGTGCTTAATCACGATAGAAATAATAAAATGAACAATAAGAATATAGTTAAAAAATACCGAATATGTTGTTGGAAACAAAACAGAATAACAGAAAAGTTGATAAAATGACACACTTAACTAACACAGAATAACATTATAGAGTGGCTTTTATACTAACTGGCTGGGTCAAGACAGAAATGGGGGGATATAATGCTCTTTTGTCTATTGAAGAAGCTTCTTCAGATATTATTAAACGGATATGTCTTTTGAGGAAGGAAGATTCAGGAAAATTTATGGATTCAAAAATGGACTTAACGCCCTGAATTTTTAGATATTTTAGCAATTTTAGAGAGAAAATTCTTTTAAAAATTAATTTAAAATTAATTTAAAATTTGGATCATAGTAGTCCGGCTAGTCTTATGTATCTTCCTCTATCAGAATACTCTTAATCCACTGAAATCTCTCTTAATCCATATCTGTGTTTGGATTGATATCTTGCGAATTTTAGATTAAGCGGAATTAGAAGAGATATCCGAAAATTTGGAAGGATATCGGGGATATCCAAGGATCTCGGAAGGCTTAATGTTCAAATCAGCGTTGCAGGAAAGCCTTGAGATATATTCTTTCCTTTTTTGCAACAGTTTTACGAGGACTTTATCCCCATACAGTATTTTCCCAGCCCTACATATAAATTAAAGTTGAGTACGAGCGAGTTCGAGTATACTCGACTCGATCGCTCGGGTTTTTTTCGTCTTTACTCGGGCTTGGAACTCGGAATCCTAATACACGGCACTACTCGAACTCGGCTTTTCCTCAATTACTCGGTACTCGACTTACTCTAATATAAATATTTAAAGAACGTAAGTATTCTAATATAAGCCCATCCGAGGAGACCCGCAGAAAAATATAAGCCCAGGGCTTCTATTAGAATATTCACGCTAACCTTTTAAAAAATGTTAAATAAATTCTTTAAGAACAAAAATAATTTAATCTAAATGAAAAACAACCACAATAACAACATTAAATCTTAAATAAAACTTTGATTTTCGCCCTCTTCAATTTCCCCCTCTTTTTATTATTGTGATGTGATTGCAAAAAGCTAATGCATCCTTCCATTCTTTAACACAAAATTCAAATTTCAAATTTGGATTGTAAATATTGGAAATTTCGTAATTAATATATATTGTGTAGTCTAATTGGTTAATTTCAACATTTTCTGCTCTTTCGGTTAATTTAAAACTTGTAGAATTTGTATAATTTAAAATAATTATAGGCACCATTTGTGAACAGTCATTAGATGTTGTTATATACTAGAGAAAATTTTGAAATTATTTTTTAACTTTTCTGTAAATATAAAGTTGATTTTTTTCCTGTGCTGAGTATGGCTCCGGGAGCTAGCTCCGGAGCCGGGAATTTTGAAAAAAGATTTTAAAGAACCCGGAGCAGGAGCCAAGATTTTGAAAGCCTGGAGCCGGAGCCAACAAATGGCAAATACCCAGTACTGCCTTTTTCTTATTATAAAGGTCTCCCGACATTCTCATACACTTCCTGACTTATCTTTTTTATTCACTTTCATTTTGTATTTTGATCCTCAACTTGCCCCTTAAATATCCCTGCTTTTTCCTCATTATCAGATTTGGCCTAACCTTTTCTCTCCCTTATTATTGTATTCGATATTTATACATACATATGTATGTTGAATAAATTGAATAAATAAATATTCAAAAAAATGTAATTTATTCTAACATAAGTCCCCAGAATAGTAGAACCCAAGTTAAGCTATAAATCTTCAAATACTTACATCAAGAATAAAATCATAAACCCACGTTAACTTTGAATTACAAAAATAAATTTGGGGGAATTTATCCCCTTCATTCACTGACATAAAAAATAAAATCTCCAAATCCTCTTCTGTAATGTCCACACTATCTAAATTGATGCTAAAGGATTTGGAAATTGATAAATGCTCAAAATAAAATTCCAAATGGAATGTTTCATCGTTAGCCCAGAAACAGGCTTCTTCAATGTTAAATTTGAGAGGGATTGCTTTGTTGTTATCAAATAATATATTAATCATTTCTGGATTAAATACTCCTTTATCAAAATAAGCACATTCAAAAGCACAATTAAATAAATGTTCTAGCCAACAACGAATAATAATCATTTCTTCAATATTTTTTGGAATGTTTGGCAATTTTAAAACATAATGGGGGTTTGTGTCCAATAAATTTTCAATGCTAACAAGGAAGTCTCTGTAAGGTCCATAATTATTTAAAAACAAGGGAATTCCATCATTTATCGCTGTTTGCCACTGAAACAATGTAATTTATTTAATCAAAAAATTAATTGGTACTTTTTGGTTATCTTGAATGGCTCTTTAAGGAAATAAAAGAAAGTTGGCCTTCAAAATGATCTTGATAAAGAGTTTACCAAGTTTAGCCACCTGGCAGGACCTGCAACCTCCTTGCTGCAACCTCCTTGTAATTATTGCTAGACACTTTCGCTCAACTCATACAGAAGCTCTACTGTGCTACCAGTAGAGCTTACTGGTAGAGGGGGGGGGGGGGGGGGGGTACCAGGGCATGAGCTACCAGGGCATCGACTAATGGGGCATCGTCTCTTTTTCCTTTTTTGATCGTTTAATCCCCGTCTAAGCGTTTTAAATGGTCTAGGTATTTAAAACGTCATCAATTCTTACAATAAATTTTATTTGTTTTTATTGCTTTTGCTTAACCATTATTTCTTTTTGCCCCTATTTTGAGAGAAGAACAAGGAAAGGAAAAGAGGAAAATGGGAGAGGGAGGGGGTTAGTTAACCCAAAAAGTATCAATTAGGTATAATATAACCTTAGTTATAAGTTGATCATTTAAATTAAATTCAAAAACTCCAGAAGCAGGTTCAATAACTTTACATGAATGAAGAAAGCCAACATCAAACCAAAATTAATTTAAATTACTTTAAAATTATTATTTAATTATTTATTTACTATTTGAAGTTTTTTAAATTTCATTCGAAAGCACAATTCCCCCTCATATTTATTAATTAAATTGTAAAAATAAGAATTAATTTGTTTAAAAAAGAATAATTGTTCGAAATTAAAACATTTTAAAATGTCTAGTTGAACTTCAATTGGGAAAGAAAACATTTTAGTTTTATCTAAAAATTTTGTGGAAAATGAAAGAAAATTAAAATGAGGGGAGAGTAAATTGAGAAAATTGAACTGAAAAATAAATAAAATTTTAGCTACATTGGAGGCCTTGAGGCCTGTACGGACATTTTTGTGTTCATCAAATTAAATGGAGTTAAAAAACTTTTATTTACAAAAAAATTAATTAGTCAGTGTTTGACAGAAAAAATAAATTAATCAACAAAATAAATAGTTATCATTGGGTTAGTCAATTAAATTATTCCCCAAATTAAAAGAAAGGCTCTCTTCTTAAATATTTAACAAATAGCAATGAAGGGAGAGGGCCAATTCTCTGTGGGAAATAAAAATAAAGGTGGGGAATATTTTGGTCGGTTTCTGGTATTTTATTATGCGCTAAAAATGAATTTTCTTGATTATTTCTTAATTATTAACTAATATTCAATAAAAAGTTAGTCTTCAATTCGATTAAACATTTCTCAGAAATAAAACTTTTTATTTTTAAATTCCTCAATTATCAACAATTATTTTCAATTAAACAAACAAATTTATATTTTAGTAATTTTATTAATAATTTCGAGGAGCTTGTTCAGAAGCACGTCACTTATACATTCCATAAATGTCTTGTGAACATTCTCAAAAGTCCATTCCTTCACCATATTAACAGTGTGTTATAGTGGGGTTATCCTAAATTGGAAGTAACGGCTTAGGGCTTAGGTAGCTCCTCCCGGTCCGATCTCTAATTTTAACTCAAAGGGTTTATAATAAGCAAATAAATTTAAAAATATTGAAATTTATTTTACAAAACAAAAAACGATTTAAACGGAAAAAATGAGAACATCGTTTTAATTTCGAACCCATTAAATTCCCTTTTTTATTATTCTTAAAGTATAAATACTAGAGTTATCCTTGGGTTCTGAAGTATAAAAATAAAATCTCAATTTTAGATTGTAAATGTTGAAAATTTGATAACTGGTAGATTTTAAATCATAGTTGTTTAATTTCTGTTGCTTTTTCGCTTATACAACTTAAATTTAAATTTCTTTTGGTAAGATATTTCAAATGAATATCAGGCACTATTTTTGAACAGTCTTTAGATGTTGCTATATACTTTAAATTTAAATTTACTTTTTAATTAAAAAAGCTTAGAAAAGCTGGCTCTATCCGAAATGAATGCCATCATCCAATTTTTCCTTTCCTCCTCGAATGGGGAGAAAGAGTTAATTTTTCGGCTGCAGTAGGGGGGAGTAAACTCAATTTTTGAGTGAAAAATTTGGTTTTTTAATGATGGCCATTTGAAAGAGCCTCCCAAAATTGAAGAACTACATGGGCGAATTTTGGATAAAAAAATTCGAATATACAAATGTTAGCTCATTCGAAAGAACTCGTCGAACTAAGTTTAAGAACTAAAATCACCGTGATTGAACAAGTTTGGACAAAGTTACCTTACCACCGGTAAACTACTACATCCGAAAAATTAACTTTTTCTCCCCATTCGAGGAGGAAAGGAAAAATGGGATGGCGGCGTTCATTTCGGATAGGGCCGAAAAGCTTACTTCAACAATAAGATCATAAAGATGAGGCACTCCATGTTTTAATACAAAACAAATTTGATGTAATATATCCCCTTTGTTTATCAAAATATTAAATAAAATATCTGTATATTGCTCTATAATGTCAACATGTGTAAAATCTATTACAAGAAATTTGAAAATGTTTAAACAATTTAGAATGATGTCAGCTTATTTTCACATATATCATCGTTAGAAGATATATATGGCCGTTTAATGTTAAATTTAAGAGTTTTGTTGGTATCAAATAATATATTGAGCATTTCCGGATTAAATAAACATTTATCAAAATGGGCATATTCAAAAGCACAATTAAAAAGCTTTTCCAACCAGTAACGAATAATAATCATTTCTTCAATATTTTTTGGAATGTTTGGCAATTTTAAAATATTATGAGGTTTTCTGTCAACTAAATAGGGAAGTTTAAAGATTTTTTGGGTCAAATTGAGATAGAAATCAATCTTAATTAAGGGCTAGTAAAATACTAAATATAAATTTTATTTTATATACCCTACCAATATGGTAATACCAAGGCTGGTCCCCCCTTTTTTCCTCTTCTATTTTTTTCGATAATTTAAACTTTTTATGGCAAATTATAGTATATAACGGTACTAAATTCATCGAAATCCGACTTAACCATAGTAAATAACAAAAAAAGGAGAGGGAGGGGGGAAAGGGGGACCAGCCTTGGTATTACCACAGGGATATTTCTAAACCTGTCTTTATACACAAAATTAAGTTTTTGTCATATTCATACAACGGAATTGATTTAGATATGGCCCTCTTCCACTGAAAAAAATAAAATTAAAATTTAATTAAAAATTAATTTCACCTTCTTTTTAAGTTGACGATTCAAAGTAAATTCAAAAACTCCAGATTTAGGTTCAATAAATTTATATGAAATTAAACTTCGAAGAGAGTCATAATCAATTTAAAATTAATTTAAATTTAAAAAAAGTTTAGTTTATAATTATTTACTAGTAAGAGTTCGCTGAATTTTATTCGAAAGCACAATGTTCCCTCATATTTATTAATTAAATTGAGGAGGTAAAAATTGGTTTGTTTAACAGAAAATAATTGGCTGAAATTTAAACATTTTAATACATCAAATTGAACTTCGGTTGGTAAAGAAAACATTTTAATTATCAAAAAATATCTGGAATGTTTCAAATATTCTGTCTAGAAAAAATTAATCAGTGTTTTATCAGCAAATTAGTCAACGTTGGGTCAGTCAATTAAATTAGTCACCAAATTAAAAGAAAGGCTCTCTTCTTAAATATTTAACAAATATCAAATAAAGGAAGAGGGAACAGGCCAACTGTCTGGCAAAAAGTCGGTCTCCAATCTTTTATTAGGCACTAAAATGTGTTTACTTATTATTTCCTAATTAGTAAATTAATAATTATCAAATAATATTTAATAAAAAGGAACAAAAAAATTCGTTATCTTATATTCACATTTCTTCCTTCTCAACTGGTAACTCACTCAACAGATCTAAACAAAGCAAACTCGTTTGATCGTCACCCTACTTGTCCAGAAGCATGTCACCTACACTTTCCTTAAGTGTCTTGTGAACTCTCAAAAGTTCATTCCGGCACTAAATTAATGTATCTCAACACTTCAATGAATTACATATAGTGATTACTATACTAGACAATATTTAGGACTAAAAACTGTATCAAATAGTGGGGTTATCCTAAATTGGAAGTAACGGCTTAGATAGTTCTTTCCTCTCGTTAAATACCCAAATAAATTCTAAAATCTAAACTTGTATCTATTTTTGGCTATTTTTAAATGAAGAACCATTGTTTGATGTATTTTATATGTAAAAAAATTGGTTAACTATGTATTTACATAGTTTCGAGGCAGGCAATCAAAAACAAAATGCCTGAATTGAAGGAAGAGTGAGTGAATGTGACTACAGTCGAATTGTTTATTATACAATTAAGAAATGAGTGCCCATTTTTTACATCAAGTGAATATCTGGATAGGGGGAGGAGACTAAATACCAGAGGTGCCGAAACGGATTTTAAAAAGCGAAACGCGAAAAGCGAAACTGGCACACCCCTGCTAAATACACACCAAAAAAATTTTTATTTTTCTTATGTTTTGGTGTCTTATATTTTTTAAATTATAAAAATTTTTAAAATAATTTTAAAGTTTTTAAAGGTCACAAATAATTATTCTCCTTCTTTATTTAAAAACAAATAACGAAACAAAAAACAATTTTAATTTAATTTAAAATTTGTCAAAGTAAAAGGCTCTATTTTCGTGTAAAATCCCACATATCTATATTTATATCATCGACAGAAGATAAATTCTGATTGTAAAATCGACGAGGAATTGTCTCGTCACCATCAAACAGTAAATCAATCATTTTTGGATTAAACACGCTTTCATTAAAATGTACACGTTCATAACCACAATTAAAAAGCTTTTCCAACCAACAACGAGCAATAATCATTTCTTCAATAGTTTTTAGACAGTTTGACAATTTTAGAATATAAAAAGAATTTTCTTCAGCTAAATAAAAAAATTAATTTAAAAATTATTATTTAGATCAATCGAGATTGAAATTTGCGGCTTAAAAAATTAGAGTCTAATTTGTCCATAAATTAAGAGACCGCAAATGTTTGTCCTCAATTTCTATCTGGAAATGAAGATGTGGAAACTAGAGTTTGATATTACGGTTCGGGGCTGGGCTTACGGGGAACGGGGGTTATGGGGAATTCGGGTCAGAGATGCGGGGAATTCGAACCGCGAGGACGGGGAACGGGGGCTATGGGGATAGACCTCCCCGTCTCCGGGGAATTCCCTTCCCCTAGTGGAACTCACATCTTTTCCCCGATCATTATTAATTCTTAAAAAAATTTTATTTTTAAAACATTGCGGTCGTGTTGGGGTTATTTTATATACAAATATTTTTCGACCTTTCATTTTAATACAAATAAGATAGCTGGATCCAAATTCGCCTAAAAACAATTTTTTGTCTACCGCTGTTTTCCACTGAAAAAAAATAATTTTTATTTAATCAAAAATTAATTCATTCACCTTCTTTTTAAGCTGATCATTTAAAGTAAATTCAAAAACCCCAGCTTGAGAGTCAATTAATTTATATGAAGGGAACCATCGAAGAGAGTTAGGAGTAATCCAAAATTAAAATTTTTAAATAGTTAATTAAATATTTTTTACTATTGCGAGTTCTTTAAATTTCTTTCTTGCCAACCTTACTCCATATTTATTAATTAAATTTAGAAGGTAATAATTGGTTTGTTTAATAGAAAATAATTGGTCGAAATTAAAACATTTTAACACGTCAAGTTGAACTTCAGTTGGTAAAGAAAACATTCTAAAATTTTATCTAAAGAAGGCTTAGAATCATTAAACGTTTAAAAATAATTAAATATTTATTAAACAAAAAATACTAACTTAAATTAAATAAAAATTTATTGACTCTGACATTTGATGTAATATCCAAAAACTGGGAAAGATGTGTGGGGGGTAGTGCAAAATGGAGGAATAAGAAACATTGTGGAACAGCACAACATCGTTAGGGGAGTTATTTTGCCGAGTTTATATGGAAGAAAATTATTGTTGAAGAAAACGTTGCTGCTTGGGGAAATATTGGTTAGTGTAATAGTTCCTCCTACATATTAAATAAAATTTCCCACAAAAAGAATGTAGAAATAACGGAGCACCACTATAATTTTTATAAATTTCATATTTGTGCCGGACCGGGTCCTCCCTGATGTTTCTGTATTAATCCGGTTCGGAAATACATCTGAGAAAAAAACCCGAATATACTAAATTGAATTTATGGTGGAAGAAAAGGGTGAGAGGCAAACGTCGGTCTTAGCAAAACTCGGTCCAAATTGTTTGGGGTCTCCTAGGCTCGAGTGATGTTATTTGTTTGTTACAAATGGGAAGGTCATGTCAACTACGGGGAAGGTACCAACTATCCGCAACACATTCCTCGTAGCTATTGGAAAAACTGATCGTTGTTGGAAGAATCTTTCCGTAGTTGGAATAGCCTCCTTGTCGTAACAAACTAGCATGAGTCCACCACATTTGGACCGAGTTTTGTCCGACCAACTTTTGCCCTTACACAAGAAAATACATTTTTGTCTTAAAGTTCTTTAACAAAAAGACGTATGGGAAAAATATTTTTAATATTAAGAAATTTTAACAAATACATTGGAGAATATTCAAAAAATTATTGAAAATGTTTATCAAAAAAAATTAAAACAAATTTTTAAATAAAATGAACCCAAAGCTTTATAAATTAAAGAGCAAGCAAAAAATGAAAAGTGAAAAAAAGAGGGGTTGACTTCCACAGTATTACCCCGAAAAGTAAAATCAAAATCAAAAAAATATTCATGTATTTAACAACAAAATCGTTCAATTAATATTCAACAATTTCTTCAATCCTTTCGTTAAACTACCCAAATTAAAATAAATATCATTTAATTTAATATTAGCCACCATTTTTGGGCAATCCATTGACATTTCAATACCCTAAAATACAAAAAAAAAATATTGATGTGTATAGTTAAATAAAAATATTGTCAGACTTCTGTTTTAGTTACCCCCTTGTTTCAGAAAATGTTGATTTAAAAACGAGGGGTATCCAAAATTTGGAGGTATCAAATAGGCAGTTAAAGAAGAACCCCTAAAATCAACTTCGGAGTATCAAAATCGTTGTCCGTCTTTATTATAAAGAACCCGCAGACTGCCAATAAACTAATGGATAGTCCCTAGTAATTCCTAGTAATCCGTTCCTAGTCCGTCCGATCCCTAGTAATTATTTTCTAATGCCATTTTCTCTATTTAATGGATATACTACAAAAAAAAACTTACATATAAACAAAAATAAAAATTATAAAGTTCTGTCAACTCATCACAAAGTGACCCAACTTCATTAAACTTGTCTCCTCTCATTATAATTAAGAATAAAATATTTCTATATTTTTTCATAATTTCTTCATTACTAAATGTTTCACGGACTAAATTATCCAAAATAAATTTTAATAGACCATCCGTACTGGTAGGTTTAGACATCCAACTGTTTATTTTATGTGTCCAATTGTTTATAACATAAAATTTCCCGGGAATTGTAGCATTTTCAAAAAATAATTGGATTAATTCTGGATTGAAAATAAACTGGCCAAAATCGGCAAAAACAAAAGAACAGTTGAATAATCGAGTTAAATAATGATAAACAATTTTCATTTGCTTTTTGTTTCTAATAATTGTTGGGAGTTCTAATATAATGTTGTGTTCTTCAATGTTGCTGTAAACTAAAAAATATAAAAAAAAATTTTTTTGAAGCTTTTATTTCTTTTATTATGAAAAAACTTTAAAAAGTGAATTTTTTAGAATTTTTTGGCCTACGACCTTCTAAAATTCTCAAAATTTTCCTCCTTGGCTCCCGAAAAAATCCTGGCTACAGGCCTGCTAAAAACACTATTAATTCACACACAAACACACACTTCTGTTACCACGTCAAAATCTAGTAACCATTTACTCCCTCGAGACCCCCCCCCACTCAATAAAATTAATTAGACTCGGGAAACGGGAGTCGTGTCGGGAAATGGCATCGGGAGTCGGGAGTCCAAAAATTCGAGAAATTTTTCCGAGTCGGGATCGGGATATCCGAACATCACTAAAGTATATATGCCTACCAAATGAAAAACAAAGTCTGCAAAAACAATAGGGGCCCAATTTTGGTTTTATTGCTATCCACAAAAAAGGTTTTCCCCTCTAAATTCATTGAATTTAAAAAATCAAAAAATTCACCTATAGACAAGCTAATGACAATATTTTCAAGCAATCCGTGATCAGGTAAATATAAAGGAATTCGTTTTTGTTGTCCATTACTCCACTAAAAAGGAAATTTAAAAACATTTAAGAAGCTATTTTTAACCATTTCATCAATTTGTTTATTTAATTCTTTATGTTGCTCGTCAAATAAAACAAAATCAAAATTTCCAGCTTCGGGTCTAACATATTTATGAGGAATTTTTTTGAAATTATTGAGAAAATCCTTTAAAAGATTTTTTTAAAAATAAAAGATTCGATTAAATACAAGGTTCTACTTGACTTTTTAAGTCGATTGGACTCATAAAGTCAAGTAGAGCCAAATACACTAGGTAGCAACCCGAGCCTTAGGGGGCGGTATTTTTAATTTCGAAATTGCCGGGGTAGAGCCTTCAGGGCCCAGGTCGGGGTTTCTGCCTAAAAATTCGCGGGGTGCTACACTAAAATAAACTTACGATAGTAAAATTGAATAATTCTTCTCGGGCAAGTTTCCCCTCAAAATTATTAATAAAATCACGAAAAAATAAATTTGTTTGTTTAATTGAAGATAATTGTTCATAATTGAAACATTTAAAAATATCAAGCTTCGCTTCTGTTGGCAAAGAATAAAAAAACATTTTTTGTAAATTTATTTAAACACTTGAGAAATTGAGAATATCAAATTAACTAAAATTAAAAATAAATTAAAGATTGGATGTAAAGAGAGCTACCAAAAAGGCGGTAAAGGATATCACCCTATATTAAGTAAATGCCGAAATTTATTTTATTTAAAATCAGAAAAATTGCAGCTTTTTTATTAAAAATGAGAGAAAACAAAAACGGGGAAAGTTAGAGGGCATTAGACAAAATTTGGGATCAAATGTCATGGATTGGCAAAACGAATTTAATTTGTATCTTTCTTCGCCGTTTCATCAATAGCCCTACACTCTGCGGCAGAAATGGTTGGCCACCTAGTTTTTATGAAATATTTTTTTCCAACTCTGAGATAGGGCGTTTGTTCTGGGAGATAAAATGTTTATACCTATCGAATTTATCTATTTACCAAAAATCGTATTATTTAATAATAGACGGGTCCGTCAAAACGGAAATAACTTAAAAACGGGTGCGTCAAAATAAGTTGGCCACTTGTATTTTCGACCTTTAGGAGTGGTCAGAAAAATTTACAAAAATTCCTGTAAACATATCCATTGATATGAATATAAAATACAAAAGAAATGAAGTTCCTATATGATTCCTTCATTGAGATCTGAAAATCCGAAAATCAACGGAAAACAGGGGTACAGTACTTCAAAAAATATTTTCGACCCCTTAGGGTATGTGTATAAATTTTCTTTTATGCTTGACAAATAGCCAATAAAATTTGCTATAAGATACAAAAGGACCCATCCTTTTAAAAAATTTGTCCGGCTCAGCGTTCAGGCTAGAATAACGGCTGCACAGAAATAGCCTAAAAATGCAATGTCTTTAGCTATCTTTTTTTCTAACCTGAACGCTGAGCCGGACAAATTTTTTAAAAGGATGGGTCCTTTTGTATCTTATAGCAAATTTTATTGGCTATTTGTCAAGCATAAAAGAAAATTTATACACATACCCTAAGGGGTCGAAAATATTTTTTGAAGTACTGTACCCCTGTTTTCCGTTGATTTTCGGATTTTCAGATCTCAATGAAGGAATCAAATAGGAACTTCATTTCTTTTGTATTTTCTATTCATATCAATGGATATGTTTACAGGAATTTTTGTAGATTTTTCTGACCACTCCTAAAGGTCGAAAATACAAGTGGCCAACTTATTTTGACGCACCCGTTTTTAAGATATTTCCGTTTTGACGGACCCGTCTATTATCAAATAATAAGATTTTTGGTAAATAGATAAATTCGATAGGTATAAACATTTTATCTCCCAGAACAAACGCCCTATCTCAGAGTTGGAAAAAAATATTTCAGAAAAACTAGGTGGCCAACCATTTTTGACGCAGAGTGTACTTTATGTACAATTTTACTGTGGCGCTATAATTGAACTTTAAAGGGTTTAATGTTTGGAATTGAGAAAAAAACTAAAGATTTATCAAATATGTATGTATTAGTTGCTAGGTCTCAACAGATTTTTGGAAAAAGAAAAAAATATATATGATTATCAAAAAGTTTAAATTTCCACCAGCTTTGCTGAAATTTTGATTTTTTAGTTAAACCCCGAAGCCCGACCGAGAAGCTGATGGAGAATATTTATTTGTTTTTTTAATTTGAATCTCTCGCTGGAAGTGGCCATATAGTTAGAGTATTTATTTGAAGGAGGGTGATAAGTACAGTAAGTTATAAACGCAGTTTTTCAAATACCTTTTTATGTACAAATTCAAAACAGGTTACCAACCGTCACCCTGTTTTCTTTTAGTCCAAATTTTAAAACAGGTTTTCGGTTTTGAATTCTAGTCAAATATCGGGTTTTGTTTTGGGAGGATTTTCTCTAAAAAATCACTCCTTATTAACAACTCATGCCCTAACTGAATCTTTGACATTTGTTATTACAAAATTTACTCTTTCACCTCAAACTCATTCCATAACTGATTATTAGAAAAATATTGAAGATTGCCAAACATTTTACAAAAAATTTATTCGAAAAACACATTTACATACAAAACAAATTTACAACAAATCTAATAGAATATATTATGAGACATATGTACATATTACACACAAGGAAATTTAGGAAATATACAACAACATATAAATGAATGCAAGATAACAATAAAGGAAGAATGAGTTTAGATATTATATTCAGTTCATTTTTATCTCTTTAGAATTCTTCCCCCTCTGTGGCAGGTTCCTCCTCGGCCGTCTCCACCGGTTCTTCAGTGCGCGTCCCACCATCCCGACTCGGTGTTGCAACCAGTTTCTTTCCCGTATCATCAACCGGAAATGGCTCGGACTCAACGTTAGGCACGTGATATACTGAAAATTAAAGAATTACCCAAAGACTCCTTTTCACTCATTCGAGTACCTCTCTTCGGCTTCCGTGGTTCTTCCTCCTCAATTGGAATGAGCTTACACCGCTTATTCCAGAAGCCTTTAGCGCGCGTAAGTATTTCACACACGTCCTCGGCTGCGGTCGAGATCAGCTTCAGTGGAGGGGCATCCCGTTCCAGCTTGAGTACCACATTTTTCTTTTCAGTGATACTCTGTCGAATAGCCTGTAAATTAAAGGATTGAAAATTGTTTACAAAATTACTTGTAAAAATAACACCTTTTTAGCTCCAGAGACGTCGTCTTTCACTTCCTTGCCGTTAACGTCCCGCAATATGTCGCCTGGAAGGATGTACTGCGCAGCTACACTGCTTGGCTCAATGTGCGAGACGATGATATTAGATCCCTGGAATTGAAAGCTATTATTAACGACAAGCCCTCATTACTCAATCAATTACCTTCTTCTCCACCATTATCCCAATTGGAAGATCTTCTCGCCATCTGATCTGCAGCTGGATGAAATTGTGGCTCGGGTTTCGCCTGATTTGTGTGACCTTGAGGTTGATCATTTTGAAGTAGTCGTCCCTGCGGAAACGGATGAACAAAGGTTTGGGTTCAGCGCCAGAATACTGGGTTGCTGCCGTGAAGTCTTCTGCCGAGTTTATGGCCTGAAAAATGGACGTTTAAACCGAGTATTACTCTAATAATCGCAGAAGCTTACCCGTTTGTCAATCTGCAAGATCCAGTCTCCAGGGAACAACCATCCAAAGAAGTAGGAGAAGATGTCGATCTTCTGTATCCGCGGCGGCGAGCTCCCACTGAAGAACGTCAGTCCCATGTCCGAGTCTTGGATCTCGATGGTATCCTCATGCTCATGAATGTACTTCTTAGCTGAAAGAGAAAAAAAAGTTAGTTTAGAAAACAACCCTTGTATGATACATCCTCGTTTCTCGGCCATTGTACTGAAACGCCAAAGCAAGAGTGAGCAGCAAGCGACAAAACAAAAGCAGACCTTTAGTTGAATTGAGCACAGCGTTGTCGTCACGAAGTGCAGTGAGTTGTAGTGTTGGTTTATGCATAAACTCTTAAGGCGCTTTTATATTAACCTAAAATTCATAATAGAAAAACACTTCTTTATAAAATCCCCTGTTTATGCACACCCTTGAAAGAATTTAAAAAATAAAAACAAACTCCTTGTTGACAGCATACTAGTTAACAAAGAAAATTTTCTTAACATCACGCTAATAACGACGGAAGAAAACTAAAAGAGGAAGAAATCTGGGTTCTTAGCCTTCCAAAATTCTCCAAATTTTCGCCTGTGGCGCTGAGAAATAAATTATTCAAGATGTGGGGCTGGATCCAAGCTGGGATTTGCATCAGTTTTTCGTGTATTTTTTATAAAAAGGTTAATCCTAGTCTTCTGAGTTTCAAAAATTTTTGCTTCAGTCTGATCCCTCACAGTCTTATCTCGTTTTAATTAAGGCAAACAGAATGGGGCGAAATTGATGTCAATTCTTAATTTTTACAAAAATATTTTTCAAACTATAAAATGTTCTCTGTTACATCAATATTGGTAATATGTATGTACATTTTTTTGAAGTATTTTAAAAATTAAAAATTAGTTGGTGGTGGCCAAAAAGGGAAAAATAAATCAACAGGAAAATAGAATAAGAATAAAACAAATTTAAAAAAAATAGAAAACCCAAAGAAAAAATTTTATTCATCAACCAACACAAACTAAAATAAAATATAATTTTAATAGTGAAAAGAAAAAAAAATAATTTTATTTTTTTTAATTATATCAATTTTCTAAAACATTTTTTGACAATAAAAGAGTATATAATTAAATAAATTTTTTTCAATATAAATTTTGTTTCATTTGTCATCATTAATTGTTGCAAATGATGATGACATTGCTGCTGCATCGTCTCTGCAATACGTGTGAAAAGCCTGCAAAAATTAATCAGAATTTAACTTTAAAAATTATTTTAAATTATGTGTTCTCCGGAAAATTCTGATTTCAGAATTTAAAAAATGTGTTTTGTGTTTTATGTGTTTTCCGGAAAATTCTGATTTTTATTTGAAATCAGAATTTTTATTTCAAAAAGAGAATTCTGATTTGTATTAAATATATAATTCTGATTTTTTATTAAAAATTCTGAAATTTGTTAAAAATACAAATTCTGATTTTTATATAAATGTATTAACTATTTAATTCTGATTTTTTATAAAATACAAAAATCATTTTAAAATCAGAATTAAAATTAATTTTAAAAATTATTGCTTATTTTCTTCCCACCTTTCCATCAACAACAACGGAGTCAAGAAGCCTCCAAGCATCTCCATCATCATCCCATTTCACCTCAAAACGTTCATTACATACACAACACTCCTTTAAATAAAATTTTTTGAATTTTTTATTTAAAAATTTTCACTTTATTTTTAATAGAGTCAGCATCAACTACACCACTAACATTATCATCAATACCAACAGAAGAAGATTGCCTTTGTTGGGATTTATCGCCTTTTTAAAAATTTTTAAATTCAGAAAAATTTAATTAAAGATTACTAGCAAAGTTAATTTTATTGACTTGATCATATTCAGAATATTTGAACCAATCCTAAAAATATTTAAAAAATTATTATTATATACATATGTACTATTTGTATGTATTGAAAGTTATTTTGCCCTAGTTTAATTCGTTTTTTATTTTGATTTCCGGGATTAATTTGTAAACTTAATTTTAAAATTAAAATAATTTCCAAATTAAATTTCAATTTATTTCCTAAAATTAACAAGTACATATGGTGGGTCAGCTTAACTATATCCAAAAAATATGCAGAATAAAGTATAAGTATTTTATTTGTAAATTAAACTATTCTTAAGTGTTTAAAATGGTGCCCCTATATTTTGTCATATTTTTGACATATTTTTCTCTATTTATTCCATATCTTTGAGGGGCTGTTCCCTATTTTGGTGTTTTGGAAAAGGCCACCCTGCTAGTACATAGTATATACATGTAATTTTTGTGGAATTATCTTTAAATTAAATACAGAAATAAACAAAAATTCCTTACATCCAACATAAACCAAGGTTGGTTTTTTGGGGTCAAATCCTTCTTAGTTTTAGGATCCTTTGTTTTTTCTTCGTTCAAATGCAATTTTGAATGCTGTTGATGTTGTTCACTATAAAGGTCTTTAAATCCAATACCACAATCTTGGCAGCAATGACGTTGTTTGTGAATTGAGTCAATAACTGAATCATAACGACTAAAAAAGATTTAATTTAAAAACAAATTCTTTCTCCTTCCCCTCCTCCTTACATAATCAAAGAACGCATACTAAACAAATCAAAGCCAGCCATCGGCATTGCTCTCCTTTCCAAATGTTCAAACCGATGGGCACAAGGCACTGGAGGAGAATTTGAACGACCCAAAGTTGTATTTCTTGCTTCGATAGCCGCTTGTCTTTCATGATTTTTACGTTCAACTTGATTAGGTTGTGATAGATAACCCGAATTTTTTAAACGTTGGAGTAGACTGGTAACATCAAGTACTGGATCTATTTAAAAGAAATATTAAAAATTAATAATTCTTAAATTTTTCTGAAGGTTGTTACAAGTTTTAAGATAGTTACTCAAGTTTGCAAATTAGACTAATATTTTAATTCGCAAACTTAGGTTTCCGAAAAAATAATTTATATTATTTTCCGGAAAGATTTATATTATTTGCTATAGGTTGTATTATTTCTATAAGCTTATAGCAAATACTACTTATTCCGGAAGAGTAATATAAATCATTCCGGAAACTTAAGTTTACAAATTTAATAGTCTTAAACTTGCATAAATAATATTTAACTTAAGTTTCCGGAAAATAATCTATATATTATTTTCCGGAAACTTGTAATGTATTATTTACTACAAGTTTAAAAAATATATATTTAATTTGCAAACTTAAGTTTCCGGAAACATTAATTCTATATTTTCAGAACTTAAGTTTATATAAAATTTTTTAATATTTAATTCAATCATCAATTTCAACTGTATTAGTTCAAATATTTTTCAAAAAAATATAATCTAAAATTAATTTTATTCCCACCCTTCTTTGCTTCCACTTTTGGTTGTTGAGGTATTTGCCTTTGTTGAGGTATTATTTGTTGTTGTCTAATTGCAGGCATATATCTCATTAATTCGTAACTCGGTTCTGGGTCAATTCTAACTTCTGGAGGAGGGCCACAAAGACGAATTTCATGCCTTCTCCCGTTAATAGTTGCTTTAATTGTTGTTTGACCACCAAATGCCCCTTTGAATGGAAAGTTGCCCATATAAAGTTCACGTGAAGGACCGCCAAAACGTAAAATATGAAGTTGGCCATCAATCAAAACTTGTTTTTGCTCTCCAAAAGACATTTGATGTTTCTCTTCATCAATTATTACATCACGAGATGGCCCAGCAAATGAGACACGGTGTGGAAGACCATTCCGTTCAATGACTGCTATTTGGTCGAGATAAAATACCTGATTTTTGGGGGAAAAAGAACATAAAACAAATTTTTAGGTAAAAAATACCTCGTAAGCCTTCCCATCAACAAAAATCCGATTGTTCTCCGGAACACCAGGTAAACGCGGGGTAACATTTTGGATGTTATGTTGAATATCTAAAATATTTAATTTAACTTTAACGGCTTCCGGAAATGTCTTTCGTATTTTAATTAGTTTTCCGGAAAAACTAATGGACTGTACTAAAATAAGTTTATTTGCAAACTTAAGTTTCCGGAAGAATTCTATTAATTTTATCTTAAATTGTAAACTTAAGTTCTATCATATACCTATCAGGGGTGTGCCGAAACGGATTTTAAAAAGCGAAACGCGAAACGCGAAAGGCGAAATTAAATTTAAAAAGTGAAACGCGAAATGCGAAACGCGAAAGTAAATTCAAAAAAGCGACACGCGAAACGCGAAAGTCCAAAAAACGCGAAAATCCGCGAAAGGCGAAACGCGAAACGCGAAATTCTTACAATTTTCCGATACGCTGAAAAATCTTTAGGGATTTATCAACTCAGTGCTTTGTTCCGAATCAAAGCCTCAACTGAATCTTACAATCACCATTAGGATTTTACAGGCATCCGGGATATCAAGGGATTTGAGGGGATATCAGACATAAACCAGGTTCCATCCTTTATTTTATATCCTATATTTCAGGATATTCAGAAGTCCGTACCTCGCTTTGAAAACATTTCAGTAGAATAGAAGTGGAATTTTAGTGGTTTACGTTTTGGTATTTGTGTGGATTAAGAGGAACTCAGGAGTATTTAGGTAAATTCCGAAGGATAGGGAGGATTCGAGTGATAGTGAATCTAGGGGAATATCGGGCGAAAAACTTATGTCAAGGTTCTTCATTTTTAGCGCCGCAGGCAAAAATTTTGAGAATTATGGTAAAAAGAAGTAATCTTAAGCCAGATTACTTCTCTTTTCAGTGCCGCAGGCGAAAATTTTTTGAATTTTGGAAATCCTTAAGCCAGATTTCATCTCTTTTCAGCGCCGCAGGCGAAAATTTTTTTAATTTTGGAAATCCTTAAGCCAGATTTCATCTCTTTTCAGCGCCGCAGGCGAAAATTTTTTTAATCTTGGAAATCCTTAAATTAGATTTCTTCTCTTTTCTGCGCCGCAGGCGGAAATTTTGAGAATTTTGGAAGTTTACAATTTATTCGGGCCTCATTTTTCTCCAACTTTACCATCTTTCACCTGTCATTAGGGGTGTATAAAACTTTCGCATTTCGCGCAAAAAGCGAAACGCGAAACGCGAAATGCGAAAGTAAATTTAAAAAAGCGACACGCGAAACGCGAAACGCGAAAGTCCAAAAAACGCGAAAATCCGCGAAAGGCGAAACGCGAAACTCGCACACCCCTGATACCTATGTTATTTTCCTGAATATTTACGGTTTTCCGGAACATTTTTATAATAAAGCGATCTTCAGATTTTCGTATCAATCTCTTATATAAAATTTTGTAGATGAACAAAATTATTTGTGTCTACATATCTTATTACTTTTTAATATTAAAGAAATTAATTTATATTTACTTTGAATGGGAGGAGGAGAAAAGCTACGTTGTTGAGGATTTCCTTTCATTGTTGTTATTTGAGGTGGAGGAATTTCTTTGATAAATCGTGGTAGTTGTTGAAAATTTGTTAGAGGGGCACTTGAAACTTGTGGAATCATTACTAACTGTGGCTGGTCAGTAATAGAAGATGTTGGTATTTGTGGTGGTGGAAATTGTTGTTGGTGTTGTTGAAGTTGGGGTGGTGGTACTATTTGTGGTTGTAATAAATGTGTAGGTTGAGAATTCATCACTATATTGAATGCATGAGTTCCCAGCGTCCGGGAAGGCTCGAGAACCTGAAAAAAATTAATGTTTCCGGGAAATTTAGAGAGTTTAAATAAATAAAAAATAATATTGAACGTAAATGTTTTTGGAGAACTGAGAAAACACGTACTCTTCAACAATACTACAGACCAAACAAAACTCTTTACAAAACTGTGACTACCCGAAGAATTATTAAGGAGTTTAGAAACTAGTGGCAGATGTAACCTACTTCCACAAACATAATGATCTAAAAATACACACATTTTGTTTAGAAACTCGAGGTTGTTGAGGCTTGACAGACCGTTGAGTTGATTTATTACTAACATTACTGCTGCTATGTTGAGCAGTTGTGGTTGTTCTAGGGCGCTTAGTTGGAGGCCCTCCTCCTTTATGCTGCGATGATTGTTGTTGCGAAGGTTGTTGTGGTAATTTGTTAGCTAAAAAAGGGAAAATAATATTCCAGGTTTTAAAGAAAAAAACAAATTAATTTAAATAAACATTGAGTTTTCTAAAAAAACATTAATTACAAACTTAGCTTTCCGGAAAAAATTATAGTTCAATATTTCTGTCTTTCGGGATTTTTATTTTTAATTAAAAGTTTCCCTAAAATTCTGAATTTCATGAAAATATGTCTTTCCGGAAACGTTATACATATTTACTTATTTTTAGGGATGGAATTTATACGGACTATCAATTGAAAAATATGGACCAAATATAGACAATAATTAAAGTTTTAAACGGATAAATTAAGATTCTTTTAGTTAGTTGTAACTTTAAGTAATCAAAAAAATCGTGGTATTAAAAAATCGTAGTGTAGGCCTTAAGGAGATTTTGTATTTCTGGGACGTATGGATCATCGACGTATTAGAACACTTTTTTGTGAATATTGTAAAGGCATTTTGATAAAAAATAAAGAAATATGGATTGATAACTTGAAAACCTTATCAACATTTTTCGTGCGTTCATTACGACAAGGGGAAAAAATTATTAAATCCATATAAATCCCATACCTACATACTTAACACACAAACATTTCTATAAATTATTTAAAGTTTCCGGAAAAATCTTAAAATTTAAGGAAACCAAATATATTGTAATATTTTACTCATTAAATTTAACGCTTTAATCTTTTATCTTCGAAAAAAAATTTCCGAAAAATAAAAAATATTTTTTCTCTCAACATAAAAATAATAATTTTATTATAACCATTAATGTCAGGCTGTATTTTCTTTTTTTCTTGTATTTTTTCTTGTTGTTTATTTTCTTGTTTAACACTTGTTGGTTGTTTACCATTGAGAAATTTAGGGTTAACATGTACTACATGTCCTCCTCCTCCCCCTCCTTGTTGTTGTTGTCCTGATGTTTGTTGTTGTTGTGATGACACTTCAATCTTCAAATCTGGATTCATTATAGGCCAAGCCCTATCCACAGAATTTATTTTTGTGTCGATCATGTAAAGCTTAGATTTTGTGAAAACGTCAGCCCAGGTGCAACGCAGCCGGTAAATTTTAGCTCTTGTACGTTCGTCTCCCTACAATGGGAAAACAAAAAATGTAGATTTTTATTGAAATTAGTTTTTGATTTCTTATTTTAATTCGCAAATTAGTAAAAACAAGTTGTGTGACACGTTCGAAAAAAGTGATCAAGCGAAGGACAGGCAAGCCTTTCAGAATGATTCTTTGGCAATCTTGCGCTTTTTTAAATTTAAAAAAATACTCGATTATGTGAAACATTTAAAGGTTTGGATGGATAAGGATTTGGAGTGATATAGGGGATACAGGGGATTATGAAAGGTATCAGATGATTTAGAGAGATCAAGGGGGTTTAACGAAATAGCGGGGCAGCCGAAATATCGGAGCAAAAATAGCAGCGGACTTTAATTGATACAAGGATATCAGGGGATTTGGGAGGATACCGGGAGATCTGATCTCCAGATACTGAACTGAAGTTTTTCTGAGTTGTTCCCCGATTGGGTATATTTCCTGCGGTTGTTTGCGTTAAGGCCAAATTTACGCAAAACGCAAAGCCAGAATTTAACGCAAATAGCGCAATGCCCCCCCCCTGTTAAGAATACCTAACACATTTTACAGAAGAAAGTCCGTACTTTATGAAATAATTTTTTATCGAAAAGTTACACAAAACACGGTTGGATCTTTTCAGTTCGTTTATTAATGTGATAGCACGTTTCCTTTATTAACCATTCAGCCCTAAAAACTCCTTTCAAAATCTGACAACTAAATAAGTGGACAATAAAAATGTCACAAGAATACAAAAACTCAAGGACATGTTGTTCAACTCAAGAAATTTTGTACAGTTGCAGGGAGTTCCTTCTCTTCTCAACACGTATGAGATTTGTTGCTACTTTCGGTCAACTTTACAAAGTTAAAGAGCGAGTCTTGGGATGAGGACAAGGTTTCTTGAGATGAGGAGGAAAGGGGAAGGAAATAAATTTAAAAACAATGAAACTTTAAAACAATTTAAAAAGGTTAAAAGAAAATTTAGAAAACTTTAATAGAACCTTTTCAAGGTAATAGCATTTAAAATATTAGAGGGGCTTTTAAGTTAACAATATAATTTTATTATGAAAACCAGTTAAGGGTGTTTTGTGCTCGTGTTGAGCTTAAAACAAGTCTTGGATCTGACCCCAACTCAATGTTTCTCTTTTTCAATAAAAATTATTTCGAACACATTTGTATGATATTTAACTTACAAAAAACCAATCATTCAGTTTACTCCAGAAAGATTTTCTTTTAGGATTTTGTTCCTTTAAGGGCCAAAAATAAAGGGGTTCTTCTTCTTTGACCCTAAAAAACTCAACCACTCATTTCAACTCAATCTTTTTTTAAACATTATTATTATCCCTACACAGGCCCACAATTTTATTCAAAATCTCAAGCCTGCAATTTTTTTTCATTTTTAAAAATAATCGAGATCTAACGTCAACATGAGAATAGAATTTTTAAGAGATTTTTTAAGAGACTAGAAGAGAGAAGTGAATTGTGTGAGAAAATAAAAAATAATGTAAAATAAATAAAAAAATTGTCTCAAGAGATGTCCACCTCCTTGAATACATGAACAATCATGTCAACAATCCTCTCGGCAAACATTTTACGATAACCTCCAGTCTTTGCAATGTTCTTTACGATTGAATCAATCACGTATAATATAACAATTTTGAGTGGAACAGAACACTAAAATTTTAAAAAATAAGAAATTTCTAGTCGGTTAAGAACAACCTAGAGGATTTAAAGAGGGACTAACCTGGAAAATTAATTTTGGGGATAACATACCGATCTTGAAAACTGAGGAAACCAAAAAGGACTTATATGTATTAGGGATGGCCAGGGTAATTCTTCGGTTGTCGCCCCCCCCTTTTTTTATGTTTCCCTGGCCATTTTGAGCTTTTTTGCTTGACATATAATTTATTATATATCATTCGAAAGAGCTATTCGAGCTGGGTAGAATGATACTAAGATCGGTTAGATTTGGCGATTTTGAACAAAATTATGAGGCTAAATCCTCTGTGGACATGCTTTTTGTGATGTTGAAAAGGATTAAAACAAATGCTCATAACTATGTTTATTTAAGTCGGATTTTGATGAATTTAGTACCGTTCGACTCAGCTCGAAGAGCTCCTTCGAATGATATAAAAATCCATAGAAATTTCATAGGAAATGAAAAAAATAGAACATAAAAAAAGGGGGGGCGACAACCGAAGAATTACCATGGCCAGAGCCTTAAGTATAAGAACTGTCGGGGAAGTATTAAAGTCCCAGAAATTAAGCCGTGAAGCTCAAGAAAAATTACGAATTTGAGTGTCCACAACAATTTGGAAATTAAAAATTAAAACAAACCTTGTAGAGAGATTCTTCAATAACTCCAACAATTTCACTGGAATAAGAAGCATAGTCCTCTGCCAAAATTGTAAGCAAATTAATTTGAGTTTTGTCATTCCTCGACAGGTCAGAAAGGACTGCTCTTAAAACACAAGTTTAAAATTAGTTAATAACCAAAAAATAACCTGTATTCCTTTGCTGCTTCACTAACTGATACCATTTTTTGAAATAAAATTAAAGTTTTTACAAATCTTTAAAAAATATTTTTGTTTGTCCTGAAAAAATAAATAAAATTTTAATTAAGAACCAAAAAAATAAAAGTAAAAACGCGTTAGAGTTAACACATTATTATGTATCTACTACACATATACGTACATTTAAATTTATATAAAATCAAAAAAACATTCCCATGAAACATTTAAATCATTCATTTGCTGAGAAACTTGCTCATTTTAAATGAAGAAAAATGTCGATGTGTAAGACACAATGTTTGTATACGCGAATTCAAATCGATATACCTATTAATATTTTACGAGTCCATTAAATGCACAGCGGGTAGTCCCGCATAAAATGGCAAAAGGAAAAAAACCCACAAAATATGTAAAATAAATTGACAGGCTTTAACCTGTTAAAAAATAAATTCTAATATAAAACAAAAATAATTTAATCGAAAGTTAACGATAAAATAAAAAGAAAATCGCTAGGAGAAGATAGGATTGAAAAATCGACGAGGAATTGTTTTGTCGTTGTCAAATAAAATATTGATCATTTCTGGATTAAATAAAGATTCAGTAAAATAAACAATTTCAAAAACACAATTAAAAAGTTTTTCCAACCAGCAACGAACAATAATCATTTCTTCAATTTTTTTTGGAAATGCTGGCAATTTTAAAATATAATAACGGGGATTTTTGTCAACTAAATAAAAAATGAATTTTAAAAAATTTTTTTAGTCAAATGAAATATAAATTTACATTCCTAAAAAAGCTTACTTTGCTAATAAATTGTTTAATAATTATTATTACATATAAAAAGTTTTAAACCTGTCGTGCAGATATAAAAAAACAAGCTGCTATCAGAAAGACATTTAAATAACGGAATTACTTTATCAATCGCTGCCTGCCACTGAAAGAATAAATAGTACTTGTGGGTTATCCCTACGAACTTTTGCGGACTATTTTTGCGGACACAATTGTACGGAATGGTCAATTCTCTCCCTCGCTAAGGATTAAATTTGATGTGTAGATTTATTTTAAAAAGAAAATTATGTCTTTATGTGAAAAGAAAATATATAAGACAAAAATTATTCCAATGACCAATATTTTCCCCAAGCAATCATGATTTCCTCAAAAACGTCTTTTTCCCCAATCATTTTTCTCCACATAAACTCGGCAAAATAACTCTCCAAATGATGTTACATTTAATCTTGTTTGATTGGTTGACAAGTGAAAGGAGAGAGTTAGGGAAAGAATTGACCATTCCGTACAATTGTGTCCGCAAAAATAGTCCGCAAAAGTTCGTAGGGATAACCCACAAGTACCGAATAAATTTAATTAAAAATTAATTTGAAATTAATTTAAAATTAATTTAACCTTCTTTTTAAGTTGATTATTTAAAGTAAATTTAAAAACTCCAGATTGAAGTGCAATGAATTTATATGAAATTGACTTTCGAAGGGAGTCAGAGTTGGTCCAAAAATAATTAAAATATAAATAGAAATTATTTAATATTTACTATTCCAATTTCTTTAAATTTCATTCGGAAGCACAATTCTCCCTCATATTTATTAATTAAATTGCAAAAATAAAAATTGGTTTGTCTAACAGAGGATAATTGGTTGAAATTAAGACATTTTAATATATCAAGTTTTGTCTCAATTGGAAGAGATAACATCCTTAATTATCTAAAAAAATCTTTAAAAAATAAAAGTTTAAAAATATTAAATAGATTACCAAACAATATTCAAATAAAAATTTAGTTTAATTTTTAATAAAGAAAAAATATTAAAATAAAAAAAATTCAAACAATTACTTAACCTATTTTGAAGCTATATTTAAATAAATTTCTTTCAAATTCCCAGACATTGATTTTAATATTGGCTTCCTTCTCACTTCCTTTCCTTCTTCCCCAACAATTTTTCTTTTTCCTTCTTCAAATTCTAAAATTCTTTTTTGGACAGCCAAATCACTTTCTAATTCTTGTGCAAATTGTCTGTAATGTTTAATTATATCAAAACGCTTTAAACACATCAAATCTGCGTGCTGAAGAAATTTTCTTTTGAACCAAGGTGTTGAACCAGTAAAGGAATCTTCAATACCGTTGACTTCGTATATAAACCAGGGTCTTAACCAAGGTGGAGGTTTGAGTTTTACCTAAAAATAGGAAAGGGAGATGAAAGGGAGACGAAACAAATGCAAATGAAAATTATTTTTTCAAAAGGTCAAAAATTCGAAAGCCAAATCTCAAATTTTTCAAAAAAATTTTCTATTAAACCTTTAACGGATTCACTGGAACATGCTTTCCAACAGGATGACTAGTTGATTCCATATTAAAGCTAAAAGTGCTATACTCTGGCAATGCGTCAACAAGGTAAGTGAGGTCTTCATCTAAGCGTTTCTCCAACAAAAGCGTCTCAATTTTAAGAATTGTTGGGTTATAAATTTCGAACATGACTTCAACACCTAAAACCGTTTGAAAATGATTGAAGACGAATTAAAAGCAAAAACAAACTAAAATACCGGCAAAGGATTCGAACCCAGCCCCCCCCCCCCCAATCTTGTCTAAACTCCACTTAACCAAAAAAAAACAAAAACTAACCTAATCCATCAATCACATTGCGCAAAGTAAAATTATGGTGAAGACCTTCCTTTTCTCGACGAATGCAAATGCCCACAAATCTGTTTTGGCGTTGCTGTAAGTTTGGGTCAGACATTGTTACAGCCATAATTGAGCCTTTAAAAGAAGATAATTTTATTTTAAAAATTTATTTTTGGAAGACTAACCAACATAAAATTCAGGAATATCAATCCTCATTCTTCTTTCTAGCATGTCCGCATGAACAAGTTTTTGGAACAAAGGATCACGGCGAGTCCAAACTTGTGAAGGAAGAAAATCCATGTAAGAGAGCCTTCAAAAAAAAAATTTTTTGAAAAATTTTTTTGAGGATGTGCGGGAATATCGGGACGGACATATCGGGATTGGCGTGACAAAATAATTTCTTGCGTGTTTACGTTTGTTCTAAAACATAAAAAGGCTAAAGTGCACTTTAGTAACGTGATCTAAAAATCGGTGATTTATATGTCATTCGAAAGAGCTCGGCGAGCTGAGTCGAATGACACCAAAATTATTCCGCGGAAAAAATTCTGAGCCGAGTTACAGACTCCTAAAGTTCGAAAAACCATAGGGGGGACCAAGCTGTTTTCTGGGGGTGAAAAATTCGAATATGCAAATAATAGCTCATTCGAAAGAGCTCGTCAAGCTGAGTCGAATGACACCAAAATCAACAAAATCAGACGTGATTTGACAAAGTTATGACCATTTGTTTTTATCCCCTACATAGGGCCTACGCGGAAAAAAGTTTTTGCCGCTGCGGAGGAAGCCGGGCATGTCGAGCGGAACGACGGCCGCCGCTTCGCTACGGTCGCCGCGAGCGCAGCGAGCACGACCGCAGCGAAGCACGGCCATCGTGTAGCGAAGACCATGCCCGGCCTACCCTCCGTAGCAGCACAAAAACAGTTTTTCCAGCGAAGATTCTGTTGGTCATAACTTTGTTCATAATCATCCTATCGAGTTGATTTTGGTGTCATTCGACTCAGCTCGTTGAGCCCTTTCGAATGAGCTATTATTTGTATATTCGAATTTTTCACCCCCAAAAAAGTGCTTGGTCCCCCTATGATTTTTTGATTTTTGGGGACCTATATCTCGGCCCCCAATTGAGTCCGCGGAATAATTTTGGTGTCGTTCGACTCAGCTCGCCGAGCTCTTTCGAATGACATATAAATCATCGATTTTTAGATCACGTTACTAAAGTGCACTTAGGCCCATAAAAACTCTATTCCTCAACAGAACAATATACTATCCAAGACCCAGTGGCCGTAGGTCCCGAAATCAGTAAGGTAACTGTTCGTATCTTGAAATATCCCGATATGTACGTCACGATATGTCCGTGTGCCTTTTGAAAAATTTTAAAGAAAAACTAACGCAAATTCCTTCACAGAAATATATTTTTCTTTGACAACAGGAGGACGTTTATTTATTGTTTTAGAAAGATCATCATGTTTTTCAATAGATTTTGTTGGAAGATTATCTTTTTGTTTGATTTTTGAAGCAACCGAAGAAGCATTATGTCGAGTAAAATAAGTCGTTATATTTGGATATGGAGAAGATAAAATACGTAACATGGCTTTGAAAAAATAATTTAAATTAAAAATGAAAATAATTAGAGAGCGAGCTTGATCTGGATCCAGACCTTGATTTTTCCTGAATCCAGAGTCCAGGTCAAGGCATTTTTCAGAGTTCCTTGATTTTTCCTTGACTCAAGGTCATGAATCTGGTCAAGGTACCCAACCGAAATAAAGGACCAAGGTCAAGGTTTTTTTGAAAATATAGCTCTTTAAAAATAAGCAAAGTAAAACTAAAAAAAACAAAAGCAAAGTAAAACAAGACTCTAGTTTACACAAGTCAGAGACGCAGAATTTTAGTTTATTTTAGAGAAAAAGAAGCAAAAATAGTTAAAGAAAATAAATTTAATTTTGGCATTATGTTCTATTACAAATTTAAACTTTTATAAAAAAATTTATTTAATTCCTTGATTTTTAAAAAATTTTTTAGACATTGTTTATGTCATTCTCTACTAAATTTTTAATTCTTTGCAAAAATGATTGAATCAAATTTCAATTTAAACGCCAAAGAAGCCTTAGAATTTTCTTTTAACTCCAAAGAATGGTCAAGGTTTTTTAAAAATATTTTTTTATTTAATTTTTCGAATTTATTTCCAGACTTCGTAATGTTACATGTTCATATTTGACATTAAAAAATAAAATAAATTTATATACAAATCAACTAGAACAAGTTCTTTCTGAAGCTTCTACTTACAGAGATTATGTAAGGGAATTTTTTATTTTAGTCTAAAAAAGATTTTTTATTTTCCTTCTATTAGCTTCTAGACTCTATTCTATTAAGAAATTTAGGTATAATTTCGGAATACAAAACAGACTCCGATTGAGACAAATTATTTATCAATCGAAAGGGCTAGTTGAGCTGACAAGGGAACATTCCGAACTGTGACCAAAAATTTTTTTATAAAAATTATACCATCGTGTAGAGCATGTTCGATAGCCTAACCCTATATATTTCTTTTTTGGCCCTGACCCCCATTTCGAAAAGTTATAGGGCTTCAAAGTTTCCGACTTTTGGAGCGGTTGAGTCGCCCTCACTTTTCTTATTATTTGTCTTCTTAAAGGGAAAAATTAGACTCCTTTTCTCCATTTTTCCTTTCCTTTTCTTTTCCAATATTAGTTAAAGAAAGAGAAAAAGAGAAGAGAAAAGGAAAGGAAAAGAGGCATCTCTGCCTCCTCCTCTTCGTGTCCGGACAAAATATCGAATCGTTAAAATATGGAATAGGCTAAAAAAGGGTTAAAATCTCGAATCGGGTAAAAATGGGTTAAAATCGCGAATAGGCTAAAAAGGGGTTAAAATGTGGAATCGTTAAAATATGGAATGGTAAAAATATCGAATCGGCTAAAAAAGGGTTAAAATATGGAATCGTTAAAATATCGAATTGATAAAATGTCGACACGGCCAAAATAGGTCAAAATGTCGAATTTTTTTAAAGATGCGCCAAAACCTTGAATCCGGGCGTTACCGTAATACCGACGGTATTTTTCGGTATTCCGTGTCGGTTGTACGGTACGGAATGCCGACCGATAAAATTTAAAAGCTGACCGTTATTTTTCGGTATTCCATACCGTATACGGTAAGGTCAAACTTTAGGTCCTAACTAAAAACTAATGCATACCACTCTAATTTTTCCATATCAGGATCGCGTTATGTTTTCCGGATCCGTACGATCATGCCGGACCGGATCCGGTCGATTATGCTTGATTTATCCGGTCCGGTTTTACTCGGTAAAGTACAGTGAACTCAGACAGAAAAGATTACGACGGACTACGACTTACCAAACTTATCAATCAACTTATCATCAATAAACTGATGTTGATAAAATTATCAACAATCAACGTATGGCACAAATCTGACCCGTTTTTAAAAGAATTCGACATTTTGACCCATTTTGGCCGTGTCGACATTTTTACCATTCCATATTTTTACGATTCCATATTTTAACCCTTTTTTACCCGATTCGATATTTTAACGATTCCATATTTTAACGATTCGGTATTTTAACCCCTTTTTAGCCTATTCGCGATTTTAACCATTCCATATTTTAACGATTCCATATTTTGTACCGGAGCCCTCCTCTTTCCTTTTTAATTGACATTAGCCGCAAGGCAGAGATGCCTTTTTCCTTTTCTTTTCTATCCTCCTTTTCTCTTTCTTTAACAAACATGAGAAAAGAAAAGAAAAGGAAAAAAGGAGGATGGGAGTCTTATTTTTCTCCTTAATAAAAGAAAACTCTCTCTTTATGTGGGCGACTCAACCGCTCCAAAAGTCGGAAACTTTGAAGCCCTATAACTTTTCGAAATGGGGGTCTGGGCCAAAAAAGAAATATATAGGGTTAGGCTATCGAACATGCTCTACACGATGGTATAATTTTTATAAAAAAATTTTTGGTCACAGTTCGGAATGTTCCCTTGTGAGTCGAATGACATATATGTATGTCCCAATAGGAGTCTGTTTAGTATTTCGAAATTATTCCAGAAATTTAAATATGTTTTGTATAAACTACCTAATCTTCGAACTATTTTTTATATGATTCGGGAATTTCAGAATTTTGAATATTCCACCTTTTTTTAGAATTTCTCAAACCCCCCCCCCTATTTTAATTTGAGGGCAAAATCCTCCTCCCTTCTTCTTGTGATACTTGGCTATATAAGATTTTAGATATTCTCACATATTTGTTTCAATTATTTTTTCTGACAGTCCCACGCGTCCATTTGACTTCTTTTAATTTTTAAAATTATTATTTTTGTTTTTACATTTTTAGGCCTCCCAAATTCAAAATTTCAATGTTAAAGTATCTCTCTTAAATAAAAGAACAATTTTGCTTCGTAATTCAATTCAAACATTAAACTTTAAAATAAATTCTATCGACAAAGAAAAAGTGGCTGAAGACGAACAAAAAATGTTTTTGACTTCAAAAATTGAAAATTTTATTAATATTGAAGAAAATTTAATTATTGACAGGTTTTTAGCTTTATTTAAATTAAAATTTAATTTTTTACCAGAAAACATATTTTACGACTTCGAAACCAAATAATTTTTCGCCGACGTTTTTTGTTAAGAGAACTCAGCCAAATATTTTTTCCTAAAGGACGTGAATCACGTCCTGCACTTAAGAAAAATTGTTTTTGTTTAAAATTTGATTTGATTAGAAGATTGCATTTGCCAAATGTTGCTGCCTGCTTTGGTATTTAAAAATTAAATTTTTTTCTTGTAAAAACTTAGAAACAAAATTTGTAAATTCGAAAATAATTTTTTTTGCAGTTTTTTTAATTTTAAGAGGAGCGTTTCTTAAAAATTTAATTTTCTTTATTAATTTTAAAATTCCTATTTGCTTCTAAAAATTTTATTTCGTCAATTTCCAGGGCATAATGCTTCTGAATTGTGTGCTGCTACAAGCTTTGTTGTTCACTTATTAAATTGTACAAGTTTTATTCTTTCTCATCCATTGAAGCATTATATATTTTTTAATGGATCCCGTTCATATTTACAGACGAGGAATAAACTTGAAAGGTTTGGGAATTTTTTTAATTATAAAAAATGTAATTTAAAATTTTGATAATTTTTACTTTTAAAGAGTATTTAAAAAAATTTTTTTGAATTAAATTAATTTCTAGTCTCTAATTTAATTTTTTTCAGTTAAAAATACCTAATTTAAAAATTAATTTTTTCTAGTTTTGACTTATTTACTTCCACATCAACAAAAATAATTACTAACCGCGACCATTTTGATTTTGCTTTATATTTATTGTGTGAAATAATTGTTCAATTACGTTCCGATTGTTTAATTAGAACATCAGAATTGGATAGACCTATTTATTTGTTAAATCAATTAATTAATTCTTTTATTGGAATACACAGGTAAAAAGAAAATACAAAGAAATAAAAATCAGAATTTTGGGAAAAATACAAAATCTTTTAAAACATAAAAATAATCAGAAAAAGAGAAAGAATACGGCTCTATTACACAATATACGTCCAATCGTTTTTTATGCGTCCAACCACACTTTATGCGTCCAATCAAAATAAAATTGGATTTTTCTTTATATTTTGAAGTTGAGGTTGGGTTCTTTAACATTTCTTCGTGTTTGGGACCTACGCCCGGTGGGTCTGGGACCGTTCCTTACCTTATCCCTCGAAATTTATTAAAGTTTAAATCGATTTTCTTAAATTTTAAACAATTTGCTATAACCTTCAGAAATTTCGAAGGTCAGGATAAGGAACGATCCTAGATCCAGCGGGCGTAGGTCCCGAACATGAAAAAATGTTTTGGGACCCAACTTCAAAATATAAAGAAAAATCCAATTTTATTTTGATTGGACGCATAAAGTATGGTTGGGCGCTCGATTGGACGTATATTGTGTAATAGAGCCGAAAATATACATTACCGTATTTACTCGATTAATTCCCCACCCTCTTTTAATTCCCCATGCCAGAGATGAGTTGAAACAATACTCCCCTACCCCCAAATACCCTAATACACGTTCAAATTTCAAAACTCGAATAATTCCCCACCATCTATTAATTCCCCATACCACGGATGGGTTGAAAAAATAATTACTCGGAGGAATTAATCGAGTAAATACGGTATTTGCAATGAAAATCAGAATAAATACATACAAAAAATATTATATTAGAAAAAATACAAAAATCAGAATTTTATTATTTTTAGTTTCTCCAATCCAGATTTTATTTTTTCCCCTTCAAAACGCCCATCTTCTTCAATTATTTCTCCTTCTCTATGTGTTGCAATAAATAAAGAATGTGTTTCTCCGGTTGAAAATAAAACAGACCAATCACTTCAATATCTTGCCAATTATTTATTTCCTTTGATAGCATTATCTTAAAAATTTTTTATTTTTTAAAGTAAAAATTGTGTGATAAATTTATTTTTTTGTTATACTTTTTAATTAAGCGTTGATTCTCGCTTTTTTCTAAAAATTAATTTAAAAATATTTTTAGAATTTTTTTTTTGCATTAAAATTATGGGAACGCCTGATGCATTTATTAACGATGACAATTTTGGCGATGTTTCTGTTAATAATTTAGTGGAAAATTTTGATGAATCAGAAGAACAAGAAGAATTGGTAGAACCTAGATTTAGATATAAACGAGTGCTTGGAGATTTAATTAGGGTAAATTTTTAATTTAAATAAATTATTCTTTTTAAAAAATCAGAAAATTAAGATGTAAATTTAATTAAAAAATAGAACAAGTGAAATACAAAAATCAGAATAAAAATTATTATCGCATTCCATTCTCTGATATTTGTATTTTACTGGTTTCTCTTATAAATTTATCACTAAATTCAAAGTGAAGAGAACAGTCCAAATTTTATTAACACTAAACATGATTGACGATTTTTGATAAATTTTCAGTCTCAGGCAAGGGCACTGAAATCGACCCCCTGGCTACGCCCTTACAAATTAGTGTCTGGAACCGAACTAAAAAATCCTCGATTCGGTTCCGAACTGACAACCATAAAAATAACTAATAAAATACCAAATAAAAATCAGAAAAATTTATTTTTTAATATAGTTATTAGAAAATGACCCAGCCTCATGTTTCACTATTCACGAAAAATTAATGGTTGTTGGATTCCAGTCAGGGCGTGTTTGCATTTTTGATCATTTGGGGAATGTAAATATTGATTCTGTTTGTTTTTTTATATTCTTTAAATAATTTTAAATTTTTCTTTAAAGTGTTGTCGTTATCATAAATGTGCTGTTTCTTCAATTTCGATAGATGATGCTGCTAATTATATTGTTACATGTGCAAATGATTTTAGTATTGTTATTTATGGTATTGGTTGTTCTGAATATAATCAGGTTTTTTATAAGCTTAAAAAAGAATTTTTTGAGGTATTTTTCGGCTTCTAAAATTTTTTTAAATTTCATAATTATGTACATATTCCAATGATCGAGAATGATGTTCCAACATCGGGAAATTGTGTTTCCGACCGAACTGACCATAGCTCCGAGAAGACCATAGTCTCCTTGAAGGTCGACTCTTTCACTTTGAACATATTGATCATGTTGATATTTGTTCCATTGTTGGAACAATTCCCCTATGTTAAAACAGACCTCCTCGTCCTTGGAATGCATAATTATAAAATTAAAAAACGATAGTTTGGGTGTCGATATTCTGGGGTGGAGTCATTTCTTTCTTTCCCAATTTCTTTAATTTTTAGCGCATTCCAGTCACCCAATCTTGCAAAGTTGTAGCAATAGCAGGCAACTTTTCCCGTCCCTCTTCTGGTCAACGCTTCCTAGCAGCTAATCAAAATTTAGTTTTATATCAACGAGGGGTTAGAGCAGAATTTTTTTCTGGGAAAAGACGAGAGACTTGTCTTTATAAAGGAACTCAAACTGATGGATTAATTAATTGTTTGTCTTGGAGAGAGAATTTTGTTGCTTTTACAAATGAAACGGGAACGAGGATTTATGATTTGTAAGTAAGAAAATTAATTTTTTACATAATTATTAGATATCTAGTTAGAGTTTAGATCAGGCCCGTAGCCAGGATTTTTTTCGGGGGGGGCAAGGGGGGAAAATTTTTTCTGCGCCAAATTTTTGGCGCCTTCGGCGCCAAAAATTTTTATTTTCAGCGCCGCAGGCGAAAATTTTTTGAATTTTGGACCTCAATAAGCCAGATTTCTTCCTTTTTTAGCGCCGCAGGCGAAAATTTTTTAAATTTCAGAGGCCGTAGGCCAAAAAAATTCACTTTTTTTGCCCCAGCCCTTCCCCAAATTTTTTCCTTTTTCCCATTTCGGGGGGGGGGGGGGAATTCCCCCCCTCACCCCCCCCTGGCTACGGGCCTGGTTTAGATACCATACTTTAAGGCTACAGAAGTCTTCCTCATCTCCGTCTAATTAAAATTAATCTCCGAAAATTTAAAATTATGGTGAGGTTCCATTATGCCTTCCCTTGAAATCCGACTCTATATTGAGAAAGGGCGTAGCCAGGGGCTTCTGAGGCTAAAGCCCCCACCCTCGAAATGGGAAAAAGTGAAAAATTAGAGGAGGGGTTCGAGCAAAAAAGTGAAATTTTTTCGCCTATGGTCGTATTAGAAAATAAAAACGTATTAGAAAATAAAAATCCCCTTAGCTACGCCCTTGGTATCGAGGTGTACAAAAATTTTCGTCCGTTTCTTTTAGATTAAAATTTTATTTCCGTCATCTCTGATCTCGATGTTCCTTGAAATTAAATTTTATATAAATTTATCATCTTTTTTCAGAAAATTATCTCGTTGTTTGGCACTAGTTCAACCTTTTCACAAAAATGAAAATTTTCCAATTTCTAAATTTCCCCCAAAACATGTTTGGTTAGTTTTTTTATTTTTTTTAGTTTTGAATTTTTTAGGTTAAATGATTCAACATTAGCAATTGGATGGGCAAATACTGTTTGTATTTGTGCTATTGTACAAACTACTAAGAGACCGGTAAAATTTTATATTTTTTTGCTAAAAATAGGATGGCCATTTTATATTTACTTTAAAATTAGAAGAACTCATTTAAACTTTTATCAAAATAAAAATTATTTAGGGGTTACGTAAAGGGATTTTTAAACTAATTCAAGGGTAGGGTTGAGGGCCCGATTCGGTTCGATAAAAATGGGGCCCGAAAAAATGACTCGAACGTTGCCTCGATTCGAAAACCCTAAACTAATTAAGGGCGTATCCACGGGTCGGATTCCATGGATCTATAAGTAAGAATTTGTGAAACTTTTGTCGTTCAGACACAGACGCCCTTAAACTAATCTTCCCTCAATTTTTTCCATTATAATTTTTTTTTCCAAATTTAGGGACCAAATACCTCCGATTTATTATTGGATTTACCCAAAGGACGAATTTTGCATCGATTTACATTTAACAATTTTGCTATTGCCGGCATTTCATTTACAACTCGTAGCTCTTACGGCAACGACGAAATTTGTTCATTACCTCATTCAATATTAAATTCCCCTCCAAATTCTTTAAATTCTCAATCAGATTGGCGTGAATTAATTATATTTGGAATTAAGAAGAGTGGGGGAAGAGGAAATACAAGAGAACCAAGCCTTTTAAATTTTACAACAAATTGTTCAATTAATGGAGAAAATTTAAATGAAGAGGTTTCTGAACTAAAAGTAATTCTTAAAAAATTTTGAAAAGGAAATTTTTTAATAAGAATCAGAAAATAAATTAAAAGATTTTTTGATTCCAATCCGGGCCCTATTTCAATTGACTACCGATTCTGTGCACATACCAATAGAATTTATATTTCAATCTTTACACAGATTCTGTGGGGAACGGATTTTACAAAATCTGTATTTCATGTATTTACGAAATGCAGAATCTGCGGTCGATTGAAATCGTGTCAATATCGTTGTGATAAAATTAATCTTACTCATTCTAGTTACTTGAAACAAACAACGAAAAAATTAATTTAATAAATAACCCCCCTCTGCCCCCATCTTCAACTTGCTCAAACGATTTTAATGACCAAACTTGCAATAATTTCTTTGCTCAACTCAGATTAATTAAACCAATTTCACTTCAAGAATATTCTTTAGAAGCTGAAGATACTATCGAAATGAAAAATGTTAATATAAAAATGTTAAATAAATTTGGATTGGTTTCTTTGCCGTTGGATGATATTTATATTTTGGCTGGTCCGAGAGAAACTATTGAGGTTGGAAAGAAAATTTTTTTAAACTTTTTTTTCAATAAAAATTTCTTTAAAAAAGGCCCTTCCCTGTTCAATCGACAATAGAATTCAGTGGCTAATGGAAAATGGTCTTTTCGAAGAAGCGCTTGAATCTGCTTTAAGAAACAGTGAACTTTTAAAAGAAAATTCTGTTTTGGATGTTGGGAAACGATTATTGAATCATTTAATAGAGAAGCAGGATTTTGAAACGGCTGCTAGTTATTTGCCTGAGGTATTTTTGATAAACAGAAATTAAAAAAAAATCTTTTAAAAAATTGGATTTATGTTATTCTTCTCATGAATAAAAAAAAGAAATTCTGATATCAATCAAGGTGTCCCTTTTACCTCTTTTTAGGAGCATTTTTCCCTTTTTTGGCCTTCTCGCCTTTTTTCTGCATGCCACTTTTTTATTTACACCTTTTTGGCATTTCTGAAAATTTTCGCCTGCGGCGCTGAAAATGGAAAAAAATCTAGCTGCTTGAGCTCTAAAATTCTCAAAAAAAAATTTGTTTTTTCCTCTTTATTTTCACAGATTTGTTCAAAATACAAAGAAGAATGGGAATATTATGTAAACGAATTTGAGCATCACAATCAACAATTAAAATTAATTCCAGTCATTCCAACAAAAGATCCCCAATTAGAACCAGAAAATTACGAGTCGATATTGAATGCTGCTTTATATTCTAGACCTAAACTTTTTTATGCAATTGTTAGCCATTGGGATGCTGATATTTATAGGGCTGGTTCTCTTGTTGCTGAAGTTTTTAAAAGAATTACGACTGATAATATTAACAAAAATATGGTTAAAGTAGGGGGTTTTTTTGAAAATAATTTTTTAAAAGGTTTTTTAAATTTTAAAATTTAAAATTTTTAGGTCCACAAAGACGTCCCCAATTCAGTACAATTATTAAGCGAAAATGATAGGGTATTAATTTTTATTTTATATATTAATTGAATTTAATAAAAATTTTGAAAAGAATTATTTACTTCGCGCTTTGGCTTCTTTACTTTTGCAATGCCGGTGTGTTTTTATAATTTTTTGTTATTTTACTTTTCCGAGAAAATTGTATTTGTTAAATTAATTTACGAAAATAAATTCTGATTTTTCCAAATTTCTGTATTTTTTAATTTTGAAAATTCTATTTTTTCTTTTTTTAGTAAATACGAGGATGCAATCAAAACTTATATTTTGCTTCAAGATCCAACTATTTTTGGAGTTATTGATCGTTATAAACTTTTTCCTTACGTAAAAGACCAAATAATGGAATTGATGGAAATTAATCAGGATTTGGCAATTCGACTACTTTTGGATAATGAAGATTTAATTTCACAAGATAAAGTTGTTAATTTGTTAGGGAATTACCCTAAAATACAGGTTTGTATTGAAAAAAAATTTTTTTAATTTTTTACAGCTCGCTTACCTTCACCGTCTACAAGCTAGAGGGGAAGGAATGTCCTATTCTAATCGACTTGTTAAATTATATGTAATTATTTATTTAAAAAAATTATTTATTTTTTTTTTTTATTTTAAAGGCTGATCATGACCGTCCTTCATTATTGCCTTTTCTCAGGAAAAATGAACATTATAAAATAGACTTGGCATTGGATGTTTGCAAAAAAAGAGAATTTATTGAAGAGGTTTTTTAATTTTTTTAAACTTTGAAATTTTTTGAGATTTAAAAAAAATTTCTTTAGGTTGTCTACCTTTTAGGACGTACTGGAAATCGTCTAGAAGCTTTAGATTTAATGGTAAATAAATTGTTAAGAATAGATATGGCTATCGACTTTTGTGCTGAAAATGATGATTATGAACTTTGGGAACGTTTAATTGAATCTTCGATTAAAAGGCCTGAACAAATTGTTATTTTGTTAAAAAGAATGGCTTGTTTAAATATTGATAGTATTAGTGTTGTTGAAAAGGTTTTTTTAAACATATTTTTTAAAAATTGGAACTTCTGACGTTTTTAAAATTTTTTAGAAAAATTAAATAAGGTTTTTTGTTGGGGGTTTTGGTTATTAAATATGTAATTGGGCAAAAACCCTGAAAGGACTCGAACTTTTTTTTGCTCCTATTCGAGAACGGAAACCACTTAACCAAGGAGCCTTGAGAGAACCAGGCATGGTCATGGATACGGATATGGATACAGATAATATCAAAATGCCTGCGGATATCCGCCGTAAATATGCGGATACGGATACCAAGATCGGTATCCGTGACTATGCCTGGAGAGAACCTTCGACTCTCTAAAAAACGAAAACAAAACGAAAAACACTTGACCAATGTCTATTTTAAATGAGAAAAATTCTAAAAAATTTCATGTCTAAAATAGAAACAAATATTTTTTTGATTACAAGAAAATTTTTCTCTTTCAATTAAAAAGATACCAACAAATATGGATATACCTGATTTACAAAATTGTTTACTTCAAGTAATTAGAGATCATGAACAACAAAGGGATTTATTAATACATTCAAAAAATGTAGCTAATTGTGATGTTTTAAAATTATTAGAATTACAATTGAAACCTTTAGCTATTAATTTTGAATTATTAAATAAATATGACGAAGAGGAAAATAATAATAATGAGTGTTTTTGTTGTGATATTTGCAAGTAATTCTTTTTTTTTAAATTTTTATGTTGAATTAGTGGGAAAAACTCTGAAGGGACTCGAACTTATGCTCCTATTCGAGAACGGAAACCACTCAACCAAGGAATCTTGAGAGAACCTTCGACTCTCTCAAAGACGGAAAACACATTTTGTATTTTCCGGAAAATAGAGAATTGTATTTTGGGGGAATTGTATTTCTTTTCCGGAAGAAAAATACATTCTTTTATAGTTTCCGGAAAATACATTTACTCTGGGACTGTGTTTTCCGTAAATAACAAATTTATTAGATTCTGTTTCCGGAAAATAGAGAATTGTATTTTGGGGGAATTGTATTTCTTTTCCGGAAGAAAAATACATTCTTTTATAGTTTCCGGAAAATACATTAATTCTGGGAAATGTATTTTCTTTTCCGGAAAATAAACTGCTTTGTACTTCCGGAAACTTTGTATTTTCCGGAAATTTACTTTACCGTTTTCGGGCAGTGTTTTCTTTTTACTCTATCCTTTTCCGGAAAAAAATAAAACTTTATAAATTGTGTTTTCCGGAAACAAGTATATTCACTCTTGGAGTTGTATTTCTTTTCCGGAAAATAATTTTATATTGTTTTTTTTTGCTAAACAAATTTTGTATTTTCCGGAAGTGTTTATCATTTTTCTTTTTAACAAGAAAATGTATTTTCCGAATTTAATTTTCTAATACTTTAGTCAAAGCATTAATGACAGCAATTCAACAGAAGAGGACACAAATAATAGTAGCAATATTCTTTTACTTGCCAATGGAAAAATAATACATGAAAAATGTACAGAAAATGGGCAACCGCCAACACAGATATTACCAAAATGCTATCCTGAAAGGATTTCTCAACTTTTAAAATTATAAAATTTTATTTTTTCTAAGAGTTTTATTTATTTTTAAATATTTTTTGTTGTTTATTTTTAAAGGACACGCTATGAATTTCTTAATTATTTCGCTCATTAATTATTTCATCATTTTGACAAGGTGAAAAATTCTCTTTGTGACAAAGTGAGAGATTTTCTATTGTTTGGCTAAATGAATTTGTTTACTGTTTGGTTAAATGAAAAATCTGTCACTATTCGACAAATTGAAAATTTCTATTTTTTAATTTCTTTCTGCTTCTCTAGGCTCCGGTACAAAATATGGAATCGTTAAAATATGGAATGGTTAAAATCGCGAATAGGCTAAAAAAGGGTTAAAATATCGAATCGTTAAAATATGGAAACGTTAAAATATCGAATCGGGTAAAAAAGGGTTAAAATATGGAATCGTTAAAATATGGAATGGTAAAAATGTCGACACGGCCAAAATCGGTCAAAATGTCGAATTCTTTTAAAAACGGGTCAGATTTGTGCCATACGTTGATTGTTGATAATTTTATCAACATCAGTTTATTGATGATAAGTTGATTGATAAGTTTGGTAAGTCGTAGTCCGGCTCAATCTTTTCTGCCAGAGTTCATTGTATTTTACCGAGTAAAACCGGACCGGATAAATCAAGCATAATCGACCGGATAAATCAAGCATAATCGACCGGATCCGGTCCGGCATGATCGTACGGATCCGGAAAACATAACGCGATCCTGATATGGAAAAATTAGAGTGGTGTGCACTAGTTTTTAGTTAAGCCAAAATTTTGTACCGACACCGTATACGGTACAGAAACCCAAAAATACCGATCAGCTTTTAAATTTTATCGGTCGGATTCCGTACCGTACAACCGACACGGAATATCGAAAAATACCGTCGGTATTACGGTAACGCGCGGATTCTAGTTTTGGCGCCATTTTTAAAAAATTCGACATTTTGATCGATTTTGGCCGTGTCGACATTTTTACCATTCCATATTTTAACGATTCCATATTTTAACCCTTTTTTAGCCTATTCGATATTTTAACCATTCCATATTTTAACGATTCCACATTTTAACCCCTTTTTAGCCTATTCGCGATTTTAACCCCTTTTTACCCGATTCGAGATTTTAACCCTTTTTTAGCCTATTCCATATTTTAACGATTCGATATTTTGTCCGGACACGCTTCTCTATTCTCTTTCTCTCATTATTTCTCTCATTCTTTTCCCTCATGTTAGTGTACTTACTAATAAAATATCGATATATCGATCTGTGTTCACCTATACAAACATTGTGTCTTACACATCGACACTTTTCTCCATTTAAAATGAGCGAGTTTCTCAACATAATGGCTGATTTTACCATTTCATTTTTATTTTTCTTTTTAATTTTTCTGTTTAGTATCATGAGATAATGCTTTTTAATTTATATAAATTTAATTGAAAATAAATATAAATAGTCATGTGTTTAAGCTTTAACACGTTTTTTTCGTTAAATTTTTGTCGTTTTTAATTTAAAAATTTTCCTATTTTCAGACCAAATAAATTTAAAAATTTGTGATAACTTTAATTTTATTTCAAAAAATGGTATCAGCTAGTGAAGCAGCTGAGGAATACAGGTTCTTTTTTGTTTATTAAATAATTTTAATTTTTTTTGTTTTTAAGAGCAGTCCTTTCTGACCTGTCGAGGAATGACAAAACTCAAATTAATTTGCTTACAATTTTGGCAGAGGACTATGCTTCTTATTCCAGTGAAATTGTTGGAGTTATTGAGGAATCTCTCTACAAGGTTCGTTTAAATTTTTAATTGTTGTACGGGTTAGCGGGGCAATTCATGGTTTTCTTGAGCTTCCCAGGCTTAATTTCTGGGACCTGTTTAGCCCGAATAGAACTTGATGCATCTAAGAACATCCTAAAGGGCTCCCCAGATGTCGGGTCCACAATAGTCGGGTCCCTAAAAGTCGGGTCCCCAAAATTTGTCCCCAACTATCGGGTCTCCTTAAGTTTGATCCCCAAATGTCGCGCCACGTCCTAAAGCATGCGGCTTATAGATAAAACGCCAGATCTTAAGGATGGTTTGATGCTAACAGACCCCCTGGATAACCTCTATCTCACAATCAGTTTTACTATGTTTTACCCCAGATTAATTTCCCAGGTTAGCTCCTCTTTAGCCTAAATTGCCTAAACGACTAGACATCTTTTTCATTTTTCCTATTTTTAGTGTTCTGTTCCACTCAAAATTGTTATGTTATACGTGATTGATTCAATCGTAAAGAACGTTCAAATTACTGGAGGTTATCGTGAACTGTTTGCCAAGAAGATTGTTGACATGATTGTTCATGTATTCAAGGAGGTGGACATCTCTTGAGACAATTTTTTTTTATTTTTTACACCATTTTTATTTTCTCACAATTCACTTCTCTCTTCTATTCTCTTAAAAGAATCTCTTAAAAATTCTATTCTCATATTGACGCTAGATCTCGATTATTTTTAAAAATGAAAAAATTGCAGGCTTGAGATTTTGAATAAAATTGTGGGCCTGTGTAGGGATAATAATAATTTTTTAAAGTTTAAATGTATGGTTAAGTTTTTTATTGTTTCAAAGCTGAACCCGTTAGGACTTTTTTGATAGTTCTTAAAACAAGATCCAAAATTGTTTCTATCCTTACGCCCTTTTTCTCTTCCCCGTCCCAAAAAGTAGAAATCCAAAAGAAAATCTTTTTGGGGTAAAATTGTGTTTTTTGTAAGTTGAAATGCTAAGGAAACTTGGAGTCGGACCCGAGACATGTCCCAAGCTGAATTCGAGCACACATACTTATTGTTAAATTTTAACCAGAGGCCTCTAATATTGTTTTTATGAATTACCTTGAAATTTGGATTACCTTAAAAAGTTTCTCTTGGAATTTTCTAAATTTTCTTTATCCTATTTTAAATTTTGTGTTTGACATTTCCTTCCCCTTTCGTTTCTTTCCTTCCCGGGAAACCTTCCCTTTCCGACTTTAATTTTGTAAATTTAACCAAAAGAAGCAACAACAAATTTATACGTGTTGAGAAGAGAGAATTCTCTTCGTCGTTTGCACAAAAATTCTTGTTTTGAAAAACATGTCCTTGTATTTTTGGGACATTTGTGATGTCCACGTATTCAGTTGCCGTCAGATTTGAAAAATAATTTTTTGGGTTTAAATGGTTAGGAAGGGGAAGGGTAGTTAAGAGGATAAAGTTTTAAGGGAAATAATTGTGTATTGTAATATGAATTGAGATAACTTTGTTTTTCTTTCGAGAATTAAAAAAAATTCAAAGTTAAACAATTGCTAACGGACAGTCCTTTATGAACGAATAAAAAAAGTTTTTTTGTTTCAACTTCAATAAAAATTTTTATTTATAGAGCGCGCACTTTCTTTTTTTCAAATTGATCAAAAATGAATTGCGTGGCCACGCACTTTTCTGAATTTTTAAAATTCTAACTATTTGTGGTTGCACAAGGAATTTTTAAAAAATATTTTTGTTTATTCAAAATTAATTGTCAACACTGCAAGATTTAGCATTCTGCAAGGATATCCTGTCCGTCTTTGAACCTGCCCATCTCTAGACCACATTTCTCGAACGTGGTCACGCAACTCGTTTTTCCCATTTGCGAATTAAAATTAGGAATTAAATTAAAAACCACTAAATTACAAAATTTACATTTTTTGTTTTACCATTGTAGGGAGACGAACGTACAAGAGCTTCAATTTACCGGCTGCGCTGCACCTGGGCTGACGTTTTCACAAAATCTAAACTTTACATGATCGACACAAAAATTCATTCTGTGGATAGGGCTTGGCCTATAATGAATCCAGATTTGAAAATTGAAGTGTCATCACAACAACAACAACAACAAACATCAGGGCAACAACAAGGAGGGGGACATGTAGTACATGTTAACCCTAAATTTCTCAATGGAAAGCAGCCAACAGGTGTTAAACAAGAAAATAAACAACAAGACAAACAACCAGAAAAAATACAAGAAAAAAAGAAAATACAGCCCGACATTAATGGTTATGATAAAATTTTTATTTTTATGTTGAGAGAAAAAAAAAAATAAAAATATTTTTTCGGAAATTTTGTTTTTTGAAAGTAAAAGATTAAAACCTTTAAATTTAATAAATAGTAAGGTTAATTTCCGGAAAGTTTAAAATTTTTCGGAAATGTAAAATAAATTGTGGGAGTGTTTGTTTAAAGATATAACGTTTCCGGAAGACTAAAGTTTGCTTGGAATACAGAATTTCCGGAAAAGTTTAAATTAATTCAAAATATTCCGGAAAAGCACAAATATCGAGCTTTAATCTTTTCCGGAAAACTTGGTGTTTATTGAAGTCAATTTGTTTTTTCCGGAAACGAAATATTTTAAGTTTCCGGATATCCTAGACATTATAAAAATTATTTTCTCTTTTTAGCTAACAAAACAGTTACTAATCAAATTGTAAAAACCGAAGAGGTTGATCCTGACAAAAATGTTCGTCAACGCAAAATTCCTAAAAAGGCGAAAGAAAACAATACAAATACAACAAATAAGACGACAACCACAACTAGTACAAAAACAATTAAAGAGAGTGGGGTTGTAAAATCCAAAGAGAGCACTAATGTTAAGGTTCTTTTAATTTGAAAATATTTTTAAATAAGAAAATCTTTCAGAAACCGGAGTCACTCCTCTCGTTGAAACTTGAATGTCCACCTCAACAACCTTCACAACAACAATCATCGCAACATAAAGGAGGAGGGCCTCCAACCAAGCGCCCTAGAACAACCACAACTGCTCAACATATCAGCAGTAATGTTAGTAATAAATCAACTCAACGGTCTGTCAAGCCTCAACAACCTCGAGTTTCTAAACAAAATGTGTGTATTTTTTTAGATTTTTAAACTCCCGTTTTTAAAAACTTCCGGAATTTTTAATTGTTTTTCGGTCAGTTTCCATTCAGGAAAGGTTTTACTTTTTTCCGGAGACATTTAAATTCAATATTCTGTTTAGAAAACTTTTACTTGATTATATTTCTAGGCTTCCGGAAAACCTTAACTGTTTTCAATAACTGTTTGAATTTTCTAAAAATCTTATCAACATTTTCAGGTTCCTGAGCCTTCCAGGGCTCTGGGCGCACATGCATTTAACGTGGTTATGACTTCTCAACCCCAACCTACACCTTCATTACAACCACAAATTCCACCACAACAATTAGTACAACAACCGCTTCAACAACCCCAACCAACACAACAACAACCCCAAATAATTCCACCACCCCAACTTCAACACCAACAACAATTTCCTCCACCACAAATACCAACATCTTCTATTACTGACCAACAACCACAATTATTAATGATTCCACAAGTTTCCACTGCCCCTCCAACAAATTTGCAACAACCGCCACCGTTTATCAAGGAAATTCCTCCACCTCAAATAACAACAATGACTGGAATTCCTCAACATAACTTTCCTCCTCCTATTCCAAGTAAATAATAAAAAAATAAATTAGTAGAATCCTTCCGGAAACTCAAGTTTGCAAATTAGCTCCGGGAATATTTGAGTGCAGTCTATTACTTTTTTCGAAAAACTAATTAAATTTCTGGATGAAATAAAATACATTATTAACTTAAAAATACATGTATTTTAGATATTCAACATAACATCCAAAATGTTACCCCGCGTTTACCTGGTGTTCCGGAAAACAATCGTATTTTTGTTGATGGAAAGGCTTATGAGGTATTTTAACTAAAAAAATCTTGTTTATTTTTTTATTTCTCTCAAAAAAGGTATTTTATCTCGACCAAATAGCAGTCATTGAACGGAATGGTCTTCCACACCGTGTCTCATTTGCTGGTCCAGCTCGTAATGTAATAATTGATAAAACAGCATATTGTATGTCTTTTGGAGAGCCAATACAAGTTTCAATTGATGACCAACTTCATATTTTACGTTTTGGCGGTCCTTCACGTGAACTTTATATGGGTAACTTTCCCTTCAAAGGGGCATTTGGTGGTCCACCAATTAATGCAACTATTAACGGAAGGAGGCATGAAATTCGTCTTTGTGGCCCTCCTCCAGAAGTTAGAATTGACCCAGAACCGAGTTATGAATTAATGAGATATATGCCTGCAATTAGACAACAACAAATAATACCTCAACAAAAGCAAATACCCCAACAACCCAAAGTGGAAGCAAAGAAAGGTGGGAATAAAATTAATTTTATTGTTAGATTATATGGGAATCTTTTTTTTGAAAAAATTTTTGAACTGATACAGTTGAAATTGAATGAATTAAATATTAAAAAATTTTTGTAAACACAAGTTCGAAAATATAAAATTAATTTTTCCGGAAAATTAAGTTTAGTATTATTTATGCAAGTTTAAGACAATATCAAATTTGTAAACTTAAGTTTTCGGAATGATTTATATTACTTTTCCGGAAACTTAAGTAGTCTTTCGGAAACTTAAGTAGTATTTGCTATAAGCTTGTAGCAATAATACAACCTATAGCAAATAATATAAATATTTCCGGAAAATAATATAAATTAATTCTTCCGGAAACTTAAGTATCTATCTTAAAACAAGTAACAATTTTTAGAAAAATTTAAAAATTATTTATCACTTTTTAATATTTCTTTTAAATAGATCCAGTACTCGATGTTACCAGTTTACTCCAACGATTAAAAAATTCGGGTATTCTCTCCCAACTTAATCAAGTTGAACGAAAAAATCATGAAAGACAAGCGGCTATCGAAGCAAGAAATACAACTTTGGGTCGTTCAAATTCTCCTCCAGTGCCTTGTGCCCATCGTTTTGAACATTTGGAAAGGAGAGCGATGCCGATGGCTGGCTTTGATTTGTTTAGTATGCGTTCTTTGATCATGTAAGGAGGAAGGGGGGAAGAATTTTAAAAATTAAATCTTTTTTAGTCGTTATGATTCAGTTATTGACTCAATTCACAAACAACGTCATTGCTGCCAAGATTGTGGTATTGGATTTAAAGACCTTTATGGTAAAGCATATGCAGACCACATGGATAAGCATATAGAAATGAAGAGTGCTAAATCTAAGCCAAGATCACAAACATGGTTTATGTTGGCTGTGAGTTTTTGTTTATTTGTATTTAATTTGAAGAAAAATTATTTCACTAATACTCAATTACACTACTATGTGCTAGTTTGGAAATAAATTTAAATTTAAACAACTTTTTCGGAAAACTTAAACTTACAAATTAATTCCAAAAACATAAAATTAAAAACTAGGGTAAAATATTTTTCAATATATACAAAGTAATATTATTTTTTAATTATCATTTTTAGGCTTGGTTCAAATATTCTGAATATGACGAAGTCAACACAATTAATGTTGCAAGTAATATTTTTCAATTTTTTCATTTTAAAATATTTTTAAGAAGGCGATAAATCCCAACAAAGACAATCTTCTCCTGGTGGAACTAATGATTTAAACAGTAAAGATGCAACATCCTCATCCCAAGGTGGCCAACAATCCACAAATGATAATGCGGGTGGAGTTGATGCTGACTCTGTTGAAAATAAAGTGGGGGGAATTTTCTATAAATTAAAAAAATAAAAATTTATTTAAAGGAATGTTGTGTATGTCATGAACGATTTGAAGAGTATTGGGTAGATGATGAGGATGTGTGGAGGCTTCGCGATTCTGTTGTTGTTGATGGAAAGGTGAGGAAATAAACAACAATTTTTAAAATTAATTTTAATTCTGATTTGAAAATAATTTTTGTATTTTTTAAAATAAAAATCAGAATTTTTGTATTTAATTAAGAAATCAGAATTAAATAGTTAATACATTTATATAAAAATCAGAATTTGTATTTTTAACAAATTTCAGAATTTTTAATAAAAAATCAGAATTCTCTTTTTGAAATAAAAATTCTGATTTCAAATAAAAATCAGAATTTTCCGGAGAACACATAAAACACAAAACACATTTTTTAAATTCTGAAATCAGAATTTTCCGGATAACACATAATTTAAAATAATTTTTAAAGTTAAATTCTGATTAATTTTTCAGGCTTTTCACACGTATTGCAGAGACGATGCAGCAGCAATGTCATCATCATTTGCAACAATTAATGATGACAAATGAAAAAAAATTCTATTTAAAAAATTTATTTAATTATATACTCTTTTATTGTCAAAAAATGTTTTAGAAAATTGATATAATTAAAAAAAATAAAATTATTTTTCTCTTTTTTGTCACTATTAAAATTATATTTTATTTTAGTTTGTGTTGGTTGATGAATAAAATTTTTCTTTGGGTTTTCTATTTTTTTTTTAAATTTGTTTTATTCTTTTCCTATTTTCCTGTTGATTTGTTTTTCCCTTTTTGGCCACCACCAATTAATTTGAGCATTGGACTAGGGAAAGAAATGTTTTAAAAAATAAAATAGTTAAATATTACCAATATTGGTGTAAGTCGTTAATTCCAGATTTGACAGAGCATTCTATAATTTGAAAATTTTTATTTACAAATATAGTAGTTTATAAAAATTCAGAAAAATAAATTGACAACTTTAATCGAAAACACAAAATTAAGAATTAAAAATCAGAATTTTTATTTAATCAAAACCAGAATTCTTTTTTATTATAAACCAGAATTTTATTTTAAAATAAAAATTAGAATCAGAATTTTCCGGAAAATACATTTAAAAAGGAAATACACTTTCCGGAAAATACACTTGTATTTTCTTCTGATTTTTTTTGTTGTATTTTCTCTAGTTTTTAAATATTCTAATAAATAAATATTTTTTTTAAATTACCACAAAGATCCCCCGATTCCTTTTTCCAGTCAATCATTTTTGTGCATCGTCTCAACGATTTTGTTGCTTTAGTGTCAAGAAGTAAAGGCTGACAACTTTAATTTTTTAAAAGATTTTTTAAAATTTATTTAAGAAACTCTTTTTTGTCAAAACAAAATTTATTTGGATTTTTTGCCAAAAAACAATCCTGAAATTATTTTCAAAAAATATTTTTAAATTAATTTATTTCCATACTTTTACACAAACACCAAATTCACTAGCAGTATTAATTATCTAAAATGCTAAAAATAAAAATTGGAAATTAAAAAAAAATAATTTTTAAAATATTTTTTAATTAAAAAAATAATTATTTTTACCTTCCTAATAGGCCCATCTAAAATTAAATTTATTTTTATTTTTTAATTAAAAATAGCTCCAAACCAGTTAAACTTTTTGTAAGTTGTTTTTGTGTCTTTTCTATTTTCTCTACTCCAAGTCGAAACAATTCTGTTATATTTACTTTTGGAATTTTTTTATCTTCAAAGTTGGGTAGGCAACTAAAAAAATTTTTTAATAGAAAATCAGAATTGTAAAAGGAAAATTAAATCAGAATTTTTGATACGAAATAATTTTTATAATCGGAATTTTGTAAGTAATTAAAAATTTCCGGAAAATACATAACTTAATAATTAAACACAATTTCCGGAAGAAATTATTTTTTTATAAATCAGTCTTCCGGAAACACATACAATGAAACACAATCAATTAAAAACAAAATTTCCGGAAAACACAATTTCTGAAATTCTGATTTCAAATTATACATAATTGTATGTGTTTTTCTAAAATATTTTAATTAAAATTTTTCCGGAAAACACATATAAGTATAATTAAAAATCAGAATTTCCCCCGAATACATAATTTCCGGAAAACACACAAATAATATTAATACCCCTAACACATAATTTCCAGAAGACAAATAATTCATAATTATAATGCAAAATTAAAACTAACGAATCCACATTGTCTTCAAAACATTTTATAAAATTTTCTAAAAATACATTTTTTTTAAATTAATTTTGTATTTTTCAATACCAATTATTGCATCAGCCCTACCAAAGCATACTCTCAATTTATCTGGGTGAACAGTAATTTTTGCTTAAATAATTTATAAATTAATTTTATTTTATTTAAATTAATTAATTACAAAACATATTCCAACAAGTATCAATACACCCCATTGCTTGTTCTTGCATTTCAACAATACATGCACGTTGTTCTTTTTTAAAAATAATTTTATAAAAAAATTATTTAATTAACCAGCACATGTACATTGCCTAATTTGTCCACCAACTATTTTTGCTTCTTCAATTAAAGCTGTACCTTGACGAGTCCACTAAAAAGAAGAATAAATGTGCTTCAGGTTATCCAATTCCTAATTCCTCACCTGGTCGATCACATCTTCGCTTGAGTGTTGAACGTAAATTATTAAAAAAAGGAAAAATACAAAAATTCGTTCCCAGCAGAAAACTTTATAAAAATGAAGCAAGTTCATTTCTGCTAATTTTGGGATCTTTTAAATTAAAAAATAAGAAATATTATAATTAAATCAGAATTTACTCAATAAAAATTATTTTTCCAAATTTCCGGAAAAGTATATATTTCTTTGTGTTTTCCGGAAAATATATATTTATAAATCAGAATTTTTTGTATTTTCTGTAATTTAGAAATCAGAATTTTCTTCAATTTCCGAAATATACTATGTATAGTACATACAATATAAACCAGAATTATTTATATTTTCCGGAATAATTTTAAAACCAAAGGAAATTTATTTCCAACTATCAGAAAGGAAAGAAACAAATAAAATGAGGAAAAATATTTTAAATGGGCAAAGTTTTAATTATTTTTTTATATTGTTTTTGTTATTTGGTTTGTCTTGATTGTACACATTTTATTTTTTTTTGCGCAGCAATGATTGTGAAGAAGAAAAAGATGAGAAGAGAAAAGGTGATTTAATGTTAAATTTTGGTATGTGCGAAGAAAATGACTGCGCAATTTTTATTTTGTGACAGTTTAAGAGGACGAGAAGAGGTGAAAAATAGAAAAGAGAAAGAAATTTTAGTTGTTGGGGGAGCGGCCAAGCTCTTAACAAAAATTAAAATTGCAACTGAAATGTTGGAAAATGTTGTGTGGAATAAAAAAAGAAAGAAGTAAAGGAAATTTTAAAATAAGAGAGTAAACAGAATTATTTTGTGTTTTCCGGAAAAAATCAGAATTTTTTGTGTTTTCTGTAATAATTGTAGAAATCAGAATAATTTTTACTAATTTCCGGAATGTGTTTTCCGTAATAATATAGGTATATTATATGCATTCCGGAATTATATTATATGTATTTTCCGGAATATGCAATAATAATATAGTGTTTTCCGGAATATGATTATTCCTTGGTTTCAGTGTGTTTCCGGAATATTAAGAAAAATCAGAATTTTTCTGGAAAAAAAATACAATTGTATATTCATTCCCATGTGTTTTCCAGAATTTTATTAAAAACCGAGAAAAATCAGAATAAATATTTTATTTATTAATAAACTATTAAATTGATAATCAGAACAAATAAATATAGAATAAAATAATTTAAAGAAATATTTTTAAACTAAATATATTTAATTAAATAAACTAATTTATTGGTAAAAATTTTATTCAATCAATTTTGCTTTTTTTATTGCGCGTTCAGAGGTTCACGGGCAATTGCACAAATGAACGGCAAATTTTTAAATTTATTATCATTAAGACAAATTATGAGGAAGAAAAATAAAATTTTAGTAAAAAATATAAAAAAATAATTTTTGTTTTTGCAATTATTTAACTTTATTTTTATTTTAAAATAAGGATTAAAATTTAATTTCTTCAAAAATAAAAAAAAATAAAAATTATTTTCTGCTAATTTTATTTCTGTTGCAAAAAAAAGAATAAGAAATACATATGTAGAAAGTAAATAAAAACCTAATTAATTAATTTTTAAATAAAAATCAGAATTAAAAATCAGAAGAAAATACATTATTATTGTTTTCCGGAAAGTTTAAATTAAAATGTGTTTTCCGGAAAAATTTGGATTTTATCCTTCAAAGAACAGAATATATGTTTATAAAACACAATAATAAAATACACATGTTCTTCCTGAAAGTTATTATGATTAGTAAATATATTTGTGTGGGGGAGCGCAAAAATTGTTTATTTTTTATATAATGCATAATAGAAGCAACAAATCCTATTGTTAAAATCCAAACATATTTGTAAAAGTCTGCTAAATATTTTATTGTATTGTGTTTTTTTATATTTTTTTGGACAAAACACAATTATGATTATCAGAATATTTAGAACATCAGAATATTTAATTAAAATCAGAATTTCTGGAAAATAGAAAAACCAGAATTTTTAAATCAGAATTTTTTTTGAAAAAAATACAAAAACCAGAATTTTGATTATATTTAAATTGTAAACACACTACTTATTTTTTGTAAATACAAAATTATCAAAAAATTAAAGGAAAACACAAACTTTTATTTATTGCAAATTTTCTCTTTCCTTCTAAAAAGGTAAAAGCGTTCAATTAACTAACTACCTTTCCCCATTCCAGGCCATAAAGAATGAATAAAAACAGGATTTTGAAAATAAAATTTCTTTTTGGATGACTGTTTTTTAAAGTCAATAAATATAGAAAAATTAATAAAAAAAATTTTTTTGCAACAAAAAAATAAAAAAACAGGTTTTTAAAAGTACTTTTAGCTTATCAATTTATTTAATATTTTTTATCAACACAACAAAGTTTGTTAATATTATTTAGTTACTTTGTTGGTGGCCAAGTAGTTCATCAAATAGACAAAAAATAGAACGCAACAAAAACTGTTTTTAGTCAATTAAATATTTAGTAGTTAATTTACTTGTCTTCCAAAAGTCTGCAAATTTTATCCGCAAAGTAAACTACCTATATTTTATTTTATCAAAAAATACTCTTAAAAATTGTTGGGGGAGAATTTATACTAGGGTTGTTCACAGCCGGTTTTAATACAGAAAATTTTTATATTTTTTTGCCAAAAATCAACAGTTATTACAAAATTAATAAAACCAAAACTTCCGAAAATGAGTGATTTTATTAAAAATTTCCCCAAAATAAAGTCGGTGGTTGTCTAAAACTCAAAACCGACAACAAGGTTTTTAAAATTTGGATTAACCAAAAGCCGGGGGTATTGGTTAATAACCGGTAGTGAACAACCCTTACTAAATATTAACCGGTGTAGAATAAATTGTATAACTTGTGTGTGCATAAAAGGAAAATAACCTAAGAAAT